GAAGAAAGGAGTGTAGATACAAATTGTTTTCCCCGGACTGGCCGATCACATGGCTGCGACAACGGAGTGTCACATGACCATGTCTCCCCGCAATTTCGCTTTCCCGGCACTACAACACCACGTAGTCGTATAGTGTTGATGGTTGGATGAAGAAGGACTGAATGGAACATCAGCATAGTATGAATTCCATGATTCTCTCATAGTACTGTATTAAAATAGAGAGCTGTGAGTCTAGAGCAGCACCGGGTCCCTGATTGAATCACCTGATTCCCCGTCACATGACCCCTCGTTATCTTTCCGCAACTTCACTTTTCCCTCGGAAAACGATCAACCGCCGAATGCCACCGCCAACTTCATTGGATCTCGACCCACATCCTCGCTTCAGAGCATCACCATTGGTGCGATAGGAGCTGCAATGGGCCTCGGGTCCACTCCCGACCCCGTTATCGCAGTTTTCCGTCGCGTTGCCCGTCGGTCGGCGGCTGTAGGGTTCACGCTTCCTACGGCCCTGAACCACCGGGAAAAACGAGGCCGATGCGGATCATAAATATTATTTCTCTGTGATCCTACCTAACTTCTTTTCTCATTCTCCTCACTCTATTTCTTCATCCCTGTCATTCTACCTCAATTGTGTCGTGTGTTGAGGTGTCCCTCCCCCCACCCTCCCTACGTCACTCCCCCGGTAGCTCTTCATGGCGGCATCCTGGTTTGCCCTGCGTGGCGGCCGCCAGCTCGCTCTGCGTTCGCGTGTGCGAGCTGGTCCCTCCCCGGTGGCCCTCCGCTCCGTGACTCTCTCGCCCTTCAATGGCAGTCGTGGCTTGCACACCAAGCAAGAAGCTCCCGCTGCTCGCCGCGGAGTATACACTAGCTCCGTCTATGCTCATGGCGACCCTCACCCGCCTGATGTCTTCCAACCCCTCGATACTTTCCCCCGCAGACACATTGGCCCTTCACCCGAAGCGGCCCAAGAGATGCTGGCGGTTCTGGACCCTCCTGCCGCGTCTCTCGACGAATTCGTCGGCCAGGTCCTCCCCGCCGACATTCTGTCCAAGAAGAACCTTGCGGTCTCCGAGCCCCACGCTGACATCAACCTCTACCGCTCAGCTGTGCAAGGTGGACTCGGCGAGACTGATATGCTCAAGCTCCTTGACACCTACCGTAAGAATATCGATGTCTCCGGCAAGACCTACATTGGAACCGGCTACTACCCTACGATTGTTCCTCCGGTTATCCTCCGCAATGTCCTGGAGAACCCCGCTTGGTACACCAGCTACACTCCCTATCAGCCTGAGATCAGCCAGGGCCGCCTCGAGTCCCTCCTCAACTTCCAGACCCTGTCCGCCGACCTGACTGGTCTACCCTTCGCCAATGCCTCCGTTCTCGACGAGGCCACTGCCGCCGCCGAGGCCATGACCATGTCCTTCGCCACTATGCCCACCTCCAAGCAAAAGAAGGCCGAGAAGTCCTTCGTTGTCTCCCATCTCTGCCACCCCCAGACTATCGCCGTTATGCAGTCCCGCGCCGAGGGATTCGGAATCAACCTCGTCATTGGTGATGTGATGGCTGATAACTTCAAGCTGGTCAAGGACCAGGGTGACCATTTGATCGGTGTTCTGGCTCAGTACCCCGATACCGAGGGTGGTGTCTACGACTTCCAATCCCTCAGTGACTCTATCCACGGCCAAGGTGGTACCTTCAGTGTTGCCACTGATCTGCTGGCCCTGACCGTTCTCAAGGCCCCCGGTGAATTTGGCGCTGATATCGCTTTCGGTAACGCCCAGCGATTGGGTGTCCCCATGGGCTTCGGTGGTCCCCACGCCGCTTTCTTCGCCTGTGCGGATAAGTACAAGCGTAAGGTCCCTGGTCGTGTCGTTGGTGTGTCCAAGGACCGCACTGGCAATCGCGCCCTTCGTCTGGCTCTCCAGACCCGTGAACAGCACATTCGTCGTGAGAAGGCCACCAGCAACATTTGCACTGCCCAGGCCCTCCTTGCCAACATGACTGCCATGTACGCTGTCTACCACGGCCCTGTCGGTCTCAAGTCCATTGCTCATCGCATTGTCTCCATGACTGCTCTCCTCCGTGAGAAGCTGGTCGGTCTCGGCTACAATGTTCCCGTCCGCTCTAATGTCGAGGGCGAGGCTGTCTTCGACACTCTTGCCATTGAGCTTGAGAATGCATTCGAGGCTGAGGATGTTATTGCTGCTGCTCGTGAGAAGAACGTTTTCCTGCGCCGCTTCGGTGAGAACAAGGTTGGCATCTCTCTTGACGAGACCGTCGGCCGTGATGAGGTCAAGGGTATCTTGGATATCTTTGCTGCTCACAAGAAGGTCTCTGCCGTGGAGGTTGATGGCACTCTGTCTGTCACCCCCATTCCCGCCAGCCTGGAGCGTACCTCCTCCTTCATGACCCACCCTGTCTTCAACACCCACCACTCTGAGACCGAGATGCTCCGCTACATCAAGCACCTCGAGTCTAAGGATCTTTCCCTGGCCCATTCCATGATTCCCCTTGGATCTTGCACCATGAAGCTCAACGCTACCACGGAAATGATCCCTGTCTCCTGGCCCGAGTTCTCCCAGATGCACCCCTTCATGCCCGCTGACAAGGCCAAGGGCTACATCCAGATGATCGATGATCTGGAGCAGCAGCTTGCCGACATCACCGGCATGGCTGAGGTCACTGTGCAGCCCAACTCCGGTGCTCAGGGTGAGTTCGCGGGTCTGCGTGTCATCAAGAAGTTCCAGGAGGCCAGTGGTGAGGCTAAGCGCAACATCTGCCTGATCCCCGTCTCTGCTCACGGTACCAACCCTGCCTCTGCTGCTATGGCTGGTATGCGTGTTGTCACCATCAAGTGTGACACAAAGACCGGTAACCTGGATCTGGCTGATCTTAAGGCCAAGTGTGAGAAGCACGCGGACGAGCTCGCCGCTTTCATGATCACCTACCCCAGCACCTTCGGTGTGTACGAGCCTGGTGCCAAGGAGGCTATCCGACTGGTCCACGAGCACGGTGGCCAGGTCTACATGGATGGTGCCAACATGAACGCCCAGATCGGTCTCTGCTCTCCTGGCGAGATTGGCGCTGATGTGTGCCACTTGAACCTGCACAAGACCTTCTGCATTCCCCACGGTGGTGGTGGTCCCGGTGTCGGTCCCATTGGTGTCGCGGAGCATCTGCGCCCCTTCCTGCCCGGCCACCCGGCCAACGAGTACCTCCAATCTAAGCGTGGCGATACCGCTTCTCCCCCTATCTCCGCCGCTCCCTGGGTAGCGCCAGCATTCTCCCCATCACCTTCAACTATATTAACATGATGGGAGACCGTGGCCTAACTCACGCTACCAAGATCACCCTGCTGAACGCCAACTACATCCTCGCCCGCCTCAAGCCCCACTACCCGATCCTGTACACCAACGAGAACGGTCGCTGCGCTCACGAGTTCATCCTCGACCTGCGCGGCTTCAAGGAGACTGCCGGCGTCGAGGCCATTGATGTCGCCAAGCGTCTGCAAGATTACGGCTTCCACGCTCCCACCATGTCCTGGCCCGTCTCGAACACTCTGATGATCGAGCCCACCGAGTCAGAGAACAAGGCCGAGCTGGACCGCTTCTGCGACGCCCTGATCTCCATCCGCCAGGAGATTGCCGACGTCGAGGCCGGCAAGCAGCCGCGCGAGGGCAACGTTCTCAAGAACTCCCCCCCCACACTCAGCGCGATCTGCTCTCCACCGAGTGGACCCGCTCTTACTCCCGTGAGACAGCCGCTTACCCCCAGCCCTACTTGCTGGAGAAGAAGTTCTGGCCCAGCGTCACCCGTGTTGATGATGGTAAGCTTTTCTCCCTTCAATCCCTGATCCAACCTCCGTTCCATTCCTGAGCATTTACTAATTTACTTTGCAGCATTTCGGTGACCAGAACCTCTTCTGCACCTGCGGGCCGGTCGAGGATACTGAATAGATTATGATACCCATGTGATGGCTTGGTTTAGTTTGGCTTGCTCTGCATTTCCGTCTTGCGTGATCGTGGCCCATGTCTACCTAGCCTAGACTGGAACTCGTTAGATTGAGTTCTGGAGCTAGAGTGCTTGCTTGGCCCGACGATTTACTTTTTTCTTTCTGATGTATACATTCAACATTTTCCCTTTTTTCTGTTTTCATGATCATGACTCATGTTTCAAAAGTGGAGACTATTTCAACATTAAATAGCTTTCTTACTGTGGTTTTGACTGTTGGGTACTGTAAATAAATTAATTGATCATCAATTCTGTTGCTACTAGTATTTACTCTTTCTGCTTCTAACTTTCCATAAACTCATATGAAGTTAGGATTAACCTAGCTGGAAATCTCAAGTCGGGTCTTTGCCGTAAATCAACCTAGAGGTGCAACTTCTGTACCTATATCTCTGGCAAAAAGTCACAATACTACTAGCATTACTATCACAGGGCCTTTGCTAGGTACTACTAGAATACTCCCAGAACTTAACTACTGGCACCCTACTCTGTTGCCAATGAACGATACTGCCTAATGGGTACTAGTAGCTACCCTTCAGAATCAAGTTGGCTAATATTATCATGATGATCTAGTATTCAAGTTGAAGTGGGTAGTAGTATGGATATAATCTGAATTCAACCTTCGGAGTCATTCAAAGTTTCTACTAGGTAGTATATCTGCATACCGGGCGGTATTATGAACTCCAATGAGCCCGACAAGCCTATATCAAAGAACAGTCTTTTGTTTAGGAAATTGCAAGTGATATTAAACCAAGGCTGGTGAGTGCAAAAGGGTCGCTTATCTCACTGTGGGGTGCAAGGCTCGGAGGACGCAGCCGATATTTACCGTCCCAGGGGAAGGCCCCGAACTTTCATCATTGCGGGCGCTAGTTGAGTTGAACTAGCGCGGGGTAGCTGAAGGAAGATCAATTTCGCAGCAGAAATTGAATGATTCTCCCAGCTTCTGCCCGTATCTATCTGAGGAACGAAATTCCAAGAACTTTGTGCCACAGATGGGACAGTCGTCAAAGATCCGTACGCCTCAGAGGGTGGTGAATGCGTAAGTACCAATTGTTTTCATGAAGCTCTGACAGTGAGTTCGGATTGGATGTCCGAGCTTGAACTGGGAGCTCGATCCCAACCCTGTAAATTAAACTAATCAGGGTTACTCTATCTTTAGATGCGTACGATGCCGTCACCACAAGATCAAATGCTCAGGGTCCTCCCCTTGTACCCATTGCCAGCGTCGCAAAGCAAGCTGTGTATTTGCGGGAGAAGAGCCCAAAGTGCAGATAACCAAAAGACGGCTCTCCGAATTGAAACAACGCACATACGAATTAGAAAAAGAAAACCTGGCACTTCAAGAACGGTTGAAAGGGAAGCAGAATGCTGCCAATATTCATGAACCTACTCGGTCTGGTGCTTGTGTGGACCACGAATATCCCGATTTCTCGTTCTCTACACCTGGGTCTACCTCTGATACGCAAGTTGGAGTGGAGAGTCCAGAAATACAAAACTCGCTCTCTACTGGACCGGCAGAATTCATCAGGGATATTACCGGGGATCTTCGTACGCACTCAGTTCTCCATTCATTCCAGCGTGCCCATTGCTAATTCCCGTGAAAGACCATCTAGGACACACATCCAATTGGTCATTGACTATGCGCCTGCTCCAGATGACCCATCAAAATCTTTACAATTCACCGTGCCCTAATGGTGCTCATCATGTTGACTCCATGACATATGATTTTGGATGGAATGGTATAAGGCACGCGATTATTCCCAACATCCGCGGGTTGCCGTCCTTGGACCATGCGTTATTCCTCATCAAGGCCACAGAGTTCCACACATCACCAATGTTTCACTTATTTGATGAAAAGACGTTCATGGCTAAGCTGTACTGGTTTTACGAAGACCCAGTAGAGAGAGTACATCTTTCAGGACTCTGGTTTATCCACCTTCTTGTTCTTCTAGCCCTAGGAAAGGCTTTTCATGGCTCAAAAGGCACCGGCAATACTCCACCTGGGGCCGATCTGTTTGCAAGAGCGTTTATGTTACTCCCAGACTACTGCTACCTGTGGAAAGAGCCTTGCATTGCTGGAGAGCTTCTTTCTTCAATCGCTCTCTATCTACAAAGTATAGATTGGCGAACTTCTGCACATAACATGGTCCGTTCTTCCAGAAGTCGCAATGCAAAAGCTCAAGATGCTTACCAAATTACAGATCAGCCAGGCACAGCGAATCCTTCTGGTGCACGGATTCCACGCGAGCATACATCCGGACCTCACCGACATGGCAGAGCAGACCAGACGCCGGAAAATCTGGTGGACAGTGTTCATTCTGGAGCGTCGACTGTCAGTTCTAATGGGGTTTCCTTTAGGTATTAGAGACCAGGATATCCTCACTCCACCGCCGAGCATCCCCGAGTCGCAGTCCCAGGCTGAAGCCGCAATAGTCCATGTGAAATTGTCAAAGGCGTTTGGTCACATCGTCGATAGTAAGCTGATCAATATTTCCGATGGATGGAAACTATTCTTAATTCAAATACAGCGATCTACCATGGCAGTGGCGCGTTAGGGTCTACTTTCGTCAAAACAGCGCAGGGTGTACTCCACGACGTTGCAAATGTTGCGTCTGAGCTCGGGGCTTGCCTGCCACTCCCCGGGTGCGATTCTATGAACGGCATATCAAGACACACTGCCTATATGAATCTTTTCTACCATGATGTAAATTACCTTCACCGGTATGAATTTTCCAAACTAATACACATTTTGAGACAGTGTATAATTCTATCGACTCGACCTTTTCTTTTCAACCTCGTCGAGAAATGTATCCACCCCGAAGTCCTGAATGCTCCAGTCCCAGCATCAATCAAAGGGTTGATTGAGATATGTATTGAATCGGCCAGAAAGACAGCATATATCCTAGAAGAGGTCATGGATCAGTCTCTCTTAGGTCTTTTGACCCCTGCCAATAACACTCGGCTTCAAATTCGCTAATCATGATCTTTTAGACTGCTTCTTGCCTTTTCATCTTGAAAGTACTGTTTCGGCTGGGCTCGTGATCACTATGGCTCTGATGATCAACCCCGCATTTGTTGAAGTATATTCGCAGACGATGCAGACTCTTTTCCGAATTCTCGACAAGATGATTGACGGGGGCAATCTCATCGCAGTTGATCAAAAGAATGAGCTTATTGAACTGCAAAATAATCGTGCACTACTGCAACCCATGAATAACTCAATGACCCCTGACCAAGTGATAGAGGCGGTTGAATCCCCCCCAGCGTCGGGCTGAAGGCACACAGGGCATAGCTACCCAGATCACCGACGATCACATTCCCTATATTGATGCAGGTCAAAATTCTGGTAGATCTGGACCTCCTTCAATGGATCTGGGACGAGACAAATCCTATATAGATCCGATTTTTGATATGTCACCATCTCAAATCATGTCCGTGGTGGACTTGCTGAATACGGATGACCTGATTGATTGGATCACGCTTTCTAATGATGGTGGTTAAAATAGAGCAGAGGAGGCTGTTGATTGACTTCGTAGCCCTAAGTCGGTTGGGAAACCCCCGAAAGATTTTCCGATTAGCGACTTATGGGTTCATCGCAAACGGCACATACAACATGGATATACTACTTTAGTATCAATCGACAGACTAAAGCTTGTTCCAAGGTTCTTACTAGTAGTGGATTCAGTAAAGATTTCCCAGTCAATTTCTTTTCAAAGGGCTGATGGTCTAATTTCATTGAATTTATACACAGCGAGCTCCATCAACCAGAATCTCAATTCCGCTTATAATAGAGCTGGCGGGTTCAGCAAGAAACAAAGCAACATTGGCAACATCAGATGGCTCAACGAGTCGACCAATAGGAATTGCCTCGCATTTCGCCTTGATAATCTCAGCCGGAACAGGTCCATCTCCGATTCCAGCAAACTTATTGAGCAGTGGGGTGTTGCCTGATGTTGGGCAAATGGTGTTAAAACGAAGCTGGTCTCTAGCATGCTCCAAGGCCATGGATTTGGTCGCCGATGATACTCCCGCCTTCGTCGCATTGTACCATGTCTGGGTGGCGCCGGGGCGAATCGCGTTCTCACTAGAAATCACGACGGTGGACCCGGGACCATTTTTCTTCATCTCGGGGACGAGAATCCTTGACGCGAGATAGATACTTCGAACGTTGACATTGAAAAGTCGGTCGAATTCTTCGACAGTTACGTCGAGACCAGACTTGTTCGGGTATGACCATCCAGCATTGTGGACCACTATCGAGGGTGCCGTTCCGAACTTGGCGATCGAGGTGTGAAGCTAAATAATCAACCAAGTGTCAAGTCAGCAAATCTTCCATTTTATATGTTTCGGTGCGTTAGATACCGCTTTTTTCCAACTCTCTTCCTCGGCAACATTGGCTTGGATTTGATATGCCTGTTGCTCGGAATACCCTGCAACAGCACCATCTGCGGCCTGAAGGTCCATTCCTAACACAAAGGCGCCTTCACGAATGAATGTCTCCAAAATTCCGCGTCCAAACCCCTGAGTGGAGCCAGAGACTAACGCAATCTTTCCTTCAAGGCGTCCGGGCATTTTGCAAAATCAAAACAAAAAATTATAAGTGAATAGATAGTGAGAGTATTCAAATTGTGTTCCTTGTCATCTTTTAATTCGTATTTTCGAACCTACTTATACCTAATTAACAGTTTATCTGGTGGGGTGATCGAATCTTTGACGGCAGATGCCACATAGTTCGTGCTCGGCCCGGGATGTGCGGGGAACTCGGAACAGGCATCCGTGTTGTGATATAGTTAGTTGTTTTGTATTTCGAATGTCTCCCTCAGACTTCAAATGAGTTTCATCTCGGGCCGTAGGATTCGAGAACACAATCAATGGCACCATCAACTTCAACGCCGAGTGATTTGCGCCGAGCGCCCGTGTGAGTTCCCTACCATTACCCTTCCGACAAGGACCTAGCTTGCCCTATACTAATCACCACTCTAAGTGCTTGTCTGCAATGTCGGAAGGCCAAAGTACGTTGTCTGGTCTCTGCTCATTTTGATCGATGTGACCGATGCAAAACAAATGAAACCGAATGTGTGTTTACTCAGCCCAAGAGAGCTAGGGCCAGGGCCCACCCATATCCCACACCACTTCAAAGAAGAGAGGCGCTAAATAGCGATGATTGCCGTGGGTCTCATCTCCTAGATAGCCTTCCTGTCGGTGATCAAGAAGTGCGAGCAGAGTCGCCCTCAGACGGTCCATCCCCTCCCAGAGAGCCGCCATTTCGACCACCGAGCCCGCGAGCGAATTTCGGAGACAGTCAACACCCGCCGTTGGAACATGACGAACCAATTATTACCAATGCTATACGCACGAGGATATTAAAGGCATTAGCCACCATCAAGCGCAGACGGGGCTCTCCATTTAGTTTTGTCACCTCAGGCGATAGTCCCTCCTTTAGTAACAAAGGGGAGTCCAACGCTGAGACGCCGGATGGCGCCTCATCACCAGGATTCTCAGGGCGGTCACAGGAAGCATCATTCTCTTTGAAGCTATCGTGTATACTTCGGCCCTTGAGGAATGACGCCCACTCTGGAAACAATGATGACGACTGGAGACCCATGGGCTGCGTGAAGATGCCCAGCTATCTCTCTTCGATGACCATGGGGCAAACAATCACAGACCCAATAGATGGTGGAATACTCAGTCTACGGGCATCTCACGCTCTTTTCGAATTTTTCATGGTCCAGATGAATGCCAAATGGGAATATATCCTGGACCCGCACACAGACACTCACAACAACATGCGAAAGCGAAGCACATTATTGTTCGCCGCAATCCTGTTTTGCTCATCCAAATTTGCCAAATTTACTCGTGACGCAGTAATATCATCTTCGGATCCATTCCTACAAAGTCGACTCTGTATCCTGGCACGAAACCTAGTTATAAAAACCCTCGCGGAGGGAGACAGGTCAATAGAGACAATGCAGGCGCTGTACTTGCTCGTTTGCTGGAAAGATGCTGATGATGAGATCTCTTATCTTCATAGTGGATATGCGTTTCGTATCCTCCATGACTTGGATCTTGGGCATGGTGTTTCTGATGGACGTGAGATGGCGCAACGAAAGCGAACATGGCTCGCATTGTTTCGGCAGGATCGACAGCAAAGTCTATTTTTTATGCGGAGGGGCTCTCTTGGCCAGGGAGACGATAATATGCATTTACTTGGAAACCTTGATAATTGGTTGGAAAGTCCATACTCGTTGGCGTTGGACTTTGCTGGTTGCTGCAGCGCAGGTATACGCTGCATACAGTCCAAGCTACGACATATGGTCCAGAAGGCTTCGGTGTCGATGCTGCCGTGTCTGCTTGATCTCATGGACACGGAACTGGAATCATGGCGAGTGAAATGGAACGGTCTTCTCGAGGGGGAAGGAAGAGCAAGAGCAGAACATGACTCGTTCGTTCTGCCTGGAGCGTTATATGCGGATAGGGAGCACCTGGCCACTCTTGTCGGAGTATGGGAGAACAGTGTTAGACTCAATCTGTCTTCTGCCATTTTTCGTCAAGCCCTAATAGGATCTGTATCATCCTCGCTACATCCCATCGATCAAGGTGTCCAGGCACCTGTAGATATCGACCTGTCAACCATGAAAGAAGTTCTCTCGCCTGGTCTACCGGGACTGACGAGCAGCGTGGAGAGTGCATTCGAAACATTGCGTTATTTGATGAGATTTCCAATCAGTGACATCCGGAGGGCTCCTGATGCGATTCTTTTGCTCGCTCCAAACGCGGCGCTGTTTCTATGCTTACTCCTCTGCCTACCGGGGAGTGGCATTCTCGGCCCAGGCTTTCAGAAAACTGCAGTTAGCTTGATTCGAGATATTGCACAGCATATGCGGCTATCTGTTCAAACGCCGCAAGATATCGTCGCTCTACTTGCAACATATTTGGAATCCATCGTTGATCTTTTGGGCCCATCGGGATCGGAGGAAAATAGCTCCATGTCTCAGTCAGCCTTTGATATGAATTCGCTATCTGGAGAGAGAGACAGTATAGACTTTGACTTTTCAACGTTACAGGCAACCCAGATTCCGACCGATGGTCTTATAGCACACGGCTTTGGTGCCGATCAAAACGACTCCATGGTGGGTATTACGCAAGAGTCAAGTCAAAACCTCCATGTTCAAAGTCTGGCTAATCTGCTAGATGGTTATTTCTTTTGGGATATACCAACTGTTTCGTCTGCTCCAAACATTAGCTAGTCTTATCATAATATAGTCTATAATATTTCAATAAGTATACCATAGGCGTCAATATTCTACCAACTACTAGTAATGCCGCGAGCGAGTCCAAATTAGATACTCCATAATAGATATTTATGGAGAAATATTATGCGCCATGATTTGTTCAAAATACTATCTGAAAAGAGACATATACAATCCTGCTATGGAACTATATTTCACAAACGGAGGGCTGCTAAATGGACCACCCTTTTTGCTAAACGGACCATAGGCCGTTCCCAAGGCCTGAATCTCGACTTGTATGTGATCTCCATATAACCTTGGAACTTTAGATATACTTCATCTACGTCTAAAGTGCTGTCAAAGTTTCTAATCTCTTCAAGTTGTTAACCTCTCTGGTCTCCGTCTTCCTATAGTTAGCAGACTAGTACCTTCGTAAGATAGAATAGATAATATATTCTTTCCTAGATAGGTACCAATCTACTATTAGAGGGCAGTAACTAATTGTAGACAATAGAAGTTTACAAACCTTGACAGTACTACTGTAGACATAGTTTAAGTGTATCCAAATTCGTATAGAGATCACATACTAATCTGGATTCAGAAGGGCCCATTGTCTGTTCAGCCAAAAAGGTTGTCCATTTCGCAGTCCCCCACAAACAGCATTCATGGCGGCATCGAAACTTGAATATCGCCAGGGGAATGGACGGACTAAGAGTTGTCCGCACACGAAAAAAACCCCGATACTTTCCCTTCATTGTATGAGTTCTTAATGTTGAGCACGGTTGCATATGTCCCCCCAACAACAATAAAAACCCCCGCAAGAATCATCAATATTCCCAGAAGGAGTGCTATAGTCTCCTTTGATCCATCTTTCCACTTCGCTAAGGCGAGGGGCAACCATTGTGTAGTTCGGTATTCGTGACTCCCATCGTTCCTAGCACATTCTTGAATCCTCGTTGGTCTTTCAGCAATGAAGAACAGAATCATGATACCTGGAAAAATGGCGGTGAAAACAGGGTTTACCAGTGCACCAACCAAGCTTAAAAAATCATCAAAAAACGGGATTATTCCCACAATGATGAAAGCGAGGGCTGCTGTCACGGCCATCGATCCTATCCATGTTACCCAGTGCTTTATCGTATTTGTTTGAAGATGGGGCGTCCCACGTAGGATCCTAACAAACCAATATTTCGCAGCAACATGACTCCATAGGATTGCTGTTACCACCAGACCCGGCAAGGCAATTCCATAGGCGATCTTCTTGATCAGGGGGCCGGCGGACCCTAAGGCTGGACTTGAAAGATACTGGCCAACCTTTCCATAGACTATAGATGCAATAATAATGCAAGTAGCGACAATGAATGATTGGCCGCAAATGAGAGCCCGTGTGAATAATTCGGGTCTTTTCATCTCGGCCGAAACGGAGAAGAAGGTGCCACTCGCCCCAACAGCAAACAGCTGACTGGATACAGCTCCCATGGCCTGTGAAAAATTCGTCCTAGGGAATACGCGAATTTCCAGATCAAGAGGGACATGGCTGTTTAATGGAGCTGCTGCTGGATGATCCTGGGCCAGGCAGGCAATGGCTGTGACCCAAATAGCAATAATTATACCAGCAACGCCCACCCAGCTCAGCCAAGAAACCCTTTCCAGAGACCGGAATGACGTTCCAAATATAAAGGCAGCAGCGCATGCGACAGCGACAAATACTGTTGTACATGCGCCATTGTCGGATAACGCGTTCAGAGCCACAGACGTAGTAAGCAGTCCGGCGCCGGCGACCAAAGTAAGGTAGAGATAGTATATCACACCCATCACCTCTTTTGCCGCTGTTCCGAGTATCATCTCTGCTGCGTCGCCGATACTGTGAATCTGTGGAAAGTATTGTCGAGCATTCCCACTGACGTAGCCAGCAATTGTTGTCATGCATGAAAGAACGACAAAACAGAGTATTCCGGGAAAGAATCCCAGTGTGTGGAATGTAGAAGGGAGGCTGAGCGCGCCCAGACCAATTTGGAGTTTAGCAATAAGAATAGCCGCCCCTTGCCATGACAGAGAGCGGAAGTTGATATCAGTATCTTCGACGTCGAAAAGGTCTTGCTGTGTTGAGATTTCGGTTTTGGGATCAGTCGTTGAATTCATCTCTTCGAAGCCACCATGCTCGATATGATGTGTTGTTCGCTGGTTATCTTTCTTGATTCCGTCCATTTCAGTTGAATTTATGGAAAAGTAGACAGGATATGAGATGATGTGGATTGTAGCATGAAAATACAGGAAATGGCCTGGTGGGATGCGCAGGTGAAGAGGCCGTGTATTATCTTCTCGCTATCCCCTCTCCCCTCGGCCCGGACTAGCACTGCAACGTGTCGTATTGGCTACCAGAATTATTGGCAGTGCCTACAAACTTAAAAGACAAGTTCCGAGCCTAATCTGAACTTTCGAAAGACTCAATATATTCAAGGCATTTGACCTCCAACAAGTGGATTCGTCTATGGAGTTGAGCCAGACTCCGAGCTTACGGTGTGAAAATACCTGATCGAGCTTGAACGCGAAACAAATGCCAAGTATCTGCACATTGCAACCTGGCATGATTCAAATGATTTTGCCTTAATGGTCACATTGCTGACACGGCAGCCTGCTCGGTCCGGCAAGATCGCAAAAGCTTCTCGACATACATCTACTCCAGGTACCTTCTGCTGCTTGCTCGGACCGAGCAGCCTTGGCACTGAAAAATCATCTTTTCGTCATTGATTTATTACTGAAAGCGACAGTTTCCTAAGCTATTGTGAGTGAATAACAATTCTTCCGTCTGCAGGGTTCACGGAGTCGCCGGGCCGAGAATCGCTGAAGCTGAGGCGCGCATTCTTATTGAAGTTTCTTGAATCTTGCCCTTCACCATCAGTCCTCTGCTCCCCTTTTCCCATACGCAACTTTTCATGTTGAATTTCACTATGTCGTCTCTCAATTCTTTGCGGCGACATATACCTCTCCTAAGTAGACACCGTCTCTTGCCGAAGCACTCCCCTTCCTATTCCCGATCTGTTTCAAAGGCGACCGCGCCAGTGTTTAATGGCTATCGGCCGCGCCTTGGCCACAAAGGAATTGTACTTGTTGCCAGTGCTGCTGGTCTAACCACTCTAGGTCTGATATGGAATGGACCTGGCAACAATGTTGATCAGGATTCGCGCGATAGAACTGCACTGTCCCATGTTTCGCTGTCAAAGCTTATTTCAGGCTGGATGTAGGTATTCTAGAATCATTTCACAGTTCGTTTATCTTTTAAAGTTATATTAGCTGATAAGTTGCAGCGCCTTCGCATTCTGCTCTTCCTCGACATGGGTTGACATGAGCGAAGCCCTTTACAACTTCTTTTCGCGAATCCCGATCATATCTTCCCTGACTAGAGCCATTGTCATGCGAACGTTTTTCAACCAGTTTCTTGGAGGTGAAACAGCATCCGAATGCACGAACAAGATTCAAGACCTACGAAGAGAGGAAATCGGTACCTTATTGGGGTATAATATTGAGGCCGAACTTGATGGGTCCAGCAAGGACACTCAGTTGATTCTTGACCAAACACAACATGTTCTATCCTCTATTGATTACCAAGCCAAGCTTGCAAAATCATTCTGGCCACAAGGGTATGCCACCAATACTGGCGGTGACAATCGATGTTGGGTGCGAATCAAAGTTACTGGATTACTACCACATCCAATTGCTCTTTACAACGGCTCCAAGGCCATCCTGAGGGCCAGAGAACAAAAGGGACTCGACAAAGACGTTCCTTACCCTGGACTACCCCATGACGGCGACTGGGAAGCCGCTCTAAGCGGGACGGAGGTGACTGATTCCGATCGTACAGAGTTGGTAGAGCTTAGAGCCGTTCTCGATAAGATTGCAAGCAAAGCCAGAGATGCCAACGTGCGTATTGTTATCGATGCTGAGCAGTCATGGTATCAGCCTGTTATTGATAGTCTTTCTGACGAACTCATGCGAAAATACAATTCGCTTGACGCACCCCCCACCTGCATTGCTTCATTCCAAGCTTATCTTCGGAGGTACCCCCAGCTACTAGACCAACAAATTCAGCGCGCCGAGGAAAAGGGCTATAAGCTACTGTTCAAACAAGTTCGAGGTGCCTATATGGTCACCGAAAATTCACGGTGGAAAGAAGAAGGTCGCGAAGGGCCTGGTCCAGTTTGGGCTACCAAAGAAGAGACTGACGCGAGTTACAATTACGGAGTTGAGAAAGCCATATCTACGATATCCGATCAGATCAAGCAGCATGGACGCTCGAATCTCAGCGCCATCTTGGCGACTCATAATTCAATCAGTGTTGATCTCGGAGTCGCACTGCTAGAAAAATACGGCTTGGCCAGGCGCGAGGCCCATGGTGACCAACTTGTTATTTCCGATGAAGCAGCAGGCAGCATTTCTTTTGCTCAACTATATGGTAAGCCAGCGTTGTTCAATGCCAGATGGCCCTCGACTCTGTTCTTACATTCTTATAGGGATGAAAGATGATCTCACAAACAAAATTGTCGGTTCTATTCGGGCGCAGGGTGGTTTCCCACTGGTTGTAAAGGTACAGAATATATAACTTACACCCAAACCCGGAAGGCTCAGCTAAACATTTCTTCTACTAGTCAATGAGTTATGGAGATCTGAAGGAATGCCTTCCTTTCTTAGCCAGACGGGCCACGGAGAATAAAGCAGTCCTAGAAGGACGGGAGGTGCAGCAGCAGAGAGGGCGCGACTGGGACGCGAAATTTGGCGGCGTCTATTGCCTTTTAAGCACGAATCATGCAATTCCTAGCTACTGTTTCATAATGCAAGGAAAATCAGATTTATTGTGGGAAATTAATTTTCGAGCTTTGTCATAGTGAATCGAAAAGCCTAATCGTCAAATTAGATTATACGGCTCTTATGAAAGTGTTTTTTTATTGACAACATGAAATAGTTGACCTTGGGCCGTGGCATTAGTTACAAGAATGTGACATGTCACTCGGGTCCATATCCGAGTTTTCAAAACAGCATGGTTCGAAAAGCTTCTAGTAGTTACTATACAGGGCGGATGGGTACCCCGATGCTAGAAGATTGTCGGCCTTGTTTCAAGCACACCAACTAAAGTGAAAAGGATCGGAATGTCAGAGCAGAAGTAAGACTATGCAAAGATTACAATCATTAGTAGCCAAAAATACGATACGAACAGCGTAACCCCAAGCAAAACCCTCAAAAACGCGCAATCTACGCCTTAAAACGGTAATAAACCAAAACAATAACAACAACGGACAATAACCACGCGCCACTTGCCACTACGGCCAAATATCATCTACGGTTTTCAAACACCCGTCGACGGTCGCGAAGTCATCGTGACTGCTACAGGGCTCGGCCGAGAATCTCGGCCGGTGTTCCTGCGTTCGTAGTGGAATGTTTCCATTTTTGCCTAGTCATTCTCATATGCACGTACATTTTCTAGCGTGCGTAATGGCTAGTATGTGGAATCTTGGAATAATTCAATCTCGCAGGAGATGTTTCAAAGAATACTATGAACATAGAATGAATAGTAGGTATATCGTATGGACATTCGCACTCCCGCATCTTTAGGTATCCCATATTAAGAAAGCTATCAATTCTTCCCATAATCCCTAGCTCGAGCTATCGCCGTAGAAGCAGTGCGTTCCAGAATTTCGGACAGTTGGCTGTTCTCAAGATTGGATATCGCCTGCCCTGTGATGCTTCCTGGTGCAGAAAGGGACCATTTCAGGTTCTCTGGCGTAGTTCCAGAGAGCATGAGGCTAGCCATTCCACGAAAGCATTGAGATGCTATGGCAATAGCACGATCTTCGGGGACACCTTCGGAAACAGCCTTTTGTGAAATTTTCTGCACCGCCAAGGCCATCAGCGCGTTGGAAAATGCGCTCATTCCGGTCGCAGCGTCGAAGTATTCACTAGAAACAGGGAAAACCTTGCCAACCTGATTGAAGATCCATGTGGCCAGTTCTATAACCAGCTTCTCCTCGCGCGTACCTCTATTTGTTATCAGAGTTGCCGATTCATGCGCTTCGACTCCCATTGTTGGCATTGCGCGAACAATTCGAAGATCATCATGTGTAAACTTTTGAAGATCATCTCTGTCCCCTCTGATGGTTTGCACTATGTCGGCGCGTCGAGTCCGTGCTAGAATGCTAATCATGGATTTGTGCCTCAAGGCCTGTCTCATATTGCCTTCGCCGAGGACTTCATGGATCTTTTCTGGGGAAAAGCAAATAAAACAGCATCGGCATTGTTGACCACCTCAATATTTCGTCCACAGACAAAGCTCTCCGAGGAAATCCTGCCGTCAAATGATTTTTGGAGTTGTTTTTGTGCGTCACGGCTGTTCAGAGCAACCGTTATTTTGGAAATTGGACTTCGAGGCTGATTAATGGATGGAAGTATCGCTGCAAGCAAAGCACTCCCAATATGTCCTAGAAGGGAGTGTTAGCTGAAATTGACATCATGTGCGCTACATTACTAACCGCAGCCGAGGAATGCCAGATGAACAGGCCGACCAGCAATCGCCATCTTGGAAACAGGTAGAATGCAGGGGTATAGTTTTTGAAAGAAGGCAAACAGAGATGATGCGGATGCTTGACAAGACAAACGGGCGGTTACAGATATTTATGTATTTGCGCTTAGCCTTGGGGTTTTCTAATCTCGGACCAGGTCCCCGACGGTAACCTAGTACATTCATACATTCAAAAGGCTACTAAGATATTGAGGACATGTAGGTATCCACCGACCTGGCGCTCCAAATATTTTAGTCTATCTCCGAAAATACGCTGCGGAAATATTCTTCTTCCTTTGGCAAATATCGAATCAAGGTTTCAATTCTAAGCTCTATGCGACGGAGCATGTGAACTAAGATGATGACATACTTTTCGACTTTTCAGCTGCTGCTAGGATAGCAGTAGTGAATGCTGAACGAACACCCAGTTTCTCAAGTTCCAAAAGAGCCCGAATGGAGCAACCACCGGGAGATGCGATCTTCTCCCGTAGAACGCCAGGGTGGTCGCCTGCAGGGACAAGTTTCATCATTCCAATGGCACTGTTCACAACAAGATTTTGCACTTCCGGTCTTCGAACGCCTTCGGCAACGGCTGCATCCAACAGTCCGTCGATTGCGAGGAGCAGTAGAGAACCCGCGCAACCCACTAGCACAGCGCAAATGTCAAAAGACCCCTCTGGGATTTCATACGCCTCTCCGACTTGACTAAATATCCAGGATGCAATTTTCAAATTGCGTTTCGTAGTCCCGATGCTTCCCGTCCAAAGTGTCACAGCTTCTCGGATTCTGGCAGCCATGTTAGGCATTGCGCGGACAGCTTGGATTGGTGTCTCACTGTCCGATGGTTCGCCTCCAAGGACTAAACGCTCCACCTCTTTCGTGGTAATTCCTGCCATAATGCTGACGATAAATTTACCTCGCAAGGTCTCTTTGAAACCTGGCTCCGCGAAAACTTCAGCGCGCTTGATTGGTTTCATTGCCAGGAAGACAATGTTCGCATCTTGGATTGCACGTACGTTCTCCTGCTTTGTGAGAACTGTGATACGATGTAGACTCGCGTCGAAAGTTTCCTCAACGCGCTGTTTAGATGATTCTGTTCCGACGGTGGCTGTAAGATGCTTCACATGAGGTCCATTGTCGCTCCTCGGTTCCAGCATGCCGGTAGCGATTGCAGTCCCAAGGGTGCCTGTTCGATTTTGTGAATAAGCTAATTAGACAGCCGGAGTCATGATTCGGTACTTTGCTTACCGCAGCCAATAATGGTAACTCGTAATTCGGCGTCCATTGTTAGTTTTGATGTGGATTTCTTGTCATGAAATTGTTCGCTTGGTTGACAACAATATGACTTTTTACTTGAATATTTGAAAGAGTCAACTGCTACCCCGCAAGTAAACAAACATATCTCACTGTTTTGTCCCATGCAATAGTTCCTATCGTATCTGTATCTCGGCCCGAGGAGAGGAGTGTTAGCTATTCGGCAGGATGTGCCTCGCAGAATGTTCGGACCCCGGATCCGATTGGAAAGCAAAGGAATGACTATGTTTGTATCATGACCGTGAAGAAGCCCTAATGACTACCAGGAATGATCGAATCCCGTAGTAGAACCTTGGAAACTGAAATTAAGAGGAATAGGAAGACAATGGAAGTACCGATAAGAAACTTGAACTTGGACATCATCAAACAGTACTTTGGTCCGCAGTTACATATATATATTTACACCTTGGAACTCCAGGGCGAGGGGCTGATCCATACAAAAATGAATTATGATAAATCATTTTCACTTATAGTATGCAGATAATATAGACTGGATAATGTCTAGCGAGCCATGATGGAAATGGCATCTAAACAATCAGGACCAAAGCGCAGAGCTTTACTGGGAGTAGGACAACAATGCGAAATTGTAACGTCTATATTGAAGCTGTTGCTGATTTCCGGAATGAAGGCATCTATCGGCAATCCGGATATGGCTTAGGCCACTATGTATTCCGGATCTGACCAATCGAATCATTTGCCTATGCTCGTACAAACGACCACTTCTCCCCGTTGATGTACATTAGGCAAGGCAAAATAGGAGGTAAGGAGGGGCCTTTCGAGCGAGAGCGGCCCCAAAAATGACGAATAAAAGAGGGTCTTGTGGGGTAGACTCGCCTTCGTTTGTCATTCCTTCCCTCGCCGATCTATTTTCGGCTCGAATGTCAAGACTTGGGTACCCACTTGGGGCTGCGCAACCTTTGTGATTCCTGCTGAATCAACGCCACACTTATCTTGCGCTTGGCGGTCGTCTTCTTTTCATCTGCTCAGCAGCCCTCAACTCACACTGCTTCATTTGAGTGTGGAGATAGGTTTTTGTTTCTAAAATCACATCAGGGCTCTCTCTTTTCCCGCCGAACCGAACCCGCCTAGCCGAGCTAACATTTGGGGGCCAAAGATAGTCCAGATAATTATCCAGTTTCTCCATGATTTTGGACCCATCTCAACCGCTCGAGGGTAGTAAATATGGATCTAATCCATTCCTTTTCCCAATCATATTGGTCATCGCATTCTATCCTGGCCTGTGGTGGAGCACTTGAGGTGCTTTGTTCATGTTCCTCAGAAAGTTCTCTAACTGAACGTTTGGGGGCTAGCTTTTTATGCCAATCATACATAACAGTGAGTTTCCTTTGTAAAAGGGAAAATTTGAGACCGTTTTCTGCTTCCAACGCCCGAATTAGAGCCCAAAGCAGGGCCCTTCAAGCTCACGAAACATGCCGCTGATAGGCTTCAGCAGTCGCGGTAAAGGGCGCTCCTTGCTGCTTCTTGGATTCCTTGTGCTGGCGTCGGTGTTCCTGTTCGCCCAGCTCCACCAATTGCAGCCAGTCATTCAAAATACACCAGTTATTGAGTATACGGGACCGCCAACGACCGTCTCCGCTGCGGAGGAAGAACACGTTCCAGTTCTTCCTGCACCATACACCACTGTTCCCGATAAAGTGCCTTTCTGTGCAGAGCGGTTTGAAACTAAGTATCTCGAAAAACTTCGTGATTCCGCAACGCAGTATTGCAATGAGTCACAGGCTTTGACCTGCTTTCACTCTCAGGTCGTGAATCGATGGGACTCGTTCTGTTTTGGCAAAAAAGCCAAGTTTCTACCAGAAGATGGCAAGTTTCAGTTGGATTGCAACCTGACGTGTACAAGGAAGACAGAATCAAATTCGAAACCTCTCGAGCTCAATGTCTTCCATAAATACTGGTATGACACTGTGCCGAGCCGAGTCCTCGATGGCTTGGTTAAAATGAAACATGAAGCCGAGTTCTGGCCACAAAAGTCTCAGAATTATACCATTTTAGTCAAACGAAAAAGTGCGACCAATTTGTGGCACAGCTTGTTGGAGATTTATTCTATGCTGCTGAGTTTGGATGTTCTTCACATGACATTGCAGCCAAACATGCCTTCCACGCCCTTCATCTCCAAGAGCGATGCCGAAAACACACAAGTAGTCATTCTCGATGATCATGAGGATGGTCCATACTATGAGTTGTGGTCACTCTTCGCCAAGAAACAAGTCGTTCGGATGAAAAACGTCTCACCCAATACAAGATTTGAGAACATCATAGTTCCGCTTGGCGGGGAAAGCAATCCTCTCTGGCAGGGTGATTGGGAGATCAACACATGCAAATCATCCGCACTTTTGAATACGTTTGTCAATCGAGTATTGGCGTTTTATAGTCTCCAGAAAACGAAACATCGGCAGAGTGATAAGCTCACCTTGACTTTTATAGACGGGGTTGGTGGTCAGAGGCTTGTCGATCAGGAAAAGTACCTGAAGGAGCTGCAAAATTACTTTCCTCTTGTCAACATCCAATTGATTGATTTTGCGGCAATTTCCTTTAGGGAGCAATTGAAAATAATTCAACAGACAGATGTTCTTGCAGGGGTTCATGGAGCAGGCCTAGCTCACGGGACTTTCTTGCCACCTGGATCGGTAATGGTGGAAATCCTACCGAACACTCCCAATCACAAGGGCTTTCGCAACATGGCGTCTTTAATGGGACATTCATACTTCAGTACCGGTGTCTCGAAAATGTCGAAAAAGCCTAACTGGCATAGTGAAGATAATTCAATTGAAATTGAAACGTTCTTGGCCGTCATGAAGCTGGCAATCAAGACAATGTACAACAAGAATCTGCGAAACTACGACGCTAGCTAATTCGGCTATTTTTCTTTCCAAATTCAAATTAACATATGTTCTAATATTATTTTTGCTCAGGCCAGAGAGGTCATATGGACTGATTTTCGTTTACAATACAATCCAAGTGATAGAAGCGAGGCGATTATTCCCGACGATTAAGGGTAGTCCCGGACATTCCCTTTACGCCCCGACTTTCTCTAAATTGAAGGAAGGAGGAGACCACCAGGAGTTCCCAGACATTATCTGGTGCATAAAAAATTGAAGCTTTAATTTCCTCGGTCATCTCGTTAAACTATGAAGTCTCGTATGTATTACTCCGGAATGTGACAAATGCCTAGAGTTTCGCTGCTGCTCACATAGGAGTCCTTCACGCAGCGCGGACTCGAAAACCTCAGGAGAACATTCACGGAGTTTGCCTTGTCATTCGTTCCACTAGATCGGGCCCCGCCGAAGGGGTGCGCACCGATAACCGCTCCAGTGCTCTTGTCATTGATGCAAAACATTCCAACAGAATCTCGGAGGTGCTGGTCTGCGATATTTATGGCTTCTCTATCGCGGGCGAAGAGTGAACCCGCCAAACCATACTCGGAGGTAGAATCAATTACTTTACAAATATCTTCAAATCCCGACGGCGCAGCGTCATCATATACCTGAACGGCGAACGAAGGGCCAAAAAGCTCCTTCGTCATGAGATTCGATCTGGCATTTTTCCCGGGATTGTTCAACTCGAAAATGGCGGGTTGGACGAAAAACCCTTTTTTGCCATCAGTATCGCCTCCATAGATCAAGGCGTGGCCCTCATCCAATGTATTTTGAACAAAATCCTTAAATCTTTCAAATGAAGCTTCCGAGATCATCGGACCCAATGGATGGTGCAGCGCTTTCACATCATCTCCGTGTGTCATCCGCTCTGCTTCTCTAATGAGAGCTTTTTTCAAGTCACCTTGTTGCCACATGGATCTAGGGACAATGAAGCGAGACATAGCACTGCACTTTTGGCCCTGGAATTCAAATGCTGAGCGTACAGCAGCAGAGGCGATCCAGTCACAGTCATCCTTGCAAGAATTGTGGACGAGATGAAAGTTTTTACCACCACTTTCGCCTACAATCCGAGGGAAGCTTTTGTAGATATTGGTGTTGGCGCCAATTTGAATACAAAGCGTCCTCAAGACGGTAGAAGATCCAGTATAATGAAGTCCGGCAAAATGCGGGCTAGTAAGGGCTGGCTCGACAACTGTGGTCGGATCAGCCTGGGGCAAGAACTGGACAACACCTTTGGGCAGGCCCGCCTCCTCCATAATTTGATATATGATGTAATTAGACAGGACCGCCATGGGTGAAGGTTTCCACAAGATCACATTTCCCAGGATAGCGGGCGTAAAGGCAATATGTGTTCCGAGGGCCGTGAAGTTAAATGGCGAGATGGCAAGAACAAAGCCTTCCAGGGGCCGATAATCCAGCCTACTAGTCGATGAATCATACTGCTTGATAGGCTGTTGATCGTATAGCTGGGCGCAAAAATAGACGTGGAAATTGAGAGTGTCGATGACCTCGGCGATGCAATCGCCATCAGCCTGTCCACATGTTTTCCCTTGTCCAATCATTGTTGCCGCCATCAACTTCCAACGATATTTTGGAGTTTCGACAAGCTTGGCGGCTTTGCGATAGATGGCCGATCTATCTTTGAAGGACATATTGGCCCACTTCTTTCTCGCCTCTAGTGCACCGGGAATGGCCTCGGTCTTGACAATATTCGATTCTACCTCATGATACTCTGCGAGCGGGGAACCATTTCCATTCCAAGGATTTGCCTGGGTGCTTTTGCGACCACTGTATATCCGTTCACCGTTGATAATACTGGGGATTTGAGTGACAGTACTTTCAAGCTCCGCGAGGGCTGCTTTCAAGAGTTGTCTCTCTGAAGATGCAGGTGCATAAGAAAGCTGGAACAATGTCAGCAATCTCCCTTTTTAACGTTCTCTCCCCATCACTCCAGTTTAACACATACACAGCTTGCGTTCGAAGGCTCCGGGTACTGGGCGGTAGGCATTTTCTTCTCTAGTACAAATATCGTCAGATAAAGATTTCCGAGGAAAGAATATGAACTTCGTCAACATGCAGGAGCGAATTTATCATTATAATGGAGCCAATACGCTCAATCAGGAAATGTCGCTGCTCCAGCCGATTTCTCGGAAAGGTCATCCGCGTTTTATCCTAGCTCACAACAATTAGTCGTTGAATCGGACCGAGGAGAGGATATTGACTACAATGGAAATACAACAATAGTCAACCCAGAAAATAGAAATTTGTAAGTAAACACAAGATTTTATGTCATATACACCCCATTAACCCTGACCCGGATTTTCATACTTTCCTTTCCTCTTATGTGCGGTGCGTGATGGGTGCAATCAACCCAGTGTTCCCTCTATTAATTTGCACACGGATTATTGTAAAATCTTTATTGATGGAGGAAGTGAAACCAACAAAGAAGTGTGCTATCGGCCAAGCAAAGGACCAAGGGTAGGCAAGCATATCACTTAGGATCGCGGAAGGCAGCGGGGGACCAACTCACGCAGGCTCAGGGAGCCGATCGCTTCCTGGGTAGGTACCAGTAACGTTACCATCACTATCATGCCATTCCCTCAGCCAGACGCGACTATACGAACACCTGGTAACTAATGTGGTGAACCATCGTTGCTGGAGGTCAGTTGCACAGGAAAAGGCGGATGACAAACGCCGCTCGCCCGCATTAAAACCCCGTGTTTGCCCGCAAGTTTCTTATCAGCTGCCAAATGACAATACAATACACAAGTTCCATCCCACTTGAACTAATCTGCCACCAAAACAACTTCACCATGCCCGTAATAAATGTAAAGATACGTCACAATAGTCGGAAACTGCCGATCCCCGCCACGAACTCTGCCCTGTTGATCGCTCACGACTACGACCTTGAAACAATTTGCTAGAAGGCTTCGATGCAAGGGCACTGCGGAGAAGGCTGTCGAATGCAGAAGGAATAACCTTGATAGCCCTACCCCAGACCTGGAACAGAACTCGGCGTTCGGAAGGGTGTTTTATCAGGCGACGTTACCGCCACCTTCACTAAGCTTTGACCCTTGAACGAGGATATATCAGGCCCGCATCCGCTCGTTGGAATATTTTTTGACCTGGTCGGCATGTACTTGAGTTAATAGATCGGATGCACTTGGATTTTGATCTGCATTCTTGATACCGCATCGCATCGCGTCGCATCGCATCGCATCGTATCGCATCGCATCGCATTACTGGTGGCCAATACACGCCAAACGTTTTGAAATCTGCCATACACTGCCCTTGTTTTGAATTTGAAGAGGAACATTCTTCAATATGAGACGAGAATACGAATTCACTGTTTACCGGGGAACATTCATCCAGCTTGGTCGGCTGCCCGACTCAGACTTGACCTCAACACCGCCTAAACCAGAGCTTCAGCGCACTCAGGGTATCCTGTGGGTTTCCGCCGAGAGCGGTCGGATCAAGGGATACGACTGGAAAGTCCAAGGTGATGAAGCATTTACTGGGTTTATGAGCAAAAATGGCTGGGTTGATGTTGATGGAAGGACGAATGGCAATCTTGGGGGCGCGACCAATGTGAAGATCGTCGAGGCACGCGAAGATAAGAACGAATTTTTCTTCCCTGGATTCATCGGTAAGCGCGAATATTTGCCATCATTCAACATGTCTCATGAAAGCCTTTACTAACAATTGCAGATACTCACATCCATGCCCCTCAATACCCAAATGCAGGCCTCTTCGGCTCCTCAACCTTACTGGACTGGCTAGAGACCTACACTTTTCCAGTAGAATCAGGTTTCGGCACACAGCCAACCGTGAAGGGCCAAAGCCAGGCCCAGAAGCCAGAGGATGCACCAGAATCAGCACTACTTAAGTACGACCAGGTCGTTTCACGCACACTCGCTCATGGCACAACCTGCGCATCGTATTTCGCGACAGTCCACGTCCCAGCAACAAATGCCTTGGCTGCAATTTGCCAAACACGGGGCCAGCGCGCTTTCATCGGCCGAGTGTGTATGGATGAGCCAGGCTTTTGCCCTGACTACTACAGAGATCTCTCCGCCGAGGATTCTCTGTCCGCGACAAAGGATACGATTCGGTACATCCACACTCTGGACCCGAAAGGCGCTCTCGTGAAACCGATTGTCACGCCCCGTTTCGCGCCAACATGCTCCCGACCTTCTCTTACTGCCCTTGGTCAATTGGCAGCTAGCTATAACCCCCCGCTGCACATCCAGACACACATTGCGGAAAACAAGAACGAAGTGGCCTTGGTGAAAGACCTCTTCCCCGAAGCAGAAAGCTATACGGCCGTTTACGATCAGCACAATCTGCTCACGCCGCGGACTATTCTCGCGCACGCGGTACACCTTTCAAAGGAGGAGCGAACGCTCGTCAAGGCGCGTGATGCGAAGATCTCACACTGCCCTGCCTCCAACTCGGCCCTGGGCTCCGGAATTGCCCCAGTACGAGACTATCTCAACGAAGGCATCACCGTTGGCTTAGGCACGGACGTGAGTGGTGGCTATAGTCCTTCCATCCTAGAAGCCGCCAGACAAGCCTGTCTTTCCTCGCGACTACTCGGCCACACGAAAGACTATGTTGAGTACCATTCCCATACCTGTAACAGCAGCAAATCTGTTGACGGAGCAGAGAAGCTATCCGTCGCTGAGAGTTTATACCTGGCCACCCGTGGCGGAGCTGCTGTCGTCAACATGGAAGACGATATTGGCGGGTTTGAGATCGGGATGATTATGGATGCGCAGTTGATTCAGCTGGGCTCTGTGAGAATGAATGGTGCATCTCCGCTTTCTTCTACTGCTAATATGAACGGGGGACCATGTACCAGTCTGATTCAATCTGGACCTGTTGGTAATGTGGATATCTTTGGAACTGAGTCTTGGGAAGAGAAGATCCAGAAGTGGGTTTGGAGTGGAGATGATCGGAATGTTAAGGCTGTTTGGGTTGGGGGAAGAATGGTTCATTGGAGAGTGTAGAACTTGCTAAAGTATTCCCTTACTTCGCGAGTGTCCACCGGTACATGGCGTCTAATGTGCACATATTTGATTTACGAAATCGATTGATCTACAGGGCTATTTCGCAATATAATCCCGTTTTTGAAAGAGATCGCAATTCAGTAGACTAAAATTTTTAACGATCACATATTGAATGCTTGAGTAATCACACTAGTTACTAGTAGGAATTGGCTTCATATCTTCCGCATCCCAGTGGGGGCCAAATTTATGTCGCCGTGCCAGTGCACAATCGGCCCGATCCACCCGCCAACCTACCCACTAAAATGTGTCTCGCAATTGTTGCTGTCCATTCAGAATTCATCTTGCGACCGCGGGATAAATAGGCCCCGAAGGATTTTACCAATTTCAAGATAACATGACAAATTCTGCCAACCGGAGAGAAACACTGGAGTTGGAGAAGGCAAAGGAATATTCCAGGCAATCAAACTACGTTTCTGACTAGTCGGGGAGCAATTATTTAAGGAGAGGTCACTGCATCACTGAAATAGTCATGAAGTAAATCCACAAACCATTCGATTTTGAACCATATTTAACTCATTCCTACGAAAACATGTCCCAACCAACTCTCGTGGTCATCCCGGGTTCTTTTTCGCCCCCAGCCCTTTACAAAAATTTCGTCGACAACCTCCGATCGCTTGATTTCGAAGCCATCGTCGAGCCACTGCAATCTGCTATTCGGAGAGAGTCATCACCGTCGTCATCTATGTACGATGATGCATCTCATTTTCGCGAAGTTATCTCAAAGTTAGCCGACCAGGGAAAAGACATCGTCCTTATACCTCATTCATATGGCGGGATCGTCGCCAATGAAAGCGCCAAGGGTCTTCTGAAGTCCGACCGATCGAAAGCTGGAAAGGCCGGCGGTATTGTGGAGATCGTCAATATCAGCACTCTCACCCCCGCAGTGGGTGAAACTGCCCTTGACGTTGCGGGAAAACTTGGCCTTGACCAATTTCCCGTTGAGGTAAGAAATCTCCACATATAACTCGCGTTAATTATTCCCATTCTGACTTATCCAGGGTGAATACATGGTTCTCGAAGACGAGGGATGCGCGAAAGCGAATTACAATGATGTTCCCTGGGATCAGGCGTTGGAATTCGCGAAAGGGCATAGCGATCATTCGGCGAAGAGCTTTAGAGATAAACTTACTTATGCAGCCTACTTGGACATCCCATCGTCATGGGTGTTCTGCGAACGAGATGTCTTGCTTCCGCGGGCTTTCCAAAGGGAGACGATAGATCTCATTGAGCAGCGCAGTGGCAAAAAGGTCCGCGTTTTCAGCATTGATGCTGGCCATTGTGTTACTTCGACACGGCCAAAGGAGCTGGCGGTCTTGATCCAAAAGATCTTGAGCAAGTGATTTGATGAATCCTGTCAACAATTATATTACTTAGAATGTTAGACTAGCTTGGCGCAATTTAAGAACTACTGTTTCAGGTCCTAATTGTTTAAGAGTTTCGGGGAGAATAAGTTTCAATAACTTCTCAACAGTGTTGATCTATAACATAGACTTCTGCCCTGTTCAAGGTGAAGATAGCTTTGTGACCTTCACTGGAACAGCTCAACGCAGTCGAAAATCTATTGAAATTCGAATTAGCTCATGCAGATAGTGGAGGGATGGTTGAGAGATACTCACAAAGTTGGGGCTCAGATAGGTATCGCCAGAGCTTCCAGAAACAACGTTAATGGTAATCTGCGAGATGTCAATAATCTGAACTAGTAACCCCAGAGTAAATATCCACTTACAGTGTTGGTTCCCGCGACAATAGTGCCACTGGGAATGGAAACATCATAAACTTCTCCCAGGCCGCGGTAAGCTCCCCGAGTAACGCCGCGCGAGTTGAGATTAGTGGGTGCGGACGGGGTGCTACCGGTGTAGCTGTTGATCTAGCTTGGGGTCAGAATTTTGTATATCCGATTGAGTTGGAGTAGGCTCTTACGGTAGCTTGTGGCCGACCACCAGCAAAGGAAAGGGTAGTACCGATCCTCAGGGTCGCGGCTCCAGTCTGAGATGAAGTTGCAGTGAACTTGATGGTAATCGGCGAGTTCACTGATTTGAAGATAGCCATCGGGAACTGGGATGTCGTAGAGCTACCGACCGTGTAGGTACCGGGGCTCCAAGAGGACATGCGGGTATCAGAGGGGTGCATGCGGAGCTGGTTGGCGGCATTGAGGAATCCAGTTGGTCTATGCTGTCAGCTTTGGTGTAGGAGTTGATTAGTGGAGTCTACATACTGCCCATCCCAGTCTCCAATCTTGAAGATCGTCGTGCCGGTGGTCACTTTTCCGGAGATGCTCTTTGATGTGGTCGAGCCAGCGGTAACAGTTACCGACGAAGTTGCGACGGCGAACTCTCCCTGGTAGTAGACCATGGTGTAGGTGCCAGGCTTCATGGCAGGTGAAGTAAATGAGCCACTGGAGGATGTGTAGGTCCAGTACTGGGCAGCAGAGTTGTACCAGTGAATTACCCAATCAAAGGAGGAACTGGCACCGGAAGCGGTTCCAGAAACGTAGCCTCGCCCGGAGGTAGCGACATAGCCCTTGATACCCAGGTTGGCGAAGAACGAAGTGTCGATGTTGGTTGACGGAGTACCGCTGCGGCTAAAGTACATCATGTATGGACCGTGTAGACCTTGACGGTAGGTTTCGGTTTGGACATGGCCAGAGTTCTATTTCTGTCAGATGTGAAAATGAGTGTCGTGTGGATAAATCGTACCATGTACCAGTACAGGCCAGTATATGAGCCGACGTTGTTGGTATTGATGTCGCTAAGAATGTTAGTGAGATTTCCTCGGGTGCGTGGTAATTTAGTTAGAAATGCTCATACCGATGGAAGGGACCACCAGCTGACGTCTCATACTGGGGAATAATCATGCAGACACGATGCGCGCTGCCGGACACACCTAGACTTTGATTAGTGTTTTTCTCCGGGACAGTCATAGAAACACTTACAATGTCTTTGATCATCGATAAATCGCTGACTGGAGTAGAACTTGCTTCGGGTTTCGCCATCAACAAGATACTGCAATATGTTAGCCTCGCACAGTTCAGCTGGTCCGGTTTACCCACCACATCCGAGCCCTCGATAGCAGTTCCATCAGCAATCGTCGAGACATCACCAAAGGGTTCTTCATTGGGGAGCAGGTCCGCATTCAGTCGGGCGATGTATCGCAACTCGCCGATAGATGGTTCTTGTAAAAGTCAGCCAAGTGCAAACTGGACAAATCCCTCCAGCCCGCTCTCACTTACCAGCAGTAGTGTAGGTGGCCATATAGATGATTGGATCGCCGCTGTGCACAACATAATAGTGTGTGAGGGTATCAGTTGCGCAAGTGACCGTGATGTAATCGCCTTTAATGGTCAGCCTTTCTCGTGAACTGTCGCTGAAGAACAAGTGAACCTACCACTCTGCGTTGCGCTGACGGTAGCAGTTCCCAGACCTGACCCGATGTGCGAACCGGTCGACTGGTACTGCAGCTCAGATCCATAGAAATTGATCGACGAGATGTCGCAACTAGTGCGGGAGACGGTAAACTTGAGTGGGTTCGACGATCCAGCGTCCACGACGTAAGTGCCACTGTTAGTTGTCAGTCCAAATGCAGCATTGGCTACTTTGGCCCAAAGGGCCAATGCAACAACACCCAAAGCCCGAGAGAACATTGCGATGCGACAGGTTGGCTCAGAAGCAGACAGTCGCAGACACTCCGGTGGGTTTTACTATTTCCTTCCATCTGTGGCTTATATACTGGCTTCAAGTGCCAAATCTTCACTTGAAACCCTCTATCCTGAACGGTGGAGATTTACCGTTAGCTCGGCTCCGTCGCTGCATTGAATTCGGGGGTTATTCTACATTGGACTTTGGTTCCACCAATCTCGGTATATCAATTTAGCTCACATTAAGGGGTTCGAGGCATTCCGTCTCCCCTTTCGTCACGGCAGCACTAGTGATAGCCATCCTTGCACGTCATCATCTGAGTGAAATACCGAAATAGCCTAGCGAACTGAAATAATGTCATCCCTATTCACGTTGAGCACAGAAATCATCCGAGAGGCTTGCCAAGAGCCCCTGCAATTCGATGTGGGGGAAACTGGCTGTTTCAAGGGAGCGGCGGCTAGTGGTGGGTAAAACATGAAGATTGATGGGAGCTATTCCTACTTGGCGACGCGTAAATGTAGGATTTCAACTTTGTATGCCGAACCTAGAATAAGATCTGCATTTCCTTCAGAAACGTCCACCCCGCCCGGAGTTCAGGTCATAATTCTCGGTTCACTTTACCACGAGAAACCGAGCGGGATCATGCAGTTCGACTACATACTCATATACGCCTCCTAATGTTGCCAAGGCCTCTGCGGGGTACATAAGCTCTAGCTTGTTTGACTGGTGGATGATTCTTAAACAGGTCAGACCTTCGTGATATGCCCGATGAAAATCCGTGGCGGTCATGGGTTCCAGGAACGGAATTCTTCATGAAGCTCTCATTGATGATTGGTCTAGTTTTTGAATCCAAATCGTTATACCGGCCCTAGTGGACTGCATACCCACCACCTACGGACAGCACACTCCAGACACCCTAGTCACTCGAGGCTAGAACCCTGCCCCTTAGAACCACACCTTCCCTACTACTATCAAACATCACCGCCCATTCGAGTCCCCAATGGGACTTGTGTCAAATCTACAGCAGCTATGGGCCGAAAGACAACTTCTTGCTATTTGAGCAAGTAGCATTCGATTCGGATTCCGAATAAAATATATCTATCGATTCTCCCTCGTTAGTTGCAGGGGAGTGCCGCCAAATACAACGGCTTCACTCTGTCCATAGAGCGACATGGATCCTACCACTGGCATTCACATGAAGCTGACGCGCTACTAGTAAACTACTAATACGAGTTCCAAGGTTGCGTTGACACGAAGGCAGAAAGCTTCAGGCCAATTCAATCTCGTGACGCGAGCACACGCCCTAAAGAGCGCCCCCTTCCCAATTCTCACGGCTCCCAGACACAAAATCAGCAAACATTAGCTTTGTACTTCGTACAATTAGACTCAAGGGACGGAGGCATGGCCAAATTCAAACCAGGCGGACTTTATCTCTTCCTCTGACGCAGTGCCCCCACAGCTTGCGGGTTCACACGCTGATCCCCCGGGTGCATCCCGGCTGATTCTTTCAATATCCGGGTCCATTCCGGTCCCAGAAAGTACCAAACACAACGTGGGGATTTTCACGAGGTGCTGACCAAAAGAGCTCCCCAGCCTTTCCACCTTTTCGGCCAGGGCCAGAACCAGAGCCGCGGTCGCAGTCCGCGGGTGTGTATTCCGGGACCCCGGGGAAAAGCCAGAAGAATGATGGAATGATCTCACAGCCTCCACTTCTCTTCCAGAGTTCAACCCCGTTGGTGGGAGGGCAGTGATCAGCGCGCCGATCGGGGACATCCGATGCTGTGCCTTTCGCCTAGCGATGACTAGCGAGAGTGGCTCGTCCATTCACATTCTGTGATCGAACCCTAGCTCGGTCCAGTGCTTGCGATCTGTAATGTACTGCACACGTGCAGCTGAGCCGAGGATGTTCTATCTTTGAAGATACGCCAAATAGAATCGACTTGATTTCTTTTATCTATCCTGATCCCCTTTCCACCGACTACCCTAGCAACTGGAGACTCGATCCTTTGCGGAGAACAAGATCTCGTGTCACCACCCTCAAGGGTTCACGTACCACATACACAGTTACACACTGCTTCACACGTTATACGAATATTTGCCGGTCGGAGTCAATATGGTGCTCGTCAGCCCCACGGTCCAGCTGGCCGGAGTGCTATTCGTGCTCTTCCTGGTCGTTCGATACATTGCCAACATACACCGCCACTACCAACAAGCAAAGGCGCTGCACTGTGAGAAGCCCGCAAGTGGTGCTTCTGGCTTCTTCGGAATCCCCGCGTTCCTGCGTCTCACCAGAGCTGTCCACGAGAAGCGATGGATCGACTACCTTACCGATCAATTCGATATCAACGGCACCACATTCAGCCAGCGTTTCCTGACGCGCAGACTAATCACCACCATCGAGCCTGAGAACATCAAGGCGATTCTAGCGACACAATTCAAGGACTTTTGTCTCAGGAACGAGACACGAACAATTTGACCCGCTGCTAGGTGATGGTATTTTCACACTTGATGGGGCGGGTTGGTCGCATGCTCGTGGCATGTTGCGACCGCAATTTGCCAGAGATCAGGTAATTCAATGACCCTGGCGCTATTCCACATTGACTTGAAGACGTAAAAACTGATTCCCCCAGGTCGCTGATCTATCCATGCTGGATGACCATATCTCGCACTTAATCGACCTGATCCCCAAAGACCGCAGCGCATTCGACATCCAGCGCCTATTCTTCCTCCTAACCTTAGACTCCGCAACACACTTCCTCTTCGGAGAATCTGTAGGCTGCATGCTCCCCCCATCGGAAACAACCGGCGTTCTCGAGAAATCCGCCGTTCGCAACGCACAAGGTTTCGCCGATGCTTTCACCACAGCGCAAGACTATCTCGCCGCCCGATCGCGCGCACAGGGTCTATACTGGCTCGTCAACCCCAAGGAATTCCGCGAAGCGAATCGTCGCGTCCACGAAGTCGTCGATCACTACGTCAACGTCGCGCTGGAGAGAAAGCGCAATCCCGAAACCAAGCAGGGTGATGGCCGGTATATCTTCCTCGAAGCACTGGCCGCGGAAACCGATAATCCGAAAATGCTACGCGATAATATGTTGAATATCCTCCTCGCTGGTCGCGATACGACAGCCAGTCTACTCAGTTCGACATTCTTTTATCTCTCGCAGTATCCGAATGTGTGGAATCGCCTGCGCCGTGAAATCGTCAACGAATTCGGCGATGTCAAGAACCCCAATGGCGAAATCACTCAGACTAGATTGAAAGATCTGAAATACCTTCGTTATGTCCTGAATGAGGTTCTCAGGCTGCAGCCTCCTGTTCCGGTCAATTTCCGCGTCGCTACCAAGGATACGTCTCTGCCTGTTGGCGGTGGTGCCGACAAGCGCTCTCCTGTTTATGTGCACAAGGGTCAATTGGTGGCTTACAATGTGTTCGCCATGCACCGTCGAACCGACTACTGGGGTAAAGATGCGCGATTGTTCAGACCGGAGCGGTGGGAAGAGAATGCGAAGCATGGTTGGGAGTATCTTCCATTCAATGGTGGTCCTCGGATCTGCCTTGGTCGTGAGTTTCCAGAAGCAGCAGCAGCAGCAGCAGCAGTATACTAGACCCGATGCTAACTCTATTCACAGAACAATATGCTCTTACCGAGGCTAGCTACACTGTTGTCCGACTCATGCAGCATTTCGATACGGTCGAGAATGCGGATCCAAGTCCCCGCCAGGAGCCGATTAAAAATTCCAACTTAACTATGATGCACGATCGCGGTGTCCCGGTGAAACTGTATGCATCGGAGAAGATCTGAGTGTTATAGTGGTAGCCTTTTATGTCGTCATGAATCAAATTTTAGGTTTCTTCATTCATTCTAGCTGAATACAGCAAACAGTACATCAACACCCGCATAGCCGGTTTGTAACCCTCCATGTCGAAATCACCAGTGCCTCCCCGCAGCTTCATTCAGCTCGTCATCTCTCGGTGGCACTGCCGCTGGACTCAGCGCCAGCAGAAGCAGGATCATGTTTCGCCGAATCCCCATCGTTTCGGATGGTAGTCAACTTTTCCTGAAATAATGTAGGGTCATTTTCGATTCTTTGCACAAGGCTTCTCAGATCAACTGCAGGTAGACTCTCATTTTTCCACACTCCATTCGTCGACTGCATATTATAAAATAGCCAGACCAAGAATGGTAGGTCCTAAAGCAAGCCCTACCAAACACAATAACTATATCAAGTCTGAGAATAGCCGGACTTGTGATCGATTCGTGGCACTAACCAGCGTCTTTTTGAACTGAAATTCAGTCTCGGACTGCCAAATTTCCCAACCGACGTCTTGCCATCAGAAAATGTAGAGGAACCGGGCATTTCCGCATCCCACTTCTTGTTTTCCGATTGACAGAATGACATCCCCAACAATGTCCAACCATTTTCCACCACATCTTATCCATTCTGCTTTAAAGATGTCCCCTGGACGCGTGAGATCGAGTCTCGGCATTCCACACAAACGGACCGGGGATAACCGTTTAGGTCCTTCCCCGTGCGGAACAGAGTATATCTCCGGTGTTTTTATCGATGTATATATTCGGAAATGGCCCTTCGTTGCAAGCGTGTGTGATCCTCTCTTGCAGGGTTCACATGAATCATGCCTTAATATCCTTCACAGCCGTCCCACCCACAGCCAGAAGTACCTCGACAAGCCTGATCGACATGTAGCCGTGGAGACTCTGCAAGGACAAATGGGAATGCATTATCCAGGGCAGGATTATGGCATCCATGGCACTACCAACGAAACGTTTTTCCAGGTTCCGAATTAGCCCCGTTTGCTCGCAATCTGTCGATTTAGTTTGAACAACATGTGCCCTGCTCACGGATCTTGCTACCTTATACATCATCTCAACACCCTCAATTCGTAATCGGCAACAGTCACTCCAGGCCATCAATCTCGGCTGAGGAATTCGGTGAGGTTGTCTCTTGAATGTTTTCCAGTAATTGGAAAAAGTTTGACCAGGAAAACGAAATATGTCGTTCAGAATAAAGTTTCGTTGTTACCGAACGTAATTCCATCTTCGCCTCTTCCTTTCCTCCAGCAACCACCCCGAGACATGATTGCGATTTTCATGAGTTGGGTGGCTGTGCAGTCTGACTCCTCAAGCCTCTTCTTGAATTTCTTCCATGAACAATCCAGAGCTTCCATTTTGCAGGAAGAAGTCATGGGCAACTTTAAGTACCAACGAAGTCATTTCGCAAGCTCATTGACTGCCTCTTGCGCCTCTTTTAGGTTATTCCTGTCGAACAAGAGAAAAATCTGTTATAATTGACAGTCAGCCAGGCCCTCTTCCGCATCACACATTTCGTCGGTTCGTTCGCGTACCTGAAAAATCTCCATGAATACAGCGACACCCTCGTTGTTTGGCAAAGGGTATGGATCCCTGTAGATTACTCCTCCCACGACCGGGTTGGATAGAATGTTGAATAAATATAATACTTGACGTAGTATGGGCATGACAGTAGTCAGCGGCATGGTTACGACAAACATGGAGATGATGGGGATTGTATGCCATGTATTCAAATCCCCGGATATATTGTTGCCCCATAGACTGTCCTATGAACCTCTCTGCTTCAATTAAGTCGAAAGTGACTCTCCCGGTGTCAGAAGTGTTATTTGTACATGTGGAATGTCGTCAGGTCAATCCCCTAGATGATTTTAATTCCATGACAGTTCACTGAAAGATCATCGAAGACGAGTCGAGTAATAACGAGAGATGGGTCATGTTGCACTGAGCGTATAATGTTACATTTAAACAGGCTGTGATGTGGCAAGTTCGGTAGAAATGGGAAGAAATAGCTCCTTTGCGATAGGCCAATTGCACCTTCTGAGGCGGGCAATTTGATGGCGAAAAGTGGCATGCGAATTGATAGACTTTGCTCAAATCGGCGGTGAACTTCGCTTTCAGTTCGAGGTTGTTACCTCTTTTGCCAATGTACGTGTAGTACGCAATAGGGATAGAGGTGTGGAATGGTAGTGGTTTGGTGTGTATTGGAAGGTAGCTGCGGAGGAGGAGAGGTAGGAGAGGTAGGAAAGGTACTCATGGAGGCATGTGATGACTCATCCACGTAGTCAAAATTGTCCAGACTGGTGCACAGGTTTCAGGACATAAACATGGATGTTTCATGGGTGTTGTTGATGTTACGGTAGGCATATCGATTTGACGGCTGATCAGAAGGAATTCATTGCTTGTCCTAAGAGAGAAGCACAGAAATAAACAATAAAGCAAACTTAAACGCCACTGATCTAAGCGATGCTCTGACTCTCCCCGTTCCTCTGGGATCACGGTCCGCGCATCACCGTGAACAGGAAATAGAAAAGAACAACGGGGAAAAGCGAGAAGAAAAAAAATCCACAATAACCGTGGATGAGTGAAATTGAATGAGCTATTCAGTCATTAAAACGAAATACATCGAGCAAACTGCAACACAGAATCATACTCTATGGAAACACATAAAATGCATGAATGGGGATAGTAGCGTGGTATGGTATTAACTTTAACTTCAGCGTAGCGGGACGGAGCAGAGATTTGGGGTGAGCAAGCCTAGCATCAATAGTCAAGAGTATTTCCAACTCTATTGGTGATTAGACAATCGCGAAAACGCGGGGGTTCAGGGCAAGACGGGCGAAGATCAGAAGAGCAGCGCCGAGGAGCAGCGTGGATCCGGAGAACATGGAGATCGAGATCCAGCCATGCTTGAGGACCAGTGCTCCACTGATTGGAATGTTTGCCATTGCGCTGAAGAAAATGTTAGTAGGGGTCACACAAGCGACGGAGTGATACATACGAAAGGGCAGTTGCTCCCACGACGGAGCCAATAGCAAGACCCATGGTGTGTGGGCCGGACACTTCTGCGGCGCAGGCTTGTTGGAGCGAAAGAATTCCCTGTGGTCATGAGCCAATGCTGAAAAAAAAGAGGGGAGTGAGACACTTCAACTTACACCTGATGTGAAGCCATAGGCTGCACTCCAGATCACCAAGCCTGCGACTGATGTCACCTTGGTCCAGCACATGGCAATAATTCCGGCAAGGAGGTTGGACAGGATGATTAGGTTGAATTTCCCATATTTATCGGCCAGGACGCCGGGGATCACACGGCCGAAGAACGAGGCACCGTTCACAATGGAGATCGTGTAGAATGCGAGAGTGGAAGAGAAGCCCTTGGCGATCGCGTATGTGGTAATGTAGAAGAACGGGCCAAACATTCCGAAGTAGGTGAAGAACAGAGCTAGACAGAGAAACCACATTGCTGGCTTCTTGAACAGCTTCCGGCGTTCCTCCTTGAGGTCAACGGTCTTCTGTGTGACCGGGGCCTGCTTTTCGGCATCCTGCTTTCCACGCTCCACATGGTCCTCCCTCGTAGACACCTCCGTTTCGGAATCACTAGTTGCGATGGGGCCTGTCGCCGCGGGGGCCGGGGGAGGAGGAGGTGCACTTGCAACGGCACAGGGAAGGACGAAGAGGGGAATCATGATGAATCCGACGATGCGCATGGTCCAGGGGAAGCCGAGACTGGGGTTCTTCAGCATCTGGTCGATGGCGATAGGCCAAATGATTCCACCGAGGGAGGAACCACCGAGCACGATGCCCATGGCGGCGGCTCGGTTCTTCGGATTGACACTTTTGGCGACGAGGGCCAGCATGGGCCATGACACCAGGGACATGGAAATTCCGAGGAGGACACCTTGGGCGAGAAGGAATTGCCAGAACACTCGGCAAAGGGAGATCATCATTATGCTAAAGACCATACCAATGGCACCGGTGCATGTGAGGAGCTGGAAGAGCGAAAGAGAAGGAGTCAGTAAGTCGGTCCCTGTGCAATATATAGCTGGTCAGGACGGGGACTCGGAGACTCGGAACAGACCTTTGGACCAAAGATGTCCATGAGAACACCAGCAGCGGGGGAAATGCCAAAGAGGAACAAAATTGCAACGGCACCTAGCCATGCAACGGTCGATGGGTTTCCGTGTGCGAGATATAAGCCCTTGTGAGCCTTATCGGCGACGTAGATTTCCTGAAAGACACCGAACGAGTTCATGAAGCCGACGGTGCAGAATAGACTGGTGGATGCACCGACGATAATCATCCAGGTGCGAGCACTGGAGGAGAAATGTTAGTCAAAATCGCGTGAGAAGGGTTGGGTAATTGCATACTTGGACTGAGTTGGGGGGCCGGTGTTGGCCATGGCGGGTAGACGATGAGAATTGAGTAGATGAGAATGGGTGGAATGGGTGGAATGAGAGGGGGAAGAAGATCAAGGGATGTTGAGAGAGAAGAAGAAGAGAAGAAGAAGAAGAAGAAGTCGACAGGAGGTCACCTTGTAGTAACGTGCCGTGCCTGCGCCTGCTGAATGTTTTTTGTATACATCGGAGCCTCCGCGGAGTGGGTCACCTGATGGCTATCAGATCGCCCGGAGTCTCCGGGCTCGGTGTTTTCATCGCCGACTCCGACTTCTCCAATATCAAACAACAACATCATCATCAACAACAGACCAACAACAACGCCACAACATCCACTCTAAATTACGCCCTGTTTGTCCATTAACGACACACTGCCACTGGTCGCACTAGAAACCCTCTTCTGTTTTGTTCTCCGCCGTCTTTATATCATCCGGCCCCACTTCCACCCGATATGAAGCGCAAACCGTCCCCCAGCTTGAGTGCAATGCATACAACCACCATCACCAGAAAGCAGCCCCGACAAGACCCCGTTTCATGTGAATCATGTCGCAAAAAGAAACTCAAATGTGATCGCAGTCAGCCATGCAGTAGCTGCTCCGTTCGGAAACTCGTTTGCAGCTATGGAAGCCATGGCCATGGAGCCCCAAGTCCAGGCGTGAAATCAGACAGCCAGTCGGAGCAAAGGCCCACTGATGCCAGTGCCAACGCTGATGGCAGATCTAATCGAATACTGCCTCTCCCATCCTCCTCGTCCTTGCAGGTCCAGCCGTTGCAAGGCCATCAGCCACACTCCAGGAATGACCGGAATGACCCACTCGTTACGGCCGACTGGCTGGAGACCATTGTCATGGCCCATCGAGTGCCCTCCGCCGCCCCAATTCCTCTACGCGACGGTTTGACCCATCATCAACGTCCCGAATTTCCCCAACCATGCCCGAGTACAATCTCAGGCAACCTGCTCACCCTCGTTCACGGTGGCCGCATCGCCTCAAATGAAAATCCCGCCAACATTCATCTTCCATCCCTGTTACCATCCGAGCCGGAAGCCCTGGGTCTGTTGGCATACTATTTCAACCACCTGGACTACCAATATCACCTGATTGTCGCCAGCCGCACCGAACGAGACATCCACTCTATCTATGAAAGTGTGGCGCGAAACGAGCCGGTCAATTTGCATCACCTTGCTTTGCTGTTTAGTATCATCGCCTCCGCCCTCTTCTACAAACTCCTCCCCACCGAATCTACAGATTTCGCCGAGATATGTAGCTCGGAAACCGCATTCCTTGCCGGCGCCGCTTTAATTCAAGCGAATTACATCGCTTATCCTACCATCGAAGGTCTCCAGGCGACCATGATCATCGGTCATCATCTCTCCAGCAATACCCTCAGTCCAATGGTGAGCTCCTTCTTCGTCCATGGTTCCCTGGTCAGTCAGGCCAAAGCCCTGGGACTTCATGCGATGGACAACGCATCGCATTTACAGGAAAGAAAGCGAATGGGATACGATAGAACGGAGGTCGAGCTGAAGCGAAGGTTATGGTGGGATCTGGCCTCCTACGACTGGTTAGTCTGCTTCTACTCACCATCAGGGCGGTCTTCATTTCAAACCTAACATGTGATGTGCACTTCCACAGGTTGATAGGTTTCCTCAGCGGCCCACAACAGTGGACATACACAATCCACCCCAACAACATGAACGTGCGCAGACCACTAAACATCGAAGACGAAGATCTCGACTCGAGCGAAATCGGACAGCCACTCTCAACCCCAACATGCATGTCATACACCCATGCCCGCTTGCGACTGGCGGAAGTTTGCCGAGAGATCGTCGACAAAGTTGGACCAGAACATCTCCAAGGCCAAGATGTCCCATATGAAAAGATTCTCGAGCTAGACCGAAAGCTTCATGATGCTCATGCAGAACTCCCCATCTTCTTCCGCTACGACAAAATCGCGCGCCGAGAATACAGCGACCTCTACCGCAAGCGACCGGCGATTGCCTGGCAGCGAGCCTTCATCCAGCAAGGATTCCATTCACGTCTTTGTCGCCTGCATCGCCAATACTTTGTCCGCGGCGCCAGAGACCCCCGCTACTCCTACTCCCATGTCGTTTCTTTACAATCTGCCCGGAAGGTATTAGAGGTGAAGCGCATCATGGATGAAGATGAGCCATTCTTCACGCCGAACAGCTCGTTCTTCTGGGCTGTCATGCATCATGTCTTCATGGCCGCGGTGATTCTTCTCATCGACGTCTGTTTCAACTGGGATGATATCCTCGCCGAGAAGCGCAAGGAGGAGGTACTGGCTGCTTGCCGGATGCTCAGTCGCGCACAGCAGTCCTCCTCTGTCGCCCGGGAAGGCATCAACGCTATGATGGGGATTTTGCAAAAGCACTGGAAACAAGAAAAGCGACTCGCTGCTCAGACTGAGCCGGCGGCAGGTGGGCCCGATGTACCATCTTCCTTCAGCGCTCGGCCCCAGCCCCAGCCCCAGGCCCAGCCCATGATGTCGACGTCTACTATGCATGGAGTTGGAGCCAAGAACAGCTACTTCTCCACGTCTCAGCCCTTTCCCATCCCTTCTCAGAACTACGAAGCTGTGAACCCGGCTGCGTTTATTCCGCTGGAAGACATTTGGACGGAGATGTTGGATGGAAGTGCCCACGCTGGACTTGATACGCCGGGCTGGATCGACATGTTAACAGAGTTGAATAATACAACGGTGCCTTGCGAGTGATCGGGAAGTGTGGGGCTGTTCTGTTCTTATCCTGAAGCCTAAAAATGAGGCTCTGTTTAGATCTCACTCATCACATGATGTTTACTTTTACTGTCCTGCAGCCCCCAACGGGCTGACACTACACTCTTTTCAATGACATATCTCACATATCACATCAGCTATTCCCAAATCCAACAAAATGTCTAACCCCCCGATTCCCACCACCGCAAAGCCCAAAAACACCATCCAATCCATCGCCGACCGCATCAAAACCAACCAAATCACCCGAATAATCGTCCTAACAGGCGCAGGAATCAGCACATCAGCCGGGATCCCCGATTTCCGAACCCCCAAAACAGGTCTCTACGACAGACTAGCACCTTTAAAACTGCCCTCCCCCGAATCAATCTTCCACATAAGCTACTTCTCCCACTCACCGGAACCATTCTACGCCATTGCCCAAGCCCGCCACCCAACAACTCTCAAACCAACACTTTCCCACGCATTCCTAGCCCTCCTAGCAAAGAAGAATCTACTTCATTTCCTGTTTACTCAAAATATCGACGGCCTGGAAGAAGATGCCGGTGTTCCCGCGGAAAAGATACTATGGACACATGGTAATTGGAAAGATCAACACTGTTCCAAATGCAAGTCCGCCTACCCGGACAATATGATGCGAAAAGCAATCCGCGCCGGCGATGTCCCCTATTGTCTCGCACCCAAGTGCGACGGCGCTATAAAGCCCGACGTGGTATTCTTCGGAGAAAGTCTACCAGAAGAATTCGATGAAAAGGTGAAACTTATCCCGGAGGCGGATTTGATGATTGTTATGGGGACTAGTTTACGTGTTGCGCCTTGTTCAGGGATACAGCGAATGATGGGACCAGGTGTCCCGCGGGTTCTGATTAATATGGAACGATGTGGTGATATGGGGAGTCAGGATGGGGATGTTTGTATTCTGGGAGATTGTGATGAGGGGGTTAGTGAGTTTGCGGAGGCTTTGGGGTGGGGTGATGAACTTAAAGCTCTTTGGGAGGAGGTTGTTGCTGTTAAGGAGGCTAAGGCTAAAATTGATGGGAATGGAGGTGAAGATGAAGATGGTCCGGATTTGGATGCTTGTATTGCTAAGATGGCTGCGCAGATGGATGAGAGGTTGGGGATTTCGAAAGGCCATAAGAAAATGTTGGAGAGTCATCTTAGTGATAAATTTGCGAGGATGATGGCTGGTAGTCGCCCAGCATCGTGATATCAGAACCAATGCCCTGTAGATTCATAAAGAACGGAGTGATATTGGTCTTCTTCAGTACACCTTCTATTAGTAGTATCTAACTCTTTCATTGCCACCATCGCCACACCCAGCCCTGAAGCTCTTTCACGGAACCGATAGCTACTTATATACCCCCAAATGATGCAATCATGAGGTGTCTTCCAAAAGACCAACCACCGCGATCAATCCATCTGAGCTCCATTCCCAGGGCAATCTTCCATTCTTCCTGTCTTGTTCTGCAAGATTCAAGCCCCTTTCAATTTCTATTTCCCCTATTCTGCTACCTACAGTACCACTGGTACCACCAACTACCTCCACCCCATGCACCCCCAAAATGGTCTGCCATCCAGAAAACCCCCTCCCACACATCCACCGCTACATAACAACCCACAGCACAGAAGGCGAAGCAGTATTCGTCTCCCATGCCCAAGTACCAGACTACATGCCAAGTACACCATCCGGAACCGACGGAGAAATCGCACTATTATACTCCACAACCTCTACGCCAGAAAATACATCCGACGAATGCGATATTGCAATGTATGACGAATTCCTTCACCAGCCGCCCGGCATAACCGTTGAGAATGGAACTGTGTTTCGAATGATTGATCTTCGGCCTGGAAAGGCGACGCCGATGCATAGGACTGTTAGTCTTGATTATGCGATTTTGTTGGAGGGCTGTGTTGATCTTGTGTTGGATTCGGGGGAGAGTAGACGGTTGGGGAGGGGGGATGTTGTTGTTCAGAGGGGGACGGCGCATTCTTTTAGGAATGTTGATACGGATAGGTGGTGTCGGTTGCTTTTTGTTTTTTTTGCCGATGGTTAAGTTGGTTGTTAAGGGGAGAGAATTGGAGGCTGAGGTTTATGATGAGGGGTTTGATAAGTCGGACGGGGAGGGGGAAGGAGGGGGGGATGGCTGTGATGAGGGAGGCGGGGGAGATGGAGGAGACAGGGGTGGGGAGTGATTTTCCTAGTTCTCCTGGGCGATATAGATGCGATATCTCGGATTTTCTCTTATATAATAGACTGTGCAGGAGGAATATAATACTTCGTGATGCTCTCTCTGATGTCCGGTAGTATGTTCCTCTCCTCCAAGTTCATTCAGCCCTAGATATACTACCTCGCGAGGGGTATAGCATGAGTACATCCGCTCATTGGACGGTAATTTCAACCTTGGATTTATCTGTCAAGACCAGTCAGTTCCAAGGTCAACTCTCATTATGGAGTACTAGTAAGGTGAACCCACAGAAAGCAATATGATCCTTAATATTCTTCGCCTTTTCATACGGCTCCGCATAGTACCAGGCTGCATCCTCGACGCTTGAATCTGGAGATATTTGTCAATATGTACTGTCGAACACTGCTGGCTGTCCTGGTCCGATTTAGCACGGGATATCTCACCTCCGGTATTGATGCGGTAGTAATTCGCAGTCCCTTTCCACGGACAAAAGGTCGTGCTATCCGTCTTGACAAAGACCGCGTTGTCTTGAATAGAAGATCGTGGGAACTGAAGCCGTCAGTACCAGTGGTCCAATGTTTCTGGCTGTCAATCAGGTCATACGTAGATGTTTCCTTCAACTTCTTCCCAGCTCGAGGCCGAGGCCAGTAGGAGGTCACCTAGTTTCGCTTCGGCAGTCGGCATTTTTGCGGTTGTTTTGAGAGGTGTTTTTTCCGTTTCTTAAACGAAACACTCGGCGTGGCAGTGGTTGTTGAGGTGTTGCTAAGAGATAGCGTCACTGCTGCGGGGAAGTGCGGATCTCCTAGTCCCAGACTGTCATCATTCAGCTTACTGGAATTCCACATGGTAACCTTGGTGGATTTATAATTTGCTGACCCTTGGTAATATCTATATACAATTCCGAACACAGACATGTTTTTAATATTTCTCCGAGCATCTATACAAGCTGTGAATGTGGTCGATTTGATACAGCATCTGTTGATGCCATTCTGCCTGAGGCATTAAGGCCTCAATAGTTAATGATCGCCCCACCAATTAGAAACACAAATAGCGAGCGAATTCAATTCGACGTTGCATAATGAAATCCATCATTCATCATCCATTCCATTTACTAAGAATCTCGCACATTCGGCATTCTCCTTTTTTAACGCCGAGCCCAACACCCACCACACGCAAGCGTTTTCAATTTGTAAGCCAGGGGTAGCGTCGCCAAGAAACACAAGGCTGCACTAATCAAGGCAGATCTCACTTTCAGCCCCATATTAGTTCGGTGATTATTTTTTGGGGTTGAGATGTCGAGGCTAAAGAATCCTCATGCTTAGAAATTGAAGATTATCAATCACTGAGCAGGAATATTGACTCGCAGAGCATTAATGGAAATTTACTATAAAAGGCAGCAAAAATGTAGTAGTCACCTGGGCAATCAAGCATAAATATACAAGAGAAAAACAATCTCTGAAACAAACCACAATAATTCCATCAAAACCATCTTCATCTTCAAAATGGACACTCCAATCCGCCGCATCATCGCCGAACACGACAAAAAGGGAAAAGCCTCCTTCGTCGCCGACGAATACCTAACCCCCTACGACCCAACAACCGCACCAGAATTCACCACCCCAGATGCCAACTCCGGCTTCGGCGTGATTCAAATCCACCGATCGCGCGGATTCCCCGTGGACAATATGCGCCAGCTTCCAGATCCACACAAAACTCTCGTGCCCTTGGCCGATACAAAGGGACCATCTTGTCGAGTTATCGATCTCCCGCCCGCTGAAGCGGGGTGGATGCATCGCACCCTGAGCTTGGACTATTTTGTTGTGTTGAATGGCACTGTGGGGTTGATTACGGATGGGGGTGTGGAGAAGGTTCTTAAACCGCATGATGTTGTTGTTTGCCGTGGGACGAATCATGAATGGGTTAATCGGGGACGGGATGTTGCGAGGATTTTTTGCGTTGTTGTGCCCAGTCAGGAGATTGTTACTGAGGATGGGGTGAGGTTGGAGAAGACGGCTGCTGGGCCTATTTATGATCCTGAGGAGGAGTGAGTTGGCTGCTGGGAGCCCTGGAGTGGATCGGGAGTGGATGATTGATTGAGTTGAAAATACTGTGGATGTCAATAATGAAAGCACTTGGGAGAAGGAGGAAAAGACCTTGAATAGTACATATTGCTTATTGTAACTTGAACTAACGGTCGTCCCGAGAAACTTCAAGTTCCCAGTCCCTTCCTTGAAGGTTCTTGTACATCTTTGGCAATCGTGACGAGAAGTTGCATTCGGGTGAGTAGGTTGATGAGACCCGGGTCCTCTAATGGCGAGGGTGGCATTTCCCCCGGGTTGCTCATCTCAGTCTCAAACAGGTTCTTCCGTCCTCCGAGATATTCTTGCGATAAAGGCATTTGGTCTCCATCCTCGTCGCTAGAACTTAGAAAATGGGGTGTTGATTGAAGCGTCCAAATTCAACCGGGGATGTTTCATAATCGTAATAGGCAGACGACAAAGGCATATACCTAGTATATCATCAGGAAGTGCAGTTACCCAATCAATGGCGGTAGTCAGGGCGCTTGATGTCGGTAGATTTCAAGTGGCAGCGTTCGGCACGGTCCAGTTGGTCAGACTCGTACAGCGAGCCTCGACTCCCCACAATATGACTGGTAGAGCTGTGGTCTTTTATCACTGGTGACAGAGTCGGGTTTTCTGCCTCTTCACTGACCATGGCCAACCAATGTTTCATACCCAACTGCTCTGAACTACCATTTGCTACTTGATCAAGAGCATTCTCCGTTAACTGATGCAGCTGGCCGTGTGTTGAATCGGCCCATTCCCCGAGATCTGACCCGGCAATGCTTCCTGAATCCGTAGTCAGGGATGACACTCCCGATGAACCCGATGTGGCGTCCGACAGGGATCCATCAACGTCAAAATACGGATGTTTTTGGAAATAGTCACCGTAGTCTTCCTCTTCCTGTTCTTCCCCCAAGCGTTCGGTCGGAGCCCACGGCAAGGACCCCAGCGAAAATGAGTGAACATGTTCAGCTGTGTGGTCGATCAGAACGTTTTGATCATCAGTCTGAAAAGCGCAGAGTGGACACGCGGTAATGTTGACAGGGACTTTACGCCGCCATGCCGAAAGTAGCATGGGTATCTGCTGTGGCCTAATCCCCTTGCTATGCTGCTGTTCCAGGTGTGCAGTGAACTCAGCCGATTCCTGAAAGGTGGCACTGATGTTCTTTTGGGAGCGCGCATGACAAAGCCACTGCTCCGTTCCCCGTGTTCTTTGTCCATGTGGCTTAACCAGGTCTCCTTCGTCATATAAAATTTATCCATCTGAAGGCAATCCTCGATAATGCACGTGTATGGTAAAATATCTGCCATCAGGTGCTTCCTGTCCAGCAAACCGAATAAATTAGGCCAACACACTAGTTTTGGGAAGGCAGACTTACTTCCACTGGCTGCTTCGCCTTAAGGAAGCAGGAAGGGACTGACAGCAACAAGGACAGGTGAAAAGCAATTGACTATCGTGGACAGCCGGAGGCTTTGGGTACGTGATTCGAGAGCTTGTTACTGACAAGACCGTCGTTGCAGCCCTAATTACCTGCAAGGATGGAAGGACAATCGGCTCTTCCACCACCGTGGCAGTTGTGGTACTTCGAGTTTGCGGGTCATTCTTCGCAACTATCTTCTGTGCCCGAGAGTATGTTCGCGTCTGGGCGACATCTGGATTTGGCTGTTGGTTTACCAACGTTGGTTCCTCACTTTGCGTGTTTTTTGGGTGTCCGGAAGGAATTCCTAATTTCTGAGCATGTTTCTGGGCATATAAGAAGCGATTACGCCGCCGTAAATTCGCGTCGATCAGCCGTAATTGTATTAGTGTCAGTCGTGCAGGGTCAAGCTGCTGTTTGTTTGAATCGGAATTCCCATGTTCGTCAGGATGCACCAGGAGAAGGAGTTCAAGGTGTTGGCGCAGTGAGCGAATCTGGGGACAGTTGGGATCAAATGAGGAGTCGGCTTTTTGCAGTCGAGATCGGGTCCCAGCTTTTCGGATCGCAACGATGAGCCTCGTAAGTTGATTCAAACTGTTTTCAACGTCTGTTTTCCTTGCTAATTCATTGTCGGACCACTCCACGGTGGTATGGGTTTCACTATCTAAGGCGCAGTGTCAGATTCCGAAGGGAACAGGGAACTCCGTGCGGAATGGGACACATTCGTACCTCGGTCTATACATTTATCTATCAGAATTTTCAGCATCAGCAATAGATTTATAATGATAATGTGCGCTTCCGGGTTGGCGCGTAGTCGATGATCCAGTGACGCTTTCCCGATCGTATAGGCGCCGGCGCCAGCTGACCAAAGATTAAAATCGGCCAACCTATTTTCAGCCCATTCCTGTTGCATTAATCGTGGGACTGTTGTGGCTGTTCTGAATGCGAATCGACATTTTGTGGCAGCTTCAAGGATTGTGGAGGGTTCTGACATGTTCCTCCTCACATATGCCGGTGTGGAGGGGCAAAGGACTTGTGACCGGAATTCGAAGTTTTTAGAAGCTCGATCATCATACCGCTCACTCCCTCATCGAGACTAATGCGCCTTCGCTTACAGGGATCTGTTTACCCCTCACTGCGAGGCTGATATTCCTCAACACGGGATCTGGCTGTCGCTTTTCAGCTTTTCTCTTCTCCAGAGGAAGCCTTTTGCTAGCGGCAGGTGAATGCAGGGGGTATTATGAGTAGCATCAAATGGCTGAGATAAACATCCTATGCCAGGATGTCTTCCCCTGGATCAGCAAGCACGCAATACGGCTCGGCCAGGAAAGGCAGGATAACCGCTTCGCTCAGCTGGGTGGGGAGCTCTTCATCTTGAGTCAACAAATCCAGTTATCAAGACGAATCGATTCAAAGTTGGTCAAGGTTGCAGAGCTAGTTAACACGTCTTGTTCTGTGAGTTATTGGTCGGTTTACGCAGTTGGCCGCGACGCGTACCCGAAACTTACCACTGAGACAAATTATAGATGCCGACAACCAAAGGCGTGAGAAATCATGGGCTATTCGATGCACTTTGGAGGATATCGGAGTGCAAGGACTCGAACACCCCTGCTGAGGAAATTCTGATTAACGAAATTCGACGCAGCCTGCCACATTTTGTCCAGGAGAACCCGGAGTATCCCTCCCTCTTACGTTTTATCGCCGACTGCCTGCACACAACCGAGCTACCGGATGGCCTTCCGATCCCTGACGAGCAAGTCCATCTGAATAACAAGGATACTCGGTATCCAGCGCAAGTGAACGATACCCTTTATACACAACTCCGAATGTACTCAACCTGCTCGTGTAGCACGCAACACCTGGAATATGCGCGGCTACGACTTGATCCTGAACATGGTATGCAAGATGATGCGGACATTCCATTTGATCTCTTGTTTTCGGCGGGTGCCGCATCGTGTCGTACAACCAACTGTCATTCACGGTGGAAGGAGGCCAAAGTATTCGTTGCTCGGTATGACGATTTGAGAACTTCTGGAAACGGCGAAGCTAGCTAACATTCTCACTTTCACGCATGCATAGACGAAATGAACTATCAAGGAACAGTCGAGTCTCGTTCGCACCCCAAAGTGCGTCCCAATCGCCCAGGACGAGGCGCAAACTGCGTTCGCCGAGTCGCGCCAGGAAGGTCGAGCTCGGAGAGTTTTGCAGGCTAATCGCTAGCGAGAAGTACCAAGCCATCCATTTCCACATTCACAATAACGAGATGAAGCTTACGGACACTACCCAAGGGGCCATCTGGCGAAACTTTCTTCCACAACCGAGTGTCCCTCTTGCAGACTGGCTGGAACAGACCCTAAATCTCTCAAATAGAGTGAAGGTGACGCTAGCATACACTATTGCGAGATCGGTGTGGCAGTACTATGACTCCTATTGGATGACAAAACCGTGGACACATGAGAATATCCAAATCATGAAGGAGACGATCAGCGATCGAAACCAGATCCGACCGCATCCTTACTTCACGACGAAACTTCACAAGTGCAAGGACCAAAAGGTAGACTACTGCTACGCGGATGATCTCTTCCATCTGTATCCAGGTATCCTTGCACTGGGGGTAGTTCTCGTTGAGATTGCAACCAAACAGCCTTTCCGACCGGGGAGACCCCATTACATCTGGGACGAAACAACGATCAATGAGTATTACGAGTGGGCATGGACCACAGCAAATTGTAGTAAACTGGGCAGCACAATCGGAGCTGCTTATGAATCAGTAGTCAATAACTGTCTCGACAGCGAACTATTCAGACACGGCTCCATTAACCCGTCGAAATCCGACAAGGATCTTCAAACAAGACAGTCTCTTCTCTACGAAAAGGTCGTGCTGCCGCTTCAGGAGCTATATCATGCATACAAAGATGACTGGGAAATCCAGGATATCTCCAGGTCGGTACTTACCCTCACTAGAAACTTCCAAGGTTGGAAACCCCTCTCATAAACCGACCCTGACTCTCCCGATACCTTTTCCAGTCTGGCCAGCTTGAGCCTAGGGTCGATATATATTGACCAAACCCAGCGAGAGGAGGCCGAGAACTTGAAAATGACAGCCACAACGCAAACCTTCCCGGATATACCAACCCTTCAATCAGATCCTCCTTCTGCAATGCCAAATCTAATAGACTACAATGTAGGTTGGATTTGCGCCATAAATACGGAATACGTCGCCGCCCAGGTATGTCTGGACGAAAGGTATAACCGGCCCGGGGATTTTCCGCCTCATACAAAAAATGACTACACTTTGGGCAGAATTGGAAAGCATAACGTCGTCATATCTGTTCTGCCAATGGGAGAGTACGGTATCTCCTCAGCAGCACGAGTAGCGGAGGAGATGACACATAGCTTCCCAAACATTCGCATTCGTCTCATGGTCGGTATCGGTGGCGGCGTGCCAAGCTCAAAAAATGATATCCGCCTCGGGGATGTGGTGGTCAGCATTCCCAGCAATGGCCAGGCAGGTGTTCTTCAGTATGACTTTGGCAAGTCGATACAAGGCCAAAGCTTCCAGACGACTGGTCGCCTCGACCAGCCACCCACTGCCTTACGCTCCGCCGTAGGTGGACTGGTAGCTCAGTATGAGAGCAAAGGCCACCAGCTTCAGAATACAGTTGAAAATGCCCTTAAGAAGACTCCAAGACTACAGAAAAGGTATGGACGCCCGGATCCAGCTAGTGATCGGTTATATCGAAGTCATATTCTCCATCCTCCAGACGGTGGGTCTTGTGCTTTGGAGTGCGGGGATGATCCATCGCGCATAGTTACGCGACGACCACGGACTAAAGCCGATGATGACCCCGCGATTCATTACGGGTTGATAGCATCGGGCAATCAACTCATGAAGGATGCCTTGATTCGAGACAAACTGGGAGTTCAAGACGATATTCTGTGCTTTGAAATGGAAGCGGCAGGGCTCATGAATAACTTTCCTTGCCTTGTGATTCGCGGCATCTGCGATTATGCTGACTCCCACAAGAACAAGACGTGGCAGGGATATGCAGCGATGGTCGCAGCAGCGTATGCCAAGGATCTTTTATATAGAATTGTCTCTCAGTAGATAGAGCACTAGGAGAAGACGAATATTTCGAGAGAAAGCCGCCCCGATCTGCGCCTCCCAAGTTTCCCGAGCGGGATTAGTACCTACCCAGGACGCAATAGATTAGACGCTCTACTTCATCTCCGGTAGGTACTAGTCAGACATTGGAAGGGAACCCATACCGACGGTAGGCACTATGGGCTTGGAAACTGTTGCGGCGCCACTGTGACTGTATTACGCCCCTTAGTCCAGGACCTGATGTATAGACACGAATATCAAGGTTTGAAGGGTTGACACCAGTGAACGTCAACCGGCAGTATGGGGTATTCGATAAGGGGAGGCTTTCTGTAGATATAACAGCCCGAGTACGATAGCTGCAGGATATGATACTACGACCAGTGATAGATAAATGCGACTTGATAAACATAAGAAAGGATATATTCCACTATAAGATGCCAATCAAGCCAAATTTTCCTTAACCTGCCCAATAAAATCAACAACCGTCACCTCAAAAGTGCGATACTTTACCCCCAACTCATCCGCCACAGTTCGCCCATCAACACCATACGGGAAACTAGGCTTCGTCCCCGAAACATAATTCTCCGTAACCACACCCTTGGCCCACTGAAACTTCGACTTAATAATATCTGCCGCATACTCATAAGAAAACGGTTCCAACGCCGCAGGCAAAAATCGCTTCCCACCCGCCTCAGGTCTCAGCAAAGCCTGAACATGCGCCTCAGCTAGATCCCGCGCATCGATCCATGCAGGGACACGTGCTCCGGGCAGAGGGTCCACTCCTGCAGCGACGGCCCAAAGACCGGCGTTGGACTCATTGAGTGATTCGATGTTGGCGACGGGGTGGACGACGGGCCCAAAGACCATTGGCGGACACAGGGTGACGAGATCGAAGGGTGGTTTCTCGGTCTTGATGAAGTCCCACGCTGCTAGTTCGGCGTATTTCTTTGAGCCCCGGTATGCCACGACGGATGTGGCAGTTGGGGCGGCGGCGGCTTCGTAGGTGAGTGGGTTCCAGTTTTGCGCAGTGTATGTGAAATCGGGACCTGGGGTGCTGTTTACGTCGACGATTGAGGCGAAGGAGGAGGTTAGGACTATGCGTTTTACGTTTGTGCCGGCCTTGGCAGAGGCCTTTAGGATCGATTTCACTCCGTTGATCGCGGGGAGGATTAGTTCTTCTTCGTTGTTTGTTGTGTTGTAAAAGAAGGGCTGGAGAAGACCTTCAGTTAGAATTCTATGGTACTATGTGGTGAGAGGTTTGCAGGAGGTAGCTCACGCTAGCGACGTGGATGACAGCATCAATTCCCTCCATCACGGAGTCGAAGACACCGATCTTGGTGAAGTCCTCCACGACGACGAAGTCAAGCTGCGAGGCGTATTGCGGGCGTGCGGCTTTCATTTGTTCGCCCTTCTTAATTGATCGGGTTGAGCCGCGGACTTTCAGGCCTTTGGCGAGGAGATTGTCGACAACATGCGCGCCAATGAAGCCGGTTGCGCCGGTCACGAGGACGTAGCTGTAGGTTTGTTAGCGCGAGTCGTGGGGAGATTGAAGGAGAGGGTCATACGATGGCTGTGCGGTCATTTTGTTTCTGTCTGAAGAGTAAGACTAAAAGTGGAAGGGGAAGATGGAGAGAGTGGGAAATCGTAGCAAGTAGTAGCAGGCAAGGATAAACCCTTAGCCTGTTCAGCCTGTTTACCCCAATTACCCCGCGTGGGATGTGTGGGGGTCTCGGCTTAACTCCGATCTTATCGCCATGCCATCAACACTACACTGAATCTTAAAAAAGAAACTCTATCCAAGGACCTGGTTAACTGGAAGCCAAGATGTGCTCAGTGTCATGATGATGAGGCAAAAGCGCTGCCAGATATGACTAGGCTTTGGCCAGCTATACGCGAGACCGCTACCCAGTACCTGTTCATCCCACCGCCGCATCCAGTCAGAGAGTAATACCGCAAGATGCCATTCGTTAAAATGCCCTTTACAAACCCCTCAGATGCGGCGAATGACGAGAGAGTCGCCAAATGGACCTTTCCGAAAGAAACTCGTGTAACCAATACCGGTCTCTATATCGGTATGAAGTCTACCACCAATGTGGATCTCTGCACCCGTCACCCCCATGACTTTATCGACAAGGGTCGAGTTCTTTCCCACCGCCGAGTCCCTTCTGGAACACTAGTTATATTGTGGGCACACGGTCTAGCTTGGCTTGCGGTAGATCGGAGAGGATATATATTGTGCGGTAAGAAGCCCGCGTCTGGGGCTGGCCGGCTGATAGACCTGGTGTCAAAGAATATCACGTTTTCTGAGAATGTCCGCTTTTTGGCCGGAATTGTCCTTGCCCCAATTGATATCTTCCTGTTGGAAGCTGGTACCTTTGAGGTGGAACTTACTGTTTATGGAAAGTAATATGACACAGTGACTCCGTACTAGTGGCCCCCCCAGTGAAGCTATTCTACTTTCACCAGTTGCGCAATCCGAACAATTCGGCGTACTGAGTATAAAATTGAATAGGATTCCAGGTACGATATCAAATACCTGGGGACAGTTGGTAGTCATCCGAATCTGGTAGCTGCGTTTTCTGCCTTCACCTATAAACTTCAGTCCAATCCACTCCGCTTCCTTTGTCCCCCTCTTCCTCTTCGCCTTTCCTCTACATTCTATCCTTATTCACTTCTTCAACCACGATTTCAAAGCCCACTCAAACAATTCCCAGCTTCCAATGGTCGGTCGCGGCGGCGCTTCCATTCTTCTGTAGCAGATGCACCATGCCTTCCAGAAGATGGCTCAGGTAAATCTGAATCTTCCTAGATGATTTTCGAGCCTCGCCGTCCCTGGGCTTCCTCCTTGTAGAAATTGAAGCATTGCTTCTTCAAGGCAATCAGTTCTTGGGTCAAGGTTTGCCGTTTTTCGACTGGCCACACCATGTCTCTCGATGGCAGAAAGATCAAGTCGGCGTGGGGAGGGCTTGTGAAATAGGCGATCAGTAAAGTGCCAATAGTGGCATTGGGAGGCCGAGACAACTTACCAGGCGTGAGGAGTGAGGGTCGAATGGTAGCTGGTGCAATTATCGATAGCAGGCGACAAGAGGAAAGCTTGGGTGAATTGGGGAGACATGAGGAATATGGAAGAAGGTAGAAGGAAGAGAAAAGAGTATCAGTAGTCACGGGGAAAGGAGTGACTGGAAGGGGAAGGGAAAGTGGCAGCTGCGTGATTGGGACGGTCGTGCCTTCCACTTTCGAACGGTAAACAATGCCAAGACTTTGTATAAAAATGTCAACAATTCAGGGGACTCGTAGGTACTGAGTACAAAACCGAGTAGGATACTGGGTAGGATATCAAGTACCACTAATATTAAGTAGTAGGATGCCATCTGGGCAAGTACCCCCAATTTAAACAGGCCTGAGCACGGCATCTATATTACTGCTTGTACCTACGGTGCTCGCCGATGTACTGAACAGAATATTCCAGTCTATTTATTTTCATTCATCCATACAATACCCTCCTGTAGCAAATCCTAACTTCATACATTTATCCGATAACAGTATCCTCCGAGACAACATCCTCATCCCCATCCCCATCGCCAATCACCAATTTATCCGAGGCAGCTGGCACCACCGGCTCGGTCTCATCCTCAGTTTCATCCATGAAACTCCAATCCCCCATCTCAGCCAGCGAAGCAAAGTCAATCAGAGTAGTCTGTCCCGTCCGCCGACAAAACAGCATATCTTCAAGAAGTCCAGGATTACCAATCTCGACATCGCACTCGTCGAGCAAACCGATAGCGTCCCGGATACGCTCAATAAGAACATTCTGCTCCTCGAAGCTCAACTCCTCAAGAATATCAGCAACCGGGTGCCCAGACCTCTTCTCCATGACAATGATGTATCCTTGCGGGAAGATACTGGAGCACATAATCTGCCCGGTGAAAAAGCAACTTGCGAAAGTATCCGGTACGGCTACTCCATTCGCTTTGCGCCGTTCGATAGTCTCATATACTTGTGATTCGATCGCGTATCTGTCTCCGTTAGCTGGGGTTTCTTTACTGAACTTCATGCCAGCAGGGTAAGCGCTGGATTGTTCGTAAGCACTCACTTCTCGAATCCTTCCGGTGCCCAACACTTGGCTATACATGCCATCCCATTGTATATGACCTCGAAGACAGCTTTGGACGTGTCATTCCTATCTCCGGAGATACCCCCCACACACTCAACGGCGACAGTAGCGATTTCGCCATCCCCGCAGATCATCGTGTTTCTTGTGACCGGGCATCTTTCTCGACCACCGTCCGCGTCAACATACACCCGCTGAGTGGCGGGTGACGCAACATCCGGTAGTGACTCCGGGTCTTCGTACTTCATTGTACTGGCTTCGTGGTGAGACAAGGAGCCGGGGTATAGAGTCCAATCTTGGTTGTTAAAATTTTGGAAGTGCAAGTCTTGGACACTGTGTCGGAGCATTTTAGTACGGTCTGAAAATTTGTATATAATCAGAGTGCTGGTGGGTGTGCAAATTTGCGGGTGGTCGTGTTTAGTTGAGGAGGAAAAAGTTCTAGCACTGAGGGAAGCATTTTTATTCACGTTTCGTGCCTTCCGACTCCTGATTCGAACTATAGAAATTTCTTGTTTTGGTTTAGTAGTGTTTACCTCCCGCGATCTATGGTCGAAGTACCTTCCTTGGAAATATTCAATACTTCGAGCCGTATTCTCTTCCTACTAGTACGACAGGAGCCGCCCACCGAAAAGCCCACCCCGTTCTAGCGCCGACGATCAATCCGGAAGGAATAGCAATGTCATAATAGAATCATCGAAAATTCATTTTGAAATCAGTTGAATAGATACAAATACTGACTATTGAGATGAAAATTGCGAGATTCCAGCTCAACAAAGAACTGCACATGTACCAACTTGAAAGGAGTTGAAGCGTTGGAGCGTTTCAGGCTATCCATGATGCAGGCTTCTTACAGTTTTCAGAATCCCGAAGTAAATCAACACTCAAGGCATCTCGGGGGTCTGCTTTGCACTCGAGATGGGAGTAACATAGTTAAGACGACGCGTAGAAAAGATCTCCACACCGATAGGGATTTCTGTGTCGTGAAGATTTCCCGACTTGATCTGGGTGACTCCCGGCATGCCCTCTGGCTGGGAGTAAAGGCTAGATCCGCAGTCTATAACTGTGAATTTGTATTCCAAGGCATGGGGTTTTGCAGAGACTTACCTCCACAGAAGAAGTGACGATGCTCTTTTCCAGATACATCTGCAAGGCGAGCCCAACTTTTGGGCGTTCCTTTGCTGATCGCAAAGTTGCTAGTTGGAACGGCGACATTGGATGAAAATGCGCTTCCACTCCACTGTTGACATCCGGTACAGTGGCAAAGCGCCGTAAGGGCAGGTTCGCCTGATGAATGTTTTTAGTTTTGCCTTCCTGTAGGTTTGGAATATGCTCACCGTTGTAGGTAAAGGCGATGCTGCCACAGGCACAGTTTCCGGATCCAGGCATTTTGGTGAATAACTTCAATAGTAGGTTCAAAGGTAGTTTCGAAGGTAGATTGCTAGTATAGTTTCGGTAATAAATTATTCTTTTGAATACCTCATCTTCATCGGGGGCTGAATGGGCATTTATATTTCGAGCAGATCGATGATTCCACATCACATATTGAAATCCCCACCGAATGATTCCAAAGATTTCTCTACGACCAGTACTACGGGATTCCATTATTGGGGTCTAGTACGCTACGCCACCCGAAGCTTTGGAATCATTAGCTGTAATTTAATCTTACGGTATGGTCGCTCAGATCCGGCGCAGATACACAGTGCCTATTGCCCTCTTTACGTTCGAGACTTTATTTCCCTCCTGGCAATGTTGAATAATCGGATTCTTCGGTTAATTTGATTGATATTCCTTACAGACTAGATCTAATTATTTCATTCAATAGCTCCTCGAAGACCTCTTCTTCCATAAGCGCACCAAACCTAACACCATCAGTAAAGCCCTCAAGCAATTTGATAATCAGACTCACCCATAACACTTAATATGCGGAATCATAGCCGATCGCAAAGCCTCCAAAGTTCCAAAGTTTATCGACGCAAGATCAAAATATTTCATTAATCGATTCCACGCTTGCACAGGCGTGATGTATCCATCCAGTCCAAGATGACCAGATAATTCGAACAGCTTATCCAATTGCTGCGCAGGGACCTCCCACGATGTTTTATCTTCGAGTTCTAGAGGGGCACCCGCTAGCAGTATTCCCTGCATGGACATTGCGTGTCCGGATGGCTCGTCTGAATCTGGAGCCCGGGTGTGAAAGAGACATGGTCGTTCCAGGCTGCGTGCGTGTAAGTTTCTGCGTCGGAAGATTATGCGGGCAGACTAACGATAGCACAAAATTTATGCCCATTTGAGTTAAATTGGGACATTTCATTGTTCCATTTTCCAGTGGGGTCGTTTTGGTTGTTTCATTGGGATCCAGGGTATGACACTCGGCATCTTGCACTTTCTGTATCGCCGAGCTGGGAATAGTGACTGAAAGACGTTGCTGATCCCCATGATCTCCAAATATAGTAACCTCCGCCAGTGGGGCACTTCTCAGCTCGAAAGTCTCCGGTAGTGTAATCGAATAACGCAAAGCGATATCCCGCAGAACCCCATTCTCAAACTCAAGCCCGTTTATCTCTTCCGCCAAAGAGGTCAAGCTATACAACCGATGCAGCTCGTCTTCAAGACTACGAAGTCGCTGATCTCTTTGTTCGCGGTGTTTCCTGTGAGTTTCGAAATTGAGCACTTCCCACGGAATCAATCTCCGCCCCTTCTTCGCTTCTATAGCTTACTTTTGCGCCCTTCGCACTTGTTCGCGGCGGCGGTCATAATCTGTTTTTGGCGGATCGATGAGATCCACATTCTTCGTCGGCTTTGCTGTACTAGGGTGCATTTGGAGAGACTGATTGAATTGTATTTTTTAGCCCTGAAGGTGTGACACTGGAAGGAGGAGGAGGAGTAGTGACAGCACACGCTGGTGGTGATAAGGATGTTACGTAACCGGTTAAATCAGGCTCGCAGGGACTCTGACCAATAGGATTGAAATTTCGACGGGAAGTGGGGGCCATGCGAGATGATTCCAAAGCACCAAACTCAAAATGATTCCACATTGCTAGAATTGCGGGTAAATTCTGCTTTCAGGAATTTCAACTAATTCATCTCTTTTTTCATTTATCATCTACTCACTGGAGTAGGTACTATTACCCCTTACCGGAATTTGCTCTGCTCAATACTTGAACATGATAAAGATGACTTCGGATTGGAAGCCGGAGCGTTGTAAACCTTGGAAGATATATAAGTAACAACGCGTATCACTAGCAGGATATAAGGACTGGCACACGCTGAATTCGGACGAGTTCACCTTCGACCAAAAAAGAGCCACAACCCACTGTTCCACACACTGGAGCCATACCGGGAATCAAGGAATTCCTATTCTGTGATATCCGTGATGCGAGAAATAACTCACTAAATGAAAGGCTCATGTTCTTGTGTATCTTTCATAGAGGTTTCCCACACACCTAGTAAACACTTTAGATGGGACGCGGACGAAGAACAAGGAAAAATACGCAACTCGATGTAGATGATAAGCGGTACCGGGGTTGACGCTATCCGACCAAGGTGATAAAAATGGATTTATTGCCCTGTTGGACGTCCAGAATGCAGTGTTCTAATGTGGTGAAGAAAAAAGAAAACATCGGTTGATGTGAATGATTTCTTGTGGATTTGAAAGTATTTGGTTTTAGGTGCACGTTTGAAACGCCATACTGTTCTTCGGAGATAGGGTAGCTGGCAATGATGCCCGACTTTTGCTTCTTTCTGATTCTATGAATTGAATTTCGCTTATTTGACGGCGTGTAGACTTTTCTATCATATGGAAAGATCAGCGTGACCACTAGGCTTCGTTGAGCAAATTTGTACCTACCAAGGATGGAATTTGCCGATCTATTCCATCCCAGCAGGCTGCTAGTCTGCAATTAGAATGCGGCCCAAAAGGTTTTGCAATAGAGGATTTCAACTTTTTTCAACACCACTACCAGATACCTCTATATACAATTACCTACCACCCCGCACTTATGGAGCTTCGTACTCGTAGATAGTTCCCAGAGTGGATGCGGGCCGTGAACCGCCAATCCCTTTAGTCTCAGCCTCGTTGTAGGACTCACAAACCAGCCCCCACATAGGGATCACTCGGGATTGTTCTGGAGTTTGAGACCAATGCACAAAGCCTGAAGGCGTGTTGCTCTAAACGTCACCATGAGCGGAATCCTTAGAAGCCTTAAGCCTCAGGCTGACGAACTCTACTTGGGAAACTTGCCTATTCAGGCGACGGGCTTTCCACGTTGAGAACTTGAATCAGATCACTATGCCGTCACTTAAAGTGGAAGTCGCTGCCGTCGATTTCTCAATGATCATTCTGTAGCCTGAAGTCAAATAATTTCAACACCCCATAGTCACCTGTTATAATCCCTGAACGAAGCCTAACTACCCTTTGGCCGATAACGAACTCTGTCATCACACAGAATAGAACTCATGGCACCTCTTTTCAGGGTTTGGGAAGTCGAATGGTCCCACCAAAAACGTTACTCAGGATGTCTCGCTTTTATCCAAGCAACAGTGGGAGAATTGGACGCCCGCGGAATCATGAGTTTGAGAAGCGGGGTTGACTGCTGGAAGACCTTGACACAGGGTCTAGTTTCTCTTTACAATGCTGGAGTTGACATCCAATGGGGTGATTATCACAAAGAGTACGAGCCTGGCCTTAGGCTGTTACAACTGCCAACCTATGCTTTCGACCTGAAGAAATACTGGTTGCCCTTCAATATGCCACAGAGGCCTGACGTGATGACCTTGGCTGGTGATTCCCACTCCGCCACATCTTTACAACAGGTCGAATCGGACATTACTGGGGAGAATGGAAGACATATAAATTTTCTCTCGGGTTCAAAAGCAAATTATCCAGCCTATGCCGTCCAAGGGCAAGGATCCTTCGATGGTGTAGCCCAATGCCCAATCTCCGTCTGGTGTGACATGGCCTTTAATGCTGCCAATCATGTCGAATTTGGGAAACATGAGAAAATGCTAGGTATTGAAATTAGCGGCATGAAAGTCACTTCTCCTTTGACAATTGGCCCTGAAAATACCGTCAACACTATCATCAGGACATCATGTCACTTCCCTGCTGGATCAGAATCGTTGTGTATCTCAATTGAATCTGAGAAAGACGGGGAGAAATCAAGACATGCAGACTGCACTGTTCAATTGAACAATATCCACAGGTGTATGAGCGAATGGGGTAGAGTCGGCTTCCTACTCAGCTCAAGAATGAAATATTTGCAGAATCCCACAAACTGCAGTACCATATGTCGTCTTCCTGGTTCAATGCTGTACAAGGGGTTTTCTCCCTTGACAAATTATGATGAGAAGTACCGAAGTATCCAGGAATTTTCCTTGGATCCGGATTCTAGTGAAGGATGTGGAACAGTCAAATTCTCGAGCGAGGCAAGAGGATCTCCGAGACAGAATCCATACTGGATCGATGTTTTCGTTCAATTCGCCAGTCTCATATTGCATTTCAACTCTTCCACACAGAACAACGACAAGGGCGTCCAGTATGATTTGGACGGGTGGGAAAGTCTGCGAACTGTGAAGGATCTTTCTGCAGAGCAATCCTACTCTATATACGGCCGCATGAAATCTTCAATTGAAAGCAACATCACAACGGGAGATATTTACCTGTTTGAAGGAGATGACATCGTCGCGTCGTGCTTTGGAATTTCATTCCTTGAGATTACTCAGACTCCCTCCGCCCTTCCAAGCACCCCAAGGAACCATGAATCGGATTATGACAATAACTCCTTTTCGGGAATACAAACTCCTGATTCAATCGAAAACTGCAATTCGCTACATGAAACTTCGTCAAGAAAAGCAGTCTCGGAGAATGGGAGCTCTTCGCACCAGCCTTTTATTGACACAAGTACGAATCTTGAAGAAAAGGCGCTCGAAATAATCTCCCAGGAGATATCAACTGACGTGACTGAACTTGAAGAGGACACGACTTTCTCTGATTTGGGTGTTGATTCTCTTCTCTCTATGTCAATTGTCGATAAGATCAGTCGCGATGCAGGTCTTCGCCTGGCAGCATCTGCGTTTGTCTCTCACCCGACGGTTCCAAGTTTCCTGGAACACTTACGAAAGGACGTTCTTCCGGGGCTAGATTGCGAAGGAAGGTCGAAGGCTGATGGAGGCTTACCGAGGAATAATGAGTGACTACCTATTGTGTTCCCAGGTCCACCAGTTAGAAATTATATCTAGGATAATAAAACAGAATTTATCTCAACTTCGATATTTATGTTGCACCGCATGGAAAATTATGAGTGGAAGCTACTGGGCTAGCTTTCTATTCGGGGAGGGCTTATAATTTCTAGCGAGGATGTGACGAGCGAGCTAATCGTAATCAGTGAAGTATCGCAGTTCCCTCGCTGGCCGATATATGAAGCGCCCATACAATCTAGATCTAGAGAGTCTAATGGGCTTATACTATTATGGACATATGCTGAGTGTCGAAGCGTGAGTTGGATAGTAGCCCTGAAGGCTAGAATTATGATGGTATTCATGTGAGAACATTGAGAGTAGCGGGAAAAGCTGTTGCGGCTGAGAAAGATTCTTCGATACATTCTAACTACTATGAATGGCCTGTAGCGCCATGTGGGGTATGGGGCATATCTGAGGGGGATAGAGGTGATACAGACGGCGGCCAGGTATCGCCAGTAGTTTGCGGAGGTAGCTGAGATAAAGAGGGAAACTGTAGACTCCAGTTCAAGGGGCCTGTCCTGCAGATTATCACCTGACAGTTCCAAAGTGTCACAGGGGGGACCAGTATCCAGCTCAGCAATTTGAGGAGCAGTTTGACCATTGAGCTCATGAGTTCTCGAAGGTGGCAAGTTCGGCGTTTGAGAAGGTAAGGCCACACTTTCCGTCTGAATATTATTCGGACGACCATCAGTAGTAGCTTCAGCCGGAGACACGGCAGCAGGCTCTGAAGAGAAACACGGTGAGTTCAGGATCCGCATGAGTGATGCAGTTTCTGGGGGCGGCGTAATGTCTCCACAGAGCAACTCCTTTGCAGTGACTTTCCGTCCATAAATCTTCTTATTTGCATCAGCCCGTTCCAGCAGTACTCCGCCTTCAAGCGATACACCCCCGTACAGTCCGCGAGTCTTGGAGTATGAGAGCATGCTTGCCACGCCTTTCCTACTGGCTGTACCAGTTGCCTCGGCAGAACGCCCCATGGGGCCGGCGGCCATTGATACATTCAATCCCAAGGTTAATGAGCCAAATGTAGCCAGCGCATTGACGGCCTCATCGCTTGTAAGAACAAAAACAAAATCTGTCAGCTCCAAGCCAACGAGGCCCCCAACCCCAGCTCCTCCGGTCATCAGAGCACATGGGGCAGACCAGCGGCCATCAGGTAGACGAGCGACGATCAAGCCAGACCCCAAGCGACCGGAGCCGAGAAAACCTACTCGTAAAGAAGTTAGAATGACGAGGCCCTATAAACATAAATAATGGAAAGTCAGCCTAGTAGCAGAATTATCGGAATATGTAAATGAGATGACCTTTGCTTCGGCAAGAATCTTGTGGGGAATTCCAACGTCAAGCTTGATATAACGAGGATTGATAAGCGAGTCAAGAATCAAGCTAGCCTTCTCGCATTCGCCTGATGAGGTCGTCAGTATTATTGGTACGCCTTGTGAGTAGCGATCAACCCTAGCCCCCGCCAGCCCTCATCCCTCTCCTTTCCCTAAAAAAAGAAAAGAACTTACTAGCCATTGAGGCCGGGAATGGGTTATGTATCGACTTCCCGCGACCGGGCCGTTTTTCCTTTGACATGATGATGACAGATGTTGAAACTGGACAGGCAGCTGCAAGTGGAAAATCTTTATTATTCGTAAGCTCAAAATTTGTGTTGTTGAGCAGGCCATAAATGGCCCCCACGGCCGGAGCAAACTATTTTTACCCCTGAGCCCTGAGTTGTACTCGTATTCGAGACTTGTTCTTTTCCTTGTTCATACTAGTAGCTTGGCACGCGCTTGGCACGCGCTAGCAAACAAACAAACAGCCATGGACAGTTGACCAGTTGGTGTTTGCATCTACATCAATCGAAGAAGCCTTTAATGCCAGCCTCACACCCCTCAATTTACCAACCAGGTGATAATGAGCGACCAAGTATGAATTTTCTAAACTTCCGTACTTTACATCGAAATTTAGTGGTACGGTAAATACCGCGTAATCATCACATTCTTGATTCAGCGCCGCTGCTGAAACAATCGCGGGATAGAAACTCAAACTTAAACAAACACGAAATGGTTTACCAGGTCAAATTTACACATGGGCAGTCGTTGAAGCAATATTCTTTGGATCTGGAGAATTCTCGAAACGCTACATGGTGCGCAAAAAGCTCACAAATAGAAATATTAAATCCGATAATAGTCGAAGCGTTTGAGCAAGTGGATCTTTGCTTTATTTGTATTAAAAGGCTAGGTAGGCATAGCGAGATTCCAAATCAAGTGTACTGCGATATGTAGCTAGTAAGAAGCAAGCTCGAGCCTAGTCATAGCAAGATTTGATGATCTTCATTGTTTGACATGGAGTTGAGCCAAGTCATCGCGAAAGCCACGGTCAAAGACAAATTGCAACGCAACCAACGATTGCAAGAATCACAATGCCAAGACCCACGATAGCTTGCATAAGAGTGCATAGCCCCATGATGATAATGGAATGGATAAGGGTAGATTGTTGGCAACTGAGTTCTTGCACTTCAAGTTCAGGTTGATTCTACAGCATCATTAGCCTCTGGTTCAAGTTGTACATTTGTACTGGGTTCATGCGGGAAATAGTACTGTAGGACACACTAGTAAAATTGAGGGTGGAATGATTTATGTTTCTCTTCAGTCTCACTTGAAAGTAAAGCGTGATCGGTAGTAGGTGTATTTGGATGATTCAAATAACTGATGGTTTGAGGGAGAGTAAAAAGTCAAAGCCCCGGCTTTATCAATATTTAAGGATGGATCTTTTAGAGAGGGACTTTCCTTATCCAGTGCCGCTACTAATATGGTTGGCGACCGGATAGCACCTGACTTCAGACATTTTACCAAAACGGAACAGTACCCTGGATGACGTTCGCAGTCATTGTAGTGGTGTTTTATGAACTAGGGATGTTTTAAAATCGAGATGCAGTGTACGTAAATGTCGCCGGAGGCCAATATAGAAAGGAATAAATCATCTAGCAGTGCTACTCGCTTGCTGCTCGCAGGACGAGGTACACCTGGGTACTATTATGCTGATGCATACCCGAATGGAGATAGAGAGATTGGAGTAAACTGTGAGGACTATCTTATGGAACGACAGTAGAAATGGAAGTTCAAGTTTCTAAAGGATTTGCGCAAGTGATTCGCTATTTTCTGCTTATAATATAGCGACGAGTAAAGAACAGGGAGGATTTAAGCTGAGAGCACCGGTATCTGTTTCTAGCGGGATACTCTCAGTCCAATATAAACTTGACTGTCCTTTGGGGTCCAATTAAATAAAGAGGCCGGCCAAGTGTGAAAGTGAGAAAGAGGCAAGCGATGACTGCTACGCAAAGAGGGAATACCAAAACCAACGGCAGGCAGAGGGTAAAATGTGCAAAAAAGAGGTCGACGAGTTGAATAGCAAGAGATTCGACTGTCCAAGAGTATGTTTTGAGGTCCATAGTGAGGCTTTAGCAGGGCGAATCCGATGGTAAATTTCCTTCTCCGTCGGCTTTGGAAGAGTCTGTGGGATATATGACTAAACAAAGATAACCAAAGGTAACGAGGGCAGCAAGAATAAATTGAATGAACATGCCAGGAACGATCGCGAGGAGGAGGAGAAAGTAGGTGAACGAGCTGAGATTCGCAATTGCTTCTTGTAAGACCATGGTGGGGTTTTAGCGTGGCAAGCCCGAGGGTGAACGTACGGTCGTAGCAAGGCCGTGTCAGTAAACAGATCGAAAATATCCGGTCGATTCAACGGGGCACACAAATTTTGTCGTAAACAGCGTAGCCACAATCACGCCCAGATTGAAGAGGATGATAGGTGGAATATTTTGGTCAGGAATGGTGCTCAATATTTGACCAATGAGACCATAAAAACTACCACCAAACCTTCGAAGGCTATAAGGATTCCTGTATCGTATATCCAAAGACCAAAGAGTATATTTGTAGGTTTCTGAAACTTTGAAGTAATGCGTGCTTTAGAGTTAGGTTTGATTGCTGGTCGAAGTCTGGTGCCAGATAAATAAATGTCCTGGGCTTACTAACTACTAATACTCAGTATGTACGGAGACATATTACGTCACATTTTATTCAGCGCCGCTGCCTGATGGGATCGGTGGGTAGATGTTAATTCCAAATCGGAAATTTTCACCAAAAAGGGATTGATTCGTACGTTTGAGTCTACAATATTGCGAGCAATAGTATCAAAATTAAGAACTTTCTAGCACCCTACGAGCGCGGGGTAGACTCCAGAGTTGGAACTGAGAATAGTTCAATCATAGAGAGCAAGACATCATGTACTTCTACTTTTCACGCGGATATTCTCCAGTTAAAAGAATATGCAAAATGGAAGAGAAGAGGGTAAAGTCGAAGGACTATGCTATGAACGAACCTGTTCAACATTTGAGTGAATTATTCAATAATTATATTTATTGTGAAGCTAGGAGCTGTGTACAGAGCAACCAGACTAACGGTGCTGCTAACTGTGTCTAATCAGGTGACCTTGATCCATTACAAGTTTCAATATCCTTCTGAATCCATTTAAAGAACCTATATGCTGACGATTTGTGGAGATACCGAGAAGGGAAACATGGAAAAATGCGGGAAGGAAAGCGGTGAACAACTTCAGCATATGGATAAAGTTGCAATATACCACATTCATTAGCCCGCGGGCCACATAATTTGTTCAGCAACATCATAGACCCCCGAAGGCCTCTGGCCCGCAGTTCTGAGATCAATGATGACACTTTAAACTGGCGATTCCGAGGGCGACCTTGATTCCTAGAGTGCTTGGTATTGAGGAAAGGTGCCAGGCCGCCAACACTCCCAAAGGGCGAAGATACCCGAAAGGGCTATTAGAATCAGGCAAAGGGCAAAGGATGCCACGACGAGTATAAGGAGGTTTGGAAAAAGTACGTTCCACAGAGAGCCGAGGAGCTGGCCCAAAGTGTTCCAGAGAAAGCCAAAGACTCGGCACAAAATGTTCCAGAGAAAACCAAAGAGTTGACAAAATTCTATAGACACTGTCGCGATAGTTTTCGAAGGCCCTCACGTCGTTTTAGTGTGGTAAGTTCGAATGCCGGAATTTCTTTCTGTTGAGGTCTCGAAGTCCGAAGGACAGTTTGCTTTGGTAGCTGTGTTTGAGGAAATACTTGCAGGAATAGTTAGTCGAAAGTAAATACAGATTTTGGTTTGGCTAATTATTCCGTATGTATTGATAGTTATTGCATCATCCTTTATTCGGCGCCGCTCCCGGATTTGATTAACGTCACAAATGGAATAGTAAGCTAGATTAGGTTGAAAGGTTTATATTTTCAAAGCTATAAATATTTTCAACATTGAGTATGAATCAACTTGAAGGAAAGAAAACGCTTCAATCGAACGGTTGAAAAGAAACAAACCCGCTAGTGACACTACTAGCTTCATGACGCGAGGGTTGTAAGACTGTAATTGGACAACTGCTGTTAATCCCGTGCAACAAGGAAAAGAAAGGATCGATCGATCTGGACTAGAAATGGCAGGGAGATTTAATTATCCAGTATAGACAAATGTCGAGTCAGTTGGATCCCCGTTCTCAAAAACCAGATCGTTGGGTTATTACTCATCCCATCCGATGCCGATGAAAGGATCCCACAACGCGGAAAGGCGTCATTATCGTCGGGTCAGGCTTCAACAACTTTGAGATTTATAAATCTCGGTATATCTGACGGCGCTTTAGAATGATATGCTATCCGACTAGGTAACTTGACGTAGAGCGGCAGATAACATAATTATCCCTTGCCTTCCTGCTTCCCACGAGCAAGATCAGCATATCACCACGCCTTTTGTAGTTCTGAGATTTTCCGAGTCCCAAAGGGTCAAATCGAGTCCCGCTGATTACAGGTCCCGCCCCCGCAATTTTGTTCTCGATTTTTTCAAAATCCGAAGAGCGTAGTTATTGCCGGGCGTATCATGGCTCCACAAAAACATGATCAGCGTCATTAATTTCCCCTTTCGCTCGGATATTTAGATACTCGGCAAGAAAGGGCGCCAGATGGATAGATCCCACTTATTCTACATCAGCCATTCGACAAATTTTCTCTGGTTCCGAAAGAAATCGAAGGTCTCACCATGCGAGAACTTTCACATTAGATTTCCCAAGTCGATGTATCTCTTACTACCAGCAAGCTAAACAGCAGCCATCTCCTTCTTGGCAGCTCAACTTCTCGCTTGCAGCCTCGCCGTCGTTCATAATTCGACCAAGTGACTCCAGAACAGGCTGCGAACGAATATGGAGAAATTCGAGATCCCACTACCCAATGGCGGTATTATCTCCGGTCGATTGAACTTCCCTACTACCCCTCGAATTCCCGCCAATTGGCCGCTTATCATATGCATCCCTGGTGGCAGTTACGATGCCGAATACTTCGATGTGGACGAAGATTACTCCATAAACAGCACATCATCATGGGCAGGAATACCCACCATCGCGTTGACGAGGCCTGGTTACGGTTCCAGCACCTCAGCGCCAATAGATGACCCCGATCAAGACACGACTTACGGCCAAGTCCAGGGCAAATACCTGAACTCTACAATTCTACCGGCTATATGGCAGGAGTTTGGCAAGCACACGGGGGCAACAGCCATAGTACTCTTGTCTCACTCAATCGGAGCGATGATCAGTACCATCGTAGCGGGGTCATATACGGGACGTGAAGGCTATCCACTGGCAGGCCTCATCACATCAGGAATAGGCACTGAACTAGCTGAGGGACCACGAGGAGTCATGCTTCACCTTCTAGAGGAGACAACAGGATCGGTCCAGTTCGAAACGACCCCAAAGGATGCTATCATGCTCCAAGTCCCGATGCAAAATCTCACCGATCAAAAATTGTGCCGCCACACCAAACGCCTCAACCACCCTGTCCCGCCGGGCGAATTGCATGACATCAATACATCGTGGTTAGGCTATTGGCACAACTACTCTCATCGTGTCGCTGTTCCAGTAATGCATGGACTTTCTGAATTTGATGGTCTTTGGAATTATTCGCCCAAGATTTTGGAAGAGTACAAGGCCTCCTTCCCAACGAGCCCGAAAGTTACGAGCGAGTTAATACCCCAGGCTCCGCATTGCATCGAGTTGAGTTTCCAGAGCAAGGCTTGGTATATGAAATGTTGCGCTTTTGCCTTGGAATCCGCTCATTGGTATGGTCTCCGACCCGGGTCTACACCGTTGTCTATTAGGCCAGGGACTGGGAAACAGGGTACAGAAGCCACTCCGGGTCATAATGGCATTACCACACTAGTTTACACTACGACACGCTATGAGGAAGGAGGATTATGATAGGAATTAAATTATTTTCTATCTCGCTTACTGGAATTGGATAGTGTTCTTGTACCCGTGCAAACTCGCGATAATCTCTATACAAAATAATCATGCACCCTCTCCGAGATCAAATATAGGAGCTGTAGTACGCACAGAAGCTCGCCTCTGATTTGTTGTTTACCTCCTTCGATCGAATATTAGAATTTTTCATTCTTTACAACCTCTTTCATTTGTGCGCTCGTTAAATCCGTATGATCATCCTTCTAATCGAAATCTTAAAGAGAATATCATGCAAAAGAAAGCTCATTGCCAAATTGCACCGGTGAGAATATGTGCTTCGCCATATACTCTACTCGGCCGCCATCTCCAGCATTGATGTCCACAATCCATGAGTAATATCTTTGCCTGTCGTCCACTAATACCCGGGGATAGCCTTAACACCGATGGCCGGCGGGACCTAACCGTAAATGCCTGGAAACACCTATCCCCTCAGTCCCGAGATACCATCACATCCCTCTCTTTCTCATGATTTCATATATTGATTTCCAGAATTCAGAACGGTCAGCTCAACTCTACGGAGCTACGGATATCACGGTTTTGGGTCCTTCGGTTCTCCGATGTCCCGAAATAGGCACGGGCCGGTATCGTTTAAGTCGGGTCCAGTGAAATCGAGAACAATGTACTAGAAGTCCACAGTAATGAATATACATCTACACATTCCTTTAATAGCCCCATTTGACCGCCCGCTTTAGCATTCTCGTCCGATGTCGATTCCTACGCTTCCGTACTCGTATGGTCAACTGACTCTAGATGGCCCCACCACGAATTCTCCATTCGTTCGGGCCGAGCGAATTTGACATCAGCGTCATGGCACTAACACTACCGATCAAAATGTCAAAGTCTGTCGGGGGTTGATATCAACTCGTTTTATATATTTGCTCGCCTGTGGTATTTTTAGAAAAAGAATATATTGGGCTCTGCTTGGATCTAAGCATACGAAGATTCCCAGCCAATACCGTCACCCATTCGAAATCAAGGCAATTAAAATAGACTGCAAAGGAAATAAATGGCTGAAGGATGATAATAAAATAAAGTAAAAATAATTCTTATTCGCGGCTCACCTTAACCCCAAGCAAATTCTCGGCATTGCGAAAAGCAATTCTCTGCAAGTCATCCTCCGTGACTTGGCCGCTCTTCCGAATCCCCTCAATAAATGCAGACCCTGTCTCATTTGCCGAGAATGGATAGTCCACGCTGTACATTACATGCTCAATCGAAGTCGTTTGTAGCAAACACAATAGCGGGGGAAGTGCAAACATGCCACTTGTCGTGATCCAGATATTATTTTTCCACACTTCCCTGAAGTTTCTCTTTTTCCCCCACTTATCTGAGATCGTGATCACCCTTTCAAATTGGAAAGGTAGCATCTCACCCATGTGTCCAATGATGATTTTGATACTCGGGAAGCGGTCAAAAAGTCCGCTAGCGAACATCCTCAAGATGCTCAGTGCTGTCTCCGAATGCCATCCCCATCCAAACGCGCCCAATGCCATAGCGATCGAGTCATCGTAGTTTCCTTTGTATCGCTCATTGTCGGCCGCGAACGAAGGGTGAATATATAACGGGACGTCTAACTCCTGTGCTTTGTCGAAAACGGTCCAGAAACGCTCATCATCGTACATTCCTCCGTTGACGTGATTATCGATCAATGAGCCGACAAACCCGAGGTCGCGGACACATCGTTCGAGTTCAGAGGCGGCTGCATCTGGGTTGTTCATCGGCAGCATGGCAAATCCTGCCATTCGACTAGGATTCTTGGAGATGGCGACTGACAATTCATCGTTTGCGGCTCTGCAGATCGGCGGTGGTCTTATACCCGGTCCATGTGAAATGATTTGCAGCGACACATTGCCATTGTCCATATCTTGAATCCGCTCATCGCCAAGTGACATCAACTTGGCCACTAGCTGTGGTGGAAAGCTGGCATATCGATCAACCTTTTGTGACGCTCTGACCGTGGATGATACGTAATGCTCTTCGAGGGTGATTAAAGGCAACATGACGGACTCGTGTGTCGGGTAGACAGAAGTTTTGAGCTCGGCGTATCCAGTCCTCTTTATAGACTTTTCGGTATACACTCTTCTCGAAAATTAAAGTTTACACCCTAGCCTCCAATGAATATCACAAAATCTACATCTCCATTAAGTTGACCGCCACGTCATCCATTTCCGAGAGCTATACTGGTCAAGCACTTATATCCGAGAAAGGGTCGGTCTTAACGCTCTCGGGTGTCGAACGCACCGAAACCCCGAACGGCCTGGGCCACATTCTGCATCAAATTATTGTTCATCCACTACGTAAATCTTCAAGAACAACCAACCATAAAGGCCACCAGCTTCGACTTTCTGGAAGTTTTATGCATATGTCTAAAATCCGGTCCCGGAATATCTTTTGAATTTCACAGCGGAGTTAATGGGTTGTTCACGTCCATTCCCGATGCTCCGAAAATGATGGGGCCAGGATAATTAAACTACGACCGGGGAGGATTATCGCTAGCGACTAGCTAGAAAGTGCTTAAGCTTTTGACTTTTTGATTCTATAGTGTGACCCGAGCTTTCCTTCCTTTTAAGGGCTTGTCAAAAAAACCTGCGGCTTTAGTTGCTGAATGAAGAATCGGGCCCGACACTTACACATGAGGAAAGTGAATAAAAGAGCGAACATGAGATGTTTTTTAGGAGCTTGCATATTCAATAAAACATATCTATCCCATGAATCAAGAGTCCACGCTGGAGATCTTGAACCCCAGTGGAAATCGAGTCTGGAAAAGTCCTTCGGGGTCATAGCGCTTGGCTACCCCTTTCAGATAATCCACATTCTTCGCGCCGTAGCTTCCAAGGGGATCTTGAGTTGTATCGGCATAATTTAGATAGACTAGATCAGTGGCCCCACCAACCGATTTCGAATGACTTTTCAACTCGGCGGCCATCTTATTCATTAGGCTTTGAGCGTGGATGCGGTCTTGCTGATTTGTCTTGACCACCACACCCGCGGTCCAAAGGACGGAGTTCTTCTCTTCGAGGTCGAATCCAATCATATTTCCACCTCTCCTTTTTGAGATTTCCCCGAACATGGTGGGCATAGGCTGGAAGAAAAACATCGTTGCAAAGTTCTCTTCTCCGATTGCACTTTTCATGTCTCTGACGTATCGCTCGTGCATACTTATAGCTTTCTTCATAAGTCCCTTGGTGTTGGAAAATGTGAGTGTAGCCTCACACATCCTAAATCAAAGTCAGTCTGATATTTCAATCAATTCTAAAATGGGTTAATACGTACCAAGTACCACCGACGACTTGTGAGCCCGCTGCTGCTTCCGCGAGAGTAATGTGGTCATATGGTGCCGGTGCGATATCGGGGATTTTATCAAGCTTCTCGAACCCCGTGCTGTTAGCCTTGCCCTCCGTGCTCACCTGAATAGTGCCCACTGTGGTCTCCTTGATAAGCGTCGCATTATGCGTGAGATAGACGACTAGGGCGTCATTGGCAAATTTCTCATAGTTTTCGGTGAATTCAACAAAGTCGCTTGCAATTTGGGGTGCATGAGTGATGTTGATGGTTCGGACTTTATGAGCGAGCTTTTTGTTTGGCAAAGCCTCCATATCGTAACGAGTCACAATGCCAAAATTGCTGCCACCGCCCTTGAGAGCAAGCCAAAGGTCTGAGTTCACCTTTTCATTGGCGTTGACAATAGTACCGTTGGTGAGAACAACCTCGTAGTTTTTGACAGCGTCGCAGCCAAAGCCTTCCGTGCCCATGAAGAAGGTGGATCCACCGCCCAGCAAGAAACCACCGACGCCAACATCACCATCACGACCTCCGGTGACTAGGACGTCATCCTTGGCAAGCTTGGCGTACACATCCATCCACTTGGCGCCAGGACCGATACTCGCGAGGTTTGTTGTCTTGTCGTATGTAGCTTCGTTAAGATGCACGAGATCGATTGTCACGCCGTTATCGATGTTGTTTGCTCCTCCGGAGTTGTGTCCGCCTGAACGAATAGCGATATGCCAGTCTCCAGCGCTGTCGGCACCAAGAAGAGCTGTCATCGCTGTTGCGACTTCTTTCGCATTGCGAGGCTGTACAATGCAAAATGGATGTTGGCGACTGTTCAGGGACCAATAACTCTCGATTCGGGCTGCATAACTGGGCTCTGTAGGAAGGAGAATGCTCTTTTCTAAGCCTGCTTGGATAAGTTCATCGCACTGGTAATTATTAGTAACGTGGAAATTATCGCAATAGAAGAACACGTACAGGAGGAAAGCCAGTTGGTGGTTGTGTGGAATTAAAAGATGTGCCGACCGTGAGTCCGCTCATAAATAGCCCACTCAGTAGTAGTAACTGAAGGCGCATGTTGTTTATATTCGCAATGTCTGGCAGTTGAAAAAGCAAAATTGATCAAGCTTCGAATTATTCTTGGTTGGGTCTGAATGAAATTCAAGACTTAATCTTGCAGTTTTCCCATCGGGACCACCCATTCTTATATTTCTGTCTCGACAAATATAATTATAGACGACGGTATTCTCCCGTCAAACTCTTTGGGGTGCCTTGTCCTTAGTACGTCATGCGCAATTAGCGCGGAATGCGGAATTTCCCAGGTGAGTGTGCCATGTGCTTGGTTACCATTTTGTGTGCCAAGAGCCATCATAATAGTGACTCAGCTCTGTGTATCTGCAATATCTTCGGATGAAGCGTATCAAATGCCAAAATCCTAGCCCCAGATTCTAGTTCCTAGGCGATCTATGGCCGATTACCACGACTCTTTCCTAAAATTGAAAGTTCAGAGTGGATACCTGAGGTTTGGCCAAACGTTTTACCATTTATTCGAGTCCATACGAATTATGACGGATGCCAAGCCCAACTCCAGATATCCATAGATTTGCAGGCGAGAGAAAGAACTCTTTACCACTATTTAAAGGAAATTTATTTGCGAATTCCCCCGAGTGCATGAAAATATTTGACCGAAATATCTTCAAAATGATGCTGCCTGTCTTCCTTCGAATCGCTAAATCGTGGAAGGAATATCGGGGAATCTCTCCACAACCAAGCAGCTACAGTTCAACAGTAATTTGTGGCAAGGAATGAAAAATACTCAGTAAAATTCTTAAATACTTGGTATCACAGCTTTTGAGTACGTCGATCAATTTTCTCCATGATCATACATTAATCGGTAATTCGCTGTCCTTGAATGAGCTCTGGGATGGTTTTATCAGGATGGTCAATCGCAATGGTGTAACAGGAATACTCGGTCCAATGCAGCGCAAATTAAAATTCTTCTTAAACTGTCAGAATGTGTAAGGGATTTCTAGAGGCTGAATAAATAAAAGTTGACGTTGGAGCAAATCATCCATGGATTGTTGGAATAATCCTCGTCATCTAATTAATTTCTTTTTCAAATAATTGTTGACAAGAGCTAAGTTGATACAACTACCACAAACAACTTTGGAAGATGATAAAAGAACTTGAGGTTCTCGGCGCGTCCTTCCCAACATTATAAAGAAGGCGCGTACCTCAATACAACCTCCTCCTACCTTCGCCCACGCTTCTTGCCAACTTCCTTCCCACAACCATCTCACCTCTCACCTCATCATCCTTTTTTTTTCTTACTCACAACAATACCCAGCAACAAGGTGCACTTTCATACCAATTCCAAACAACCATGCCCAGAGTGTGGAATGCCGAGGCGGACGCGAAGGTAGGAAGATCCACCCAGTTCAAGCTGTGACTAGTTACTGACATTTGATGCAGCTCTTCTGTGGCGTACTAGCCCAGTTGCAGGACACAAACACCAGACTCGACTATGATGCACTGGCCAAATACATGGGTCCCGGTACGAAACATTTAATTCAAGCATTCAAAGAAACAAGGTTAACCATACCTGCAGACTGCGTCGTAGGCGCTGTAAAGAACAGAATGAACAGGCTCAAAGCCGCTGCGAGGTCTGAGGGGCCTACGACCCCCAGCGTCGAATGCGCTTCTTCTCCCGCCTCTGTCCCGGATTCCGCATCGCCGCCCGTCAAGCGCAAGTGGACCCCTGGCCCTCGCAAGCCGCGCTCCAAGAAGCCAAAGAACGAGCAGAGAGATGAAAATCCTCCCAAGATGGAAATGGATCCACTTGGTTTGAAGGAAGAGGGCGATGAAGCCCTTGTCGTCAAATACGAAGAAGGGGGAAAGGAGGATACTTTCATCAAGACCGACCCTGAGGAAACCGAGGATGACCCCTCAGTGGATGTTTAATTTAGCAGAAATTGACAGATGGCTGTCGAAATTGCCAGATGGCGACAGCCATCTGTCAAACATCCACTGATGGGGTATTCCGATCCCCGTCGGGCTGCTTACATTGTCAAGCGATTTCTCGTTAACTTTCATCTCTCCACGCACCGAGAATGAAATCTCAGGTGAAAATATTCTTAATTCTTGCACGAATTCAAATTTTTTCTTATTCATATTCACTTTGCTACATACGCGTTTATCAACAACATTGCTGATTGTCACGGCCTGGTATTGCAGTTCACAAAGAATGCACCCGAAACACATCTTTCAAAGAGCCGGCGTTTAAACTTGGCTGCTAGCCCACTATTTGACTTTTCTAGGCCCTGTGATTCTCACCCTTTAAGTGGTACTTAATAGACACTGACTCTTCAATAGATATACTTGATCGAGTCAGCCAGGACCTTGGAACCAGAGTCAAGCGCGCGACTGAGGCTTTGATCGAAGAATAAGAGTTCCTTCAAAGCTCTTTAGGTTCACAAAATGTTTTCTAAGAAAAAGAATGAAACTGTTTTCAAAATTCCAATGAGTTTTTTCTGAGCCGAATTCAAGAACCACGGTACCCTTGGGTGTCCGGATGACTCGGCTTTGTACCGAAACTTTTCTTTTAATGTTGACCATTTGGCCGTGGAAAAAATGTCAATTTACTAATTAACGGTCAAAACATTATTTTCTAACCCTTATAGCAAGAACAGCAATCACAAGAAAACCTTGAGAGAGGAGCTTAGCTGTTGGAGGAAGGGAAGAGTAAGGCGGTATTTTTCTCGCCGTGATCCTGACAGCGTCGGCGTTGGCGTCGAGCGGCCGCGGGGTTAGTAACCCATTCCACTGATTCTCTTCAATTAGAACATCATCATCATCATCATCATCATCAATAATATCCTTGTATGGAAATATTTAGTCGCATATCTATGCTATGACAAAATTGATCGATTGGCCAAAACTTGTACCCCCTCTTGCCGCATATTTTTCATCCCCCACACTCAAAGCTAGCTATATAAGTCCTTAGGTTCTTGTACTGCATCGTATATCAAACCTTGGAAAGCAAATTTGTTTAGGATAGCCTATGTAATTGCTTGTTTTGTTATATCTTACCGCTATCATGAAAGTGGGGGAGTGGGGGTGAAAAATATGCGGCTAAAGGGGGTAATAACGCTTCAACGCCTCAACGCTGTAGATCAAATCGATTACTCACTCCAATTCGCAGATCTTCCCTGTACCAAATGGCAAGTAAAACCCACTGTGTGCGTGAAAATGCAAAAAAAAAAAAAATTACAAAGGCGGAGGGATATGATTGGTTGGTATTAATGTCAAAAGTTTATCATGAGAGGTTCCAAAAGGATCCCGCATGTCTCAATACCTTGGGAGCTACAAACTGTATGAAACAAATTGCGCAATAGACTGCACCTTGACGTCCCAGAACGCTCATGATAGAGATTAGCCACTACGCTAGAGCGGCAAGCTCCGATCTACGGCTGACGACAGCGGCTTGCCTTTGACCTTCATGCGGTCGGTGCTCGAGTCTACCTCACTTTCCTGTTCCATCGAGTCTAGACTGAAGCTCCATTCTCATCAATCCTCTCAAGTCAAGGATGTCATTCACTTGAAACACCTAGTAATGAATCATTCTTTGAAGTCTTCAGGTGATCGGATTTTCGGGCTGAGAATCAAGATTCCAGTCATAAACAATCAATAAATAACATGCCGTGTTCGTGTTCGAGATATGAAAATGAAATATCTACCAACACTGAATTAGATACTGAATAACCAATTGTCGATCATGAGTCCGAAAGACGGTGCTCGGTTTGACTTTGTTATCGTCGGTGGCGGTACCGCGGGTAACACTGTTGCCAATCGCCTCGCGGATAATCCCAACGCTACAGTCTTGGTTCTAGAGGCAGGCGTTGGAAATCCGCATACCATCGATGAGATTACAACCCCAGCTGAGGCGATGTTTCTTCGCAACAGCAAGTACGACTGGGCCTATAAAACCACAATGATCAAGCGCGACGACTACGAGCGTGTTGAAAAGCCTAACACGCGCGGCAAAGCTCTCGGAGGTAGCTCGTCGCTGAACTATTTTACCTGGGTCCCCGGCTGCAAGGCAACATTTGATATGTGGGAGGAATATGGAGGCAAGGACTGGACATGGGATCCCCTTGTTCACTACCTTCGAAAAAGTGCCACATACCATGATGATGAAAGGAAATATCCGAAAAGCCTCACCAAAATTGGTCTTGGCGGTCCGATCCCTATCGCCCACTCTGAACTTATCCCGGAGATGCAGCCTTTCCGTGACAAGCTCACTGAGGCATGGAAAGCTACCGGCCATCCGATCACAGAGAATGTTTTCGACGGTGAATTGAAAGGACTGACTCACAGCGTCAACACGATCTACAAGGGTCAGCGATCTGGAAGCTTTTTAGCTCTTCGAGACAAGCCAAATATCACTGTTCTAGCCGAGGTCCACTCAAAGCGCCTTCTTATCGATGAAGCTGATCGTTCTTGTAAGGGTGTGACAGTGATTACTGCTTCTGGGGAAGAATTGAGCTTTTACGCTACCCGAGAGGTTATTGTGTCAGAGGGGGTTTTTGAAACACCAAAGCTATTGATGCTAAGTGGCATTGGCCCTAAGGATGAGCTCAATAAGCACGGGATTAAAATAATTGTTGAGTCGCGTCATGTTGGTCAGCACCTACTCGATCATCCTGGAGTACCCTTCGTCCTTAAAATGAAAGATGGATTTGGTATGGATGACCATATCCTTCGAAAAGGGCCTAAGCACGATAAGGCTATGGCTGCATACAAAAACAATCATGGTGGCCCAATGGGATCTGGATTTCTTGAAATGGTCGGCTTCCCCAGAATTGACAAATATCTGGAGAAAGTTCCAGAATATCAAAAGGCAAAGGCCGCCAACGGTGGCAAGGATCCCTTCTCTCCCTTCGACCAGCCGCATTTTGAACTCGATTTCGTTTGCTTGTTTGGCAGCGCCTTCCAATGGCACTACCCGACTCCTAGGGTTGGCGATTACATGACCGTCATGGTCGATCTCGTCCGCCCTGTGTCAGATCCAGGCGAAGTCACACTCAACAGCTCCGATCCTCTCGAGCAAGCTAACATCAACTTGAACTACTTCAATAACGATCTGGATATTCTCGCAATTCGCGAGGGTATCAGATACAGCTATGATGTCCTGTACGACGACGGTTTTAAGGATATTATCGAAGGCGAGTATCCATGGGAGATGCCTTTGGATGATGACGCTTTAATGAAAAAGACCGTTTTGGAAAGATCTCAAACTTCTTTTCACCCCTGCGGTACTGCCCGTCTCTCCAAAGACATATATCAGGGCGTCGTCGATCCCAGTCTCAAAGTACATGGTATCAAGAATCTGCGCGTGGCAGATGCATCAGTGATTCCGGTCATTCCGGACTGTCGCATCCAAAACTCAGTCTACATGGTGGCTGAAAAGGGGGCCGACTTGATCAAGCTTGACCACAGAGATTTATACCATCTTAGGTATGTCCATTAGTATCCCCAGGTGGCTATACTAGTGTGGTACAGCCTATAAAGTCCCTACGTCGGCTGTTTTCATTCCTTTTTTTTCATCTGGCCCTATAACCGAGAGGCAGAATTTAAAAGTTACTATACGCTATTGCCATTCTTGGGAAAGAAAAGAAAAGAAAAAGAAAGGAAAGGAAACAGCTCTATCTTGAAATTGAATGAATCAGATCTTTAAGCCGCTAAATCCAATTTTGATTTGAGTCACAACAATGATGGAGTTGTGTAAAACTCAAATAAAATAACTAATTCAGGGCACATAGTAATCCTAAACATGCCTTCACTTGCAAGTTCAATTCATCTGACACCTATCTTCTTATGTGGACAACCAAGTATTAATCAAGGATTCCAGCAAGCTCTTCTCACATGACACGGTAAACAAATAATTTTATCCCCGCCGGTAATAATACCAGTCACTCTTAAAGATTGCAAAACAGAGATAGGAGTAGAATTAGAAGCAGGGAGCCGTAGAAGCTTGAACGTAACGTCACAATGGGCGGAAACAAAGCAGCATCCGAATTGGCGAGGTGTCAACTTCTCTCTTCTCTGTTCTACGCCTTGCAGTTTCCCTACAGCGCTTTGGGTGTTTCCTGAGATCCATGTTGTGCCAATGCGATAGACAATCCCGCTCTAGAGCATTCACTACTCTCACTTCGTTCGTTTCAGGGCATTATAACACGGAAATAAAACGACAGTAGATTAATTCAAGGACACAATTTGCATCATCATCATCAAATCAAAAGCTTCTCTTAGATCCAAGAAATAGTTTCAATAGCCCAGTCTACATTTCCATGCGCGAATCGCAAGGATTACGGGGGTGCTAATGGCGTTGGTTCATGGACGAAATTGGTTATTATGGGTCTTCGCTCATCCAATAGAATTTGCTAAAAGAGGCGACGGCCTTATCCATTGGCTCGGCCTTTGTTCCGCCCCCACTCGTAAGTAATCTCTCAAAATGGAAGGCTTAATGAGGTCATCAGTTTCGTGTTTCGGCTAGAGCTTAATTCCGTGGTTCACTGGCTAGTCATTATATCCAAGTTTTATTTTAGTCTCATGCGCGCTATGTTAATCTGGTTCTAGCTATGTTTAATGTCCGAGCAGAACACGACTCTCATTGGTGGTATATTTTGGTTATGATGTAATCACCGTTGATTATGACTCCTACAAGTACGATCCAACGGCCTCTTTAAAAAGACCCAATATACGCTACAGCGATAGTGATTAGTTAATCAACCCATGTATGCGCCTTATTACCTGAGTCCAGAACCCCAAAGCTTAATCATACGATTTGCTAAATAAGGCTAAGGCCTAGTCGTTACGCGAATCACCTTGCGATCGCAATGAAGTACTAGAAAACAAAAAGGCTATCACACGACAACTAGAGCAGCTTGGATTCAGAAGATCGAAACATTTGAACCAAAAGGCGACGATGCCTCCGCCGGACTGGGAGGTAGACATCCCCGGTTTATCACGACCGGTCTACAACATAGGATCCCGCGGGTTAAAGCAGCTAGCCCTGGAGGGCGTGGACACTCATACAATCGGATGCATGCTTATGATTGCAGAGTATACACCGACATGTTCCGATTTTCGGTCCAGGATGAATCAGACTCGGCAGGCGTAGCGGAGAGAGCGGATATAGCGTTACAGGATGATCGAAGTCGGTACTTTGGTTAACTTCCTTGCCAACCAATAACTCAAGACTCAGGACTTGAGAAAATTTCGTTGGTTTACTATCGGCTGTTTCCCCCTTCAGGAATGAGGAAGCCTGCACCACCGCGATTCTGTCTCTGTTTGTAGCAGCTAATGTTTCCCTGGAGAATGTTCCCAGGCAACATCAGTTCAAATGTTTCCGGAATAGTCTCTTACCTCTGACTCAAAAAGCTGGAATGGAGGAGAAAGTAGTTCACTATCATTGCTTTTTCTCCTCACTACGGAGGAAGAATCAGAAGAATCAGATGGATAATGCTGATCTAGGCGACGCAATTCCAGCGGTCCATGATATTTCGCAAGTTATACAGTTGATCCACAAACTCACAAGTTCCGAAAAGAAACACATCATTATTTTCAATGGTATGCGAGGGGCAGCATGGATTGCGGCCTATACGTCTTATATCCTGGGACTACCGACCTGTGTATTAGATGCTGACTGTGGCCCGGTACCCATATCGAGCGACTATGACGCAGCTCAGATCATATTTGACATTCACTCTACTCAGAACAATGGAAAGTTATATCTCGAGGGTGAGCTTGCAGATATTATCTCGCTGGACCGCCAGACCATCAAATATCACTCGGGCTGGGTGGTGGATTGTTCAACAATCAACTTTTTCAATTCTCATCATCCAAGTTTGAAGATAAAAAGGCCTGCCATGTTTAGACGCCTGTCGACATTTGTCGCAATGGACCTCATGAATGCTATCATGGTACGGAGTTCTCTCTATGCGACAGATGTGAGCTCTCCCTATAACGAATTCTGCTTGAATAGCCGTTCCGGCTTACATCTGTACATGAACTCTGTACTTCAAGATATTCAGGCTCGTGGATTCAACATCCTTCATATACTGGGCTTTAGTCCCCCAAATGAGGGTTATTACTTTGAAGACTCACTTCGCTGTCTGGGCCATGAGAGTGACCCAAGGCCGATAGAGGAAGAAAAGATCTATCCAGAGGCGGGGGCAGATGTCAGTGGTTATTGTCATGGAGATAAACCCGTCCAGGATAGAGGATTGGTTCTAGAGGCTTTAAAAAGCCTCGCTCGTCTATCCTGGAGGAAGCCAAAGAAGCCACAGAAGCCAGATCAAAAAAGAATAGTGTTCAAAAGCAGCCGGGGACAATACATCCAAGAACATTGTGAGGCTGAATATGTGGATCGTTTGCGCTATTACCTCGATGATCCGACTAGTGCGTTACTTCAAGAAGATCTGCGGGAAAACGCGTCAGAACTTACGTTGCTGGTCCAGACTGCTCAGACAGCAGTTCGCTTCGCATCTAGGCTCGCCTTTACAGATTGGGACCAAACTATGCGCACTATGTCTACTCGGGCCTTTTCTCGCAAAAGTCCCGCTGAGTTGCAAGGAGTAACAATGAATTTTTATTTCTCCATCGGAGAAATTATCTGGCTCTGCTGGGACGGAATTACAATCAGTCACATAGAGAAAAGCCGCTATACCGAAGATTGGATTGGGTTGGACATCGGTGGAGCCATCATCCTTCGCCAAGCGGCACTGCCAGCCGCTTTATATGCCCTCAAGGGCCGGATTCTGGGCTTACGCAGAGGCGCAATTATGTATGAAAGACAAAGATTCGTCAAAATCAGAACGGAAAACAGTGATGCCGATTCCCAGGATTCCCAGGGAAGGGCTTTTTTTTGGCCAGCCCTGCCCCAGCAGAATTCAGTCCAACCACACAACGCTTATCCATCAATTCGTTCTCGATCTCTATTCACAACTCTGGCTGACGCCGTTTGGTTCCGTTTTGACGTGTTGCTTAGCCCAGATGAGTGTGTGATCGGTAACGGCAGCTTGGCTGCTAGCTTCATTCCTTACTTCCTTATCACAATCTCGTGTGAACACGGATACGAAAGGGAGATGGCCCTTGCCGAGACAAAGGGGCACCTAGTGAATCATTTTTACTCGGGGCTTTTTCGTAATGACCTAGTCTCCCTTATGGACAACGTCATGGATAAAGAAAACAAAGAAACTCAAATCACTTCAGTTTATTATCAACAGGTAAGTAGAAACATGCTAGGACAGTGGCTTTCATTTCATATTCTGGGAACTCGACATCAAAAAACAAAGGCGAAAAACCTGATTGTCACCACAAAACACTTGATTGGCTTCGAGTATCTCTTCATGATAAACCACTAAAAAAAGTGGGATCTTGAATTCAAAGGACTACAGCTTTCCCACTCCTGCGTTCGAAGGAACACTGCTCTTGGCCACGCTATATGTATCCGCCGACGCAACATTCTTACCACTAAAGTTGACCAAAAAGCTGGTATCTGACTGGCTGAAAGATCCTGAACTTCCAAATCCATTAACCTGGCACACGTGTCCCAAATAAGTCGAGCAGACTTTGTTCGTGGTGGCATCCGGCGAGGTGAACAGCTGTCCCTCGACAGTACCATCAACAATAGTGGCGATGTTTTGGAATACATTGCCCTCTGCGAGAACATAGCCGCCAGATCCAATCTCGAAGGCATGGCCGGTGGAATCATACCAGTAATTGTTGACCTAGAGTGGTGGTTAGCGCGTTATGCTAGTGGAGAGGTGTAACAATGGGAGGGAGGCTTACCGCATGAAGAAGGGTATTTCCCTGGACTTTGGGGCTGCGGCCACTGAAGTGGTAGATATAGTTGCCTTTCAGGGTGATCAAATCGCTAGATCCAGCGAAGTAAATTCCCCAGTAGGCATAGCTGTTGCATGTGGCTGAGTAGCTGGAAACACCGTTGAAGTAGTTGTTCGAGATCGTTACGCGCTTCGATGCGTCGGTTCCCAGTACAAGGTGCTGACGGCCAATGCGCGCGGTCTGTCAGAATGAAGGTAATATTAGTGGCCGTATGAGAGTGTTTTTTTTCAGTGGCGACTGACCGTAACATGATCAATCCAGACCATATCAGCATTGTTGATGGTGAGTGCGTCACCTCCCCAGACATACTTTTCATTGATATCGGTAATGGCAATATTTCTTTCGGAGTGAAGTGTCGTTAGCAAATTTCAAAATATAGAATTGCACAGGGCACACTCACTGGATGATGATGTTGCTTGCGCCGCTGACAATTCGTAACCCCTTGCCCTTGATCACACCGCTAGAACCAGATCCAATTAAGGTCTTGTCCGAGTTCACTGTGATGCCAAGGACGCCAGCATTATAACTGAAACCGTTAGTTTGTGAATAGTTCGGAACAGATATCCACATACTATGAGACAGAGACCTTGGCAGCACTGGCCTGGTAGTTGTCACACCAACTGTTCTGGTTGATTGCCAACTGACACGACGAACCGGTTCCCCATGGCGCACATCCAGTCGCTGTCGTTGTACCTTCGGTACTAGTGAAGTCGAATCTAGAAATCATAGGGTTAGTATTGAACAAGGCATATTTTTTAAACAACGTACGTTTTCGACAACACAATCACCCGAGGGGAGCTGTCTCCAAGGTAAGAGACAAGTTCAGCGGTGGTACTGGGATAAACGGGCGTTGCACTTCCCACCACCAGTAACACCCTTTGCGAATCCTTCTGCGGCGCCGGAGACGCCGACAGCACTGATGCTGCGTACATAAATTGCAAGAGCAAGAAGGAGGATTTGACACTTCATTTTTGCGGGTCTTGCTGAGCAGATTCAGCTCCCGGGTTCGGTAGAGTGTAAATCTAATTTTCTCTGCAAGAATGATGACCACCGCCGGCTCCTTTTATAGTTTTTGGACTTGATCGTGCCATGAGACTGAGTACGGAATAATTTGCCTCCGTAGGTGTAGCCCCTGGAATTAAGCCACTCAGTAAAGGATTCCTTTAGTAAAATCAGTCTTTATAGGGATCTGGGCGAAGAATTTGGGTCCACCTACCTCAATTGGTGGATTGGAGAAATGGTCCTCGAAGGTGACACTCTGCAGCCCCGCAAATGGCTGAATAGTAGTCAAGAGGCTTGAACTTTAAACTCAATTAGTGTCTTATACTCTGCAGGTTGAGGGTAAAAAGGACGGATTAATTTATTGCAACATCTTGGCAAGGATGGGGCAACAAATTGCACCAATAGAATATTCTGGAACAAATTTGAATGCAGGGCACTTTCTCTCGCAGATAATCTGGCGCTTTGTAGCTCTTGGGCTGTAAGAATAACTATTGACTATAATAATAGGTGCCTTGTTTAATTCCATCCAAAACGAAACTTTGATACTGAAGTACATGACTACCAGGATTCGGCGATTCACTATAATCGGTCCTTGAGCCACATTATGCTGGCGTGGTGGCTTCTCCATTATGGCATGTTTTAAAGACAGCTTGAGATTTACGAATAAATAAAGTAAATCAAGGTTGACCGATATCAAATAGGATGGTTGCATGTGGGGTGTTTCTAGCAAAAGTCTCGGACATATGCCGATCGTCAAACTTGGCGTAATAAGCCAAGCTTGATCTGAACAGTACTACTATTTTTACCTCGCGAAACTCTTGAACATTCAAGTTTTCGTTCTTCGGTCTCGGGGGCGACATGCGGAACAAACATTATATTTTCTGGATTTGGTTCTTTCAGGCCTTCTCAGGGAAACCTCCGTTCAAAAGCTCTATTCCTGAATCATAACAAACGGCAGAAGATAATCCTTCTTTCCAAGCGGCACACCTTCTTTGCGCAGGATCCCATAAGCAGTAGTGACATGGAAGAAGATATTTGCTTGGAAAATTCCAGCGTAAGCGACACCCGAAAAAGGCTGCAGATTGGGGCCGAGAGGGGCAGGAGTGACATCCTCGCAGTGCTCGACGATGTAGTTCTTGTTGGTGGCGTCGAGAGCCTTGAGCGCCTCGTCAATGCGACTGTGCATTTCTTCGTATGTGTAGAGGACATCTTTGCTCGAATCCACGTCAGGGAACGCTGTGTTGTTTAATTTCGCCAAGACCATGTGTGTTTGTGTGGTTGCGGCGAATATTTGGTAGCTTAGGGATTTCATATCGGTAAAGAGGCGGGAGGATGGGAAGTCTGAGGCATTAGGTTGCTCTTGGGCCTTGCGGAGGATGTCTGAGAGGGTTGTTAGGGATCGCTTTGTTTGGAGGACGAAGCCTTCGTAGATCGTGTAGGTCATAGTTGCGGTTGAATTTGATTTGATTCGAAGATGGATAGGGGTTCAAGTTGCTTTGTGTCTAGGTTGAGGGAGAACATGTGCCGATCTATTGATTTATAGGTCTAGTGTTGGGATTTACTGCGAATTTCCAAGGTTGGCGATGGGGGGCCTTGATGGAGGGGTCATAAGCACTAGTGATCAGAACTTGAAAGGGAGCAGGATCAGCGCAGGTACACGGACCATCTACGGCTAGAATATTTTGATCGCAGAATTAGACCTTTCCACATTAAGATAGCGTTCCCAACTGGAAAAGTCTGTTTGCATTAATATGTGGGATTATCTCTTGTCGCATCATGACTTGACGGATACCCGATTAGGTTGAACCACTCAACTAAGTAGCCAGTGACAGAACCATTCCATTCTTGATATTATCCATCATCTCCTTCGAGCAAGGATCCTTGCGATTTGAGCTGTTCTTCTTGCGCTTGGCCGATGTCCAGCTCGTCACATCATACTTGTCCCCGCCCATCTTCTTCCCCTCTCCCGCTGGGGTGTACTTCTTCAAAGTCTTCGTCAATTGCCAGGGATCGTTGTCGTTTGCATCATATTCAGGAAGATTGAATGCACGAGCCTTGTCCGAGAGTTCCTTGACGGTCTTCTCCGTACGAAGGAGCCCTGGCAGAACGATATCGTGCTTGAGAGCATAGGCCAGAACCTTCTTGTCAAGGCCCTCGAACTCCAGGCCATAATTGGCCAGTTCATACGCATTTCCAATAGCCAAGGACATGATCGCACCGAGATTTTTCACCTCCGAGTCTGGCTTCAGGAGATTGAGGCTCTCAAGCTTGGCAAGCATCGTGAGGAAACCACCCTCCACAAGTGTCAGGAAATCAGCGGGTTCCTCGGACCTAATATCACGCCGGTTAATGGAAGCCATCCACAAATTAGAATCAGGGTGATCACATACCATCCCATGGCCTTAAGTTCCTCCGCCCCGAGGAGCATGATAAAGGCTTCGCAGACTGCCCACTGTTCCCTCCAGTCGGTCGCCTCATTGAAGTCCAATATCTGATTTTCAATCACTTCGATTGTACCCCAGATGGGGTAATCGCTGAACATCATCATTCCAAATGTTTCCGGGTTTCGATATGGAAGTTGTTCGCGCATCATGTTGAATCGCCATGCGCCAGCCTGGCTAAGAGAAAATTTAGATTCTGGGTGTTCGGCGAGCGGCTTCATGCAGGAGCAGGTCCGGCCACCATCACAGAGCGGCTCTCGGTTCTATAAATCTTGTAAGCATTACGAAGCAAATGGATCGGAATTTACTAGTCACATCTCGTCATCCCTGTTTTCGCGTTCGCGCTGAATTTCCTCCGGGATCTGCTCGAGCAGTTGCTTGCACACATTGAGGTATGCAAAGGGGTTCTGGTCGGGCTTTTTCATAGCTTCACGAAAGGCCGCGTCCGAGTTTCCAGAAGCAGAGACTTCTGACCAGCGTGGGTGTTGCCAGGGTGTTGGCTCGTCGGGTTTGTTCCCGGTGGCATTGTTGGGCTTTTTGGCAACGCTGCTTCCCGCGGCGCCATCCGATTTTCTTTTGGGTGCCATTTTGATGGGTATCTTCACTCTTTTCACTCTTCGAGGAGGATAAATAGATACTAGTAGGGCTTAGAAGAGTGAGACTTGGAGTTGAGGAAATCGGCGCGAAGATGAAGTTGGGGGGAACGCGTCGACGTGTTCGCGTGGTTCTCCGCGGGACGTCATTTCCCCAGAATCTAATCTGATGGACCACCTGGGCACACTGGACACATCAACAATGGCAATCATGGCTTGAATACAATTGAATTTTGAATAGATCATATTATTACAATGTGCAGTAACTCTCAACTTGAACTTGAATACACCTTCAACCTTGGAACTCGAAGTTGGTCCCAATATATATTTGCGGCTGAGATGTTACCATGTAGCACAATTGGTACTTCCACTACTATTTGATTGGGACTCCTACTAGTATATCCGAGTCCCGTCTAATACTTCAAGTTGCTTTAAACCTTGGAAGATTGAAAATTAAAGGAGAGCCACAAAAAGAAAGGAAATATCAACATCCATATCAATATATCGACAGATTACCCCTAAGCAAAGATCAGCTTCAAGCAAAATTGATAGGCATCAACATGGCGGGGCAAAATCTGGGAACGAAAACCTTGGAAGTCTACCAGCACAGCAGATAAATTTTCAAAGTCCTTTCTCGAAGCAAAAAAGCACTAATTCATTTATCCCGCAAGCTAGATTTATGCGAAACATATATTTGAGGCCTCAGAAGGTTCCATGAAGTGGTTGCTCCGACATCACGTGAGGTTTCTCGATTTATGTGAAAGTTGGCCAGAATTGTAGACTTTACAACGAGATAAAATATGATATACAACATGTGCTGCTTCTTCTCTTAATAGACTAAGCTCGTCTTGCTAGCCGATAGAAAAAACTCCGTACGAGTACAATCGTCATCGAATCCGTAGAATGCCAAGACCGGGCATTTAGTACATTGCTCAGCCATGCTGTGGCAGTGCAGCGCGCAGGGAATTAGGCGACCCACCTAGAAATACGCGGCAAAATGCATTAAAGTAAAGTCATATAGTTCTCATCAGGCACTATCATCTTGAACTTCATCTATTTCCTCACATTTACTAGCCTGCGCGGCTTTCACTACCGAGTTGAGTTTTCAAAGAAACAAAGAAAACATTCACAGCACATTCGAGTCTATTATATTCAACCATGTCCAGTGATATTGGGTTCATGCAGAGTGATCAATGGTCTCTAGCAAGCGATTCAACCAAAGTCAATAGCACATTAGGAAGCGATGCATCGACCATCATTCCCCAGTCCCGGAACTCAGGATCAAGATTAAGGTCGCAAACCTTGGTATTTTCTCGCTTGGCGCCGCTGAGAGTGAACATGCGAATATCTGCAAAACACTACGAACAAGACCCATTTTATTTCATACATGTCGGAGGGATGCTAGGGGATCATACCGATATAACCATGCACGAGGGCGGCGATAAAAATGGCCGGGTACTCGGAAGTTGCCGATTCAACAAATTTCGATCTTCGAAAATTCACTTCAAGTTGAGTTCCGGCGACAAATCCGCCCTTTATTTGGTCGCTCAACACGGATACTACCAATGGTCGATGCCTCGAACTTTGAAAACGAGCGACCACAGGGAAGATGTTGGAGAGAGATTCTTTCTTTGGAGAAGATCTGCGGATCTCGATCGGGACCCGAGGAATGCAGATGCTCTCAATTTGGACTTATGCAGTCCCGATCCTTATGAAGTACATGCTACATATGCGGGTGCATTACCGGGAAGTGGGAAAGGGGGTGTACTTCAGATAAATGATGATTTGGGGGAAGACTTCAAAGTTATGGTGGTTCTGACTCTCTCTGTATTGGTGGAAAAGGCAAGACAGAAACGAGATCGGAGTGGGGATAATACTGCTCGCATGATGGCTTTTTGGTAGTGCTGATCGAGCTCGGCACCCTTTAATCTTTACTACGAATATCGTATACAAGTACTATTCAGAGTATACCATCCTCATTAACTAATAATCAGCTCACACGCCACATACTCGCTGGGGTACAGTAATGAGATGTCGGCAGAAGCTCGGGACCATGAAAGGTGGTGCATGAATGCGAATGAGTTAATGACTAGATGTCTGCCTCAATTTTTGAGCAGCTGGCTCACAGATGGGCCAAGTGGCATTAAAAGACCAAGGTGGTGTAAACAGCAAGCACGTTGGGGGTGTCAGTTCTCACTGAGAGGCCCCTTGAGGGCGGCGAAGATTCAGATTCAAATCCTGGCCTTGGTCTCTATTTTCTGAGTTTCTTTGACCTATGGGCCTCGGTCATCCATGGATCCAGGTCCCTTCCCACAGATCTGGTAGCGTTTAGAGCTTTAGCTGTGCATCTTTCTAGCATCTCTTTTCATTCTTTTTTTGAATGAGTTATTCGATTTATTATTTCTTTATTTTCACTTGATAATTCCATATATGCTAGAAACAAATCATTGGTGCAGTAAGAGTTGCCTTTCGAGCACTTCGCAGTTAAGCCCAACAGACCCTGAAAGCATCAGATCATTGGTATTGAAGACCTTGTACAAGTCGCAGGTAACAGACCCATAAAAAGGATCATTAATATCACCTTCAATATTAAATAAAAAAGATACGTCCGTAGGATGCAGCGGATGAAGATAACTTGGAAGGTTGACCGACTGGTTAAAATCTTCCGGCTGTGTAGTGGTCACGGCTTGGATTATCTCAGCCATGGGTCACACCGTAACGGGGATGCGATAGATAAATTTCCAGTAGTAATTTCTGTTGGAGATTCACAAAGATGGTAGCAAATATGCTCAACATCAGCCTTCCGAAAGAAGGAAGCTTTGTTCCCGCTCACAAAGGTAGTCCAACAACTTCATGGCAATTTTCAATCCATGAAGGGTTTGACAAATGCTTTTTCAACTCTAAGGCTAATTTTTCAAAGAGAAAGTCTCATAAGTTGCATTCGTACGCCCTCAAAAATTATTGCGATTAGGGGTTTCCCATAAAGAGAAATAACGGTGATAAACGATATCAAAGTATGGCTCAAATGAAAGATACGCGACACATACCGCGTTACTGGGTAGTATTCGGAATTATAGAAAAAGGGAGAATGAATCTCCCGTATCGCCGAAACGAATCTCTTTGTTGTTCAAACTACAATTTCTAGTAATACATGTCATCCCATGTACAACCCATAACACGGCAAGCTGGACCCCTCAATTGAAGTACGTTGATCTAGATCGACTCCACGTGGATACATCCTCCGCCTATTTGAAGACAATATCCGGGTACTTTTACTTGCAGGAGTGACACTAAGAAAGAAATAAGCAAAGATCCTATGAAGAAATGCGCTTATAAATACAACCATGCTGACATATTAGAAAAAACTCCCGGCAGCAACAAATCTTATCAAGTCGTTTGATTAAATTTGATAAAGGCACGATGCACTTCCGTCATATCATACTTGGCCTTGCTTTTAGTCTCGCTCATTTCTCTAGTGGCGACACTCTACCTGATCCACCTGATGACTCCTACGGTTTCATAGTATCGCTTGTTGCCTCTGACTATTTCCTCAATTCCAAAGGCAATCTGAGCATCTATGATGTAGATGCCTATTATAGCAACTACGATGCCAATACAACTTCATGGCTTAAAGCACTAGATCCCAACACCGGTGCCACAGATGAAGACAAAGCCAAACTGCTGACGGAAGCGGCCTATGCCAAGAAATTCGATGAGCAGGATTCCGACATGGTAGAGGATGTTCAGTCTTTGCTAGCCACTGTTTCTGGAAATATAAGTGCTTCAGTGGACGTACCGGCCTTTCAAGTAAGTTCACGGCATGCTGTGATTTGGGAAGATTGTATTTCGTTCTTCGCTTGCAAGACCGGAAAGAGGTGTGTGTTTCGTCTGAGGACAAATCGCGAGCCACGCAGTGTTTGCGAGCAGCGCGGTGGCTCTCACTGTTGCATCAGCTGGTCTACATATAAAATCAGCAAGTGGTTCTTCCCAACTACTTGGACATATTGCGATGGTTTGGTCCGCGAGCAAGCGAGAACGAGCGCTTCTTGTAAAGGCTTCGGGAGCAAGGATGAAAGAGGCAATATATGCCTCAGCAACCGTGCTGGTTCTTGTACTTAGTAATGTCATGTGTTTCGCAGCATCTTGTAACTGAATTTGTAGCAAATTGAATATAATCGAATATTAAACCACGTGAGTCTTCGTATTTCTTTAGTTGCTTCCACCATCGCCCCTTTCCTCACTGTCCCTTTCCTCACTGTCCCTTTCCTCACTGTCCCTTTCCTCACTGTCCTCCTGAATAGTCTCTGCTTTTTTGTTGGACAAGGCCAGATTATCCCATTCCTCAAGAAGCCGATCTAGTTCAGCCTCATCAGCGGCTGCGCTAGTTCCTTCTTTGAATTCCGTAGAGACGGCGAAATTCGGATACAGGCTGCTAAACCGTTGACGATCGCTCGCTGTCCATAGCTCCTCTTCAAAATCGCGAAGAAGAACCTCTGCCTCGACAGGAAGCTTAGATTCTTGCTTCATAGCTGTCAACTGTATAAGGCGAAGCATCCCCTTAGCCAATTGCCAGCGACGTGCAAGAGCGCGAAGGCTGATCAGAATGTCTGTAAATGATTTTTGGTTGTCCTCATGCTCGAGACTACCGAGTAGTGCGAATAGGGCGATGGTGGCATATTGCATCGAATTCATGGGCATGTACTCCACTGGCCAGAGTGAGCGGAACTGGTTGAGCACAATGCCAATTTCGCGGGCTGATGTTGTGCGGATCCCATTGATTCTCTCCTTTTCAGCTGATTGACTCTGATCAAGGCCTGGAAGAATGAAACCAAACATTATCAAGACTGCGTTATGGTATCTCATGCTATCACGGTCAACTTAGTAGTTATTGTTGGAAAAGGAGGATACCACTTACTGGAGATCCATAACACCAGGTGGTGCGTTGCTTTTCTTGTCGATGCAATTAGGGAGACCTTCATCCCACTTTTGCAAACGCTGGTAAAACCCTTCAATAATTGTGGCGTCGGGACTAGGGGGCTTCTCATCTCCAAAGAGATAATCAGACACCTCCCACATGATGATGCCCAGATCAAATGTGCCGTTCTTCACACAGTTGGTGTGAGCCAACAGCGCATCGGCTTGTCGGGGGTATGGCGTCCAATTGTCAGCTGGGTGATGATCCTCTGGGAAATATTCGAGTTGCGGCCGTTTTATAATTGTCGGTTTTTGTAAACTTAGTGTCGCCACCCTTCAAGATTCGTCAGTTGTAGCCGTAGAAATTTGGCGGTGGTTTTGCTCACGGATTGAGGCTGAACAGGCCATGAAGTGTGGTATCAATACTTCTCGACATTTCCTGGACGTCGCCCTTTGTTTCCCTGATGAAAAGGTCTCGTCGATTGATAAATTGGCGAACGCACTCTGCTATCTCCACCAAATACTGCCAACCAAGTCTATCCTTGCCCATAACACAAGCACTGGTCCTTTGTGTTAGTTCCCACTGGGCTAATAAGAGATTGAAGAGAATATATACCTAGTATAGATGTCTCCTCTTGCTTGAAGGTTCGTGAGTGTCAACTTTCCTTCTGCCTCTCCTAGAAGACGAACTGCCTCTTTGAAAAAGTGCTCGCCCCGAGAGCTTGGTTCAGCTGGATTGGCGAATCCTTCAGGATACCAGGTATAGAACTAAATCGAAGTTAATAATTCATGCCATTTATATCAGGGAGTAATTTCAGCGAGAAAAACAGAAACTCACACATGCGACACCCAATATGCTGTTTACCAAAATTGGAGAGCAAAATTTCGAGTTCAAGTCTTTCGAGCGCATGTCCCTTAGAAAGAGGTCACGATCGATCCAATTCAAAACAGGGTGCTGCCACGTGAAGTAAAGTGAAATAAGGTGAGACACAAAGCTGCTGTCATCTGTCACCGAGGTCCAAGGTTGCGCTGGGACCTCGTAGAGAGGTATATCGGATAAACTCTTGATATCCATGTATTTCCTGGATGTCTGTCTCCGAATCTTCGGTGGCATTTCATCGGCAGAGCTAGAAATGGTGTCGGAATCCAAGAATTGCCGAATCTCACCTACAGACGCATTGCTCCGGATCAGATTCAGGACTCCAGGGGCTGTTCGAGTGTTATCACTGCGAATAGTCTCCATCAATTGTAGAAGCAAGTTGCGGTCCTGCTCCAGAGACTGGATCTTTCGTTTGAAGGCGACGCGTCGTCGGCCATCAGTGTCAAAATCGAGTTCGCACTTTGTATCTGCTTTACGACATGGCTCGCATGGCACGCCCCCGACACACTTAAATTTAGGTCAGGATACTTGTTATATTGCCAAATGGGACAGACACGAGGAACATACTCTTGACTTGCGCCTCCGGCATGCTGAACAGGCGCTGCTGGCATTTTTCACGAGCTTCGGGGTATTGGCATCCGGCTTTTCGGATTCTCGGGGCTCATCGGCCAGTTGGGGGCGGATAGCTCTATTCGAGTTCCGTGCTGTCATCTCGCGATGAGAGAAAGAGAACGCTCAGGGTGAGTCGGACAAGTGGTGGTAGGACACCGGAGAAGTTCTCCTGCCTTCCGGGTAAAGTGGGGGTTAAGAGTGTGGATGCCGGAGATGTTCTCCTGTATTTGTACTACCGCCTTGATTTGCTAGGCTTCTTTTGGATACACATTATCGAATTGGTAAGGTTAAGCCTCAGTATTTTTGGATGAGTATGGTAAAGTACATTTGCACTGTTACCAGAAAGGAAAATTCCTTATTCTTGTCGTATCAAGGGATGAGAGGCCCATGGCAGTATCTGAAATGCCGAAAGCCAGGAGTTGAACCAAAAGGAGTTTGGACGGCCAGAAACTTGGAAGTTTGTTTGCTCAACCCCGCCGTCCGGGAAAAAATAGCAGCCAATAAGATACCTCGCAATTTTTCACTGGCCACACGCCCACGTTACATCTCGCGTTCTTCTTCATTGGTACCCAGTACTCTTCCTACGAATATGACTAACACATTTAGAAGACTAGGACAATTGTTACAGTCAACATGGAATCTTATCGAAGATAAACATCCCCCTTTCGGTAACTATTCAATGAAGTTGTGCATAGTGCGATTCATGCATGTTAATGAATTCAACGAAGAGTCAGGCGATTCACGGTAAATCCCAGTCATAGCTCTGCGGTCTCGAGAAGCTCCAAATGCACTGGTAAAATATCACCGTGGTAAAGTCAAAAAGTTGAGATGGTAGTACACAATGGCCGATCCATATAACGGCTTTCGCGACCAGTAGGGTTGCTTGTAATGCATTACCAACTCCATGTGTGATTCGACTTTCCCAAAGGTTCATGGTATCCAGATAAGTCAAACAGCGGGGAGACGCGAAACAAATCCGAGCCGATTATCCGAACGATAAGCACTCTGGATTTGGTATAGGATTTCACAGATCCCATCCCGCAACCCAGGAAGAAAGACAGAACCAGGTTCAATTAATGAAAAAGCAGTAGATATGACATGATGAACGCTCAGTGAGTGCTCGGTCATTCTACCTGGTCACTTCCTGATCGTCCACTAATCTACTTATAGGGTGATCAGAAGTGTCTTTTGCATTTGTTCTAAACACAAAGGGGTATTCGACCCTGCTTACTGCTTAGTTGTCAATTGACTTTTGAAAGGTCAATCAACTTTAATTAATATTTGAGGCGTTCGATCCGTTTACGTCCTTAGAATCGGCTTGCCTAGATCTCCCGCTCGGGGAACATAACGTCGAAATCAGAGAAATCAAATCGATTGACAAGTTGAACTTTTATCTGTTTATGATGCTGTTTTATACTAAGGGGAATTAGATTTGGTCCGGGGGAGGAGAGGGCCATATTTACTGTTGCTGCCGCGTTGATTTGAAGGTATATAATACCACCTGGACACCTGGGCATGATATCCGCAATCCCCTCAGGCTCTATCTGTCCCGGGCCGTGGCGTACTGGTACTATTACTAGTAGTATTCTCATCTTTCAGTGATTTCTTACTTGGCTCCTATTTCAGTACTGGGTCACGGTTGAATATATATTATTAACCTTGGAAACTAGTAAGTATGCATCGAAAACTTTCAATCTTTGCCTCAGAGGATATCTTTTCTAAAGCGACGAACCTTGGAACTAAAAGCAATCACAAACCAACTGCTATATTTTTCGTGCTTATGTACATGAGAATTCCATTCGTACTTTGGCCTCGGGAATAGGCCATAACGAAGTTGGGGCTGACTGAGTCGCAGGTCCGAGGGCTCTCAGGCCTCATTAGTACTATAGCATCGTCGGAATCACTGTGGAAAGAGTCGCGTAGTGTTTGGAGGTGAAATTGCTTCCAGGGTTGAAACGGACCCCAAGAATATCTAAACCATTCTTTACACTTCATCGAGCACTATTCCATCCGGGGAACTCGGGGAATGGACAGCTGAGTCTTCATGTTCCCGAAATTTGGGCTAAAATATCCAAGTGTAACTCCCAATAGTTATGTCCGGTCGGAACACGTCCAAGCGCCTGTGGCTGTCAAAAGTACCCGCGGGCCTGGTTCATGCAATTATGAATGGGCACATGAGCAAAGTCAAAAAGACCAGCCTCATCACAACGCCACCAGGCCGTTCCGGAATGGGCTGGTCCCTACGGAATACAAGGATTGAGACCCGTGGACTTGAAAACTCCTCACTTAGTACCCGAAGATAAAGGGAACTGAATCCTATACAGGATGGTCGTGTATTCTATATACAATACATGTCTGTCCCTTCAAGGTTGGTGACTTCTCTCCTTGAGTCTACAGCTACAATTGGCTATGCGGTATGCACATTTTGCTGAGCACTGATAAACTCAACACTATGAGAACAAAAGAAAAGAGTTTGACAGTTGATTTTGACTTCTAATTGTCCGCCAGGTAATGATCCATAGTGTGGGGTGCGAAAGTCAAGACGTCAGTGGTAAAGTTCGTGGTAAAGGTTCTACTAGCGTATTTAAGCCTTCACTCTTGGCATAAAGTCCAATTCTTGTTTTCATGTGAATGTTGTTTGTACGAGTATATTTACTGGCAGAATAGGGCGAGACAGGCTGATATTAGTTACCTCCTGTGTATGCGTAGCGCAAGGCTTCTACATGAGGGATATGGTCGCTAAATTACCTTCGAACTTGATTCGAAAGGTTTCAGTAAACGAAATACCCACTCGACCTGCCATAGTGAGCCAAAATATCAAATGTTGGACTGGCAAATGCGAACTATGCTTCCCACTGAAAGTGCTCAAGCATTTGTGCGTACTTGAGAATTCATGAAATCATTATTCGCCTCACCAATACACCCACTAGTGGGAGGGGTTGGGGCACTACCTCTTAGCGGGGAACAGGAGTGGCATCGCTCATGCTCCTGATAACCGGGATTTGCTAACGCCTTGTGGCGTCGGTTTTATCTCGCCGACGTGTCATATTGTAACTATTGCATGAACCGGATTGTTAGCTAGGATGTATGTAGGAGTTCGTGGGCGGCCCGGCGCACAGACCGTGAATCCGTGCGCTGCAAATCCTCGTATTCTACCGATCAAATATTCAATAGCTGATTCGCTGTCTGTCTCAGGGCGTGGTCCTTCCATTATGCCTACGAAAAGGAAACTGTATACGAACATACTATTATACGAATTAAGTGTAGACTGGAGGGAACTCTATCTGTGCTGGCGATTCTTGTGGCATAAGCCAAATTGTTTAAGCGAACTGAACAGGAAAATGGGTTTTGCTAATTCTCATTATTCAGACATTATGCACACACACCAAAGGATTTCTTGTCGTAGTCAGATACAAGATAATCGATCAACCTTGCGATCCGATCTAATTAAATAAATATACCTATGACTAGTAATCTGATCTCACTGATGTTTTGGTCCGTTTGACGTGAACGCTAACGATAACATCGACAGGCACTACATAGGAGCCTCGCGCTAAGACGCAAGGATCGCCCTTGGAGGCTTGAGCTAGTTCTCCGCGAGTTACCGATTCGTCTTGATGCATGCATAGTTTGAGCCCGTCAGGAAGGATCGACATCCGGGAAGATGTTCCGGCCATTTAAAAACGGCCCTCGGTAAATCCCACACGTTTAACATAAAAATGCATGGCAGAATCACAGGGACCTACGAGGCCCCGAAGGAAGACTCTTGCGTTTTTATGGGCCTGTCATTTTCTTCTGTCTTCTTATCTTGGATATACTCTTAATTTCCAAAGCCTGAGTCATGCATTATTCAACGCAAGGAGACTCTATAACGGCGTAGAAAGTACAGAAAATCGCGACTACTTTGACAAGGTAGTTGGTGGCATTTGTGCGCGACCAACAGGTGATCCACATTCCAGGCCTGTTACATTCGGCCAACATGAAGGCAGCCTTGACATGCCAAATGCCATGATATTTTGGTCTCGCGGGACATATTTTGTTTTTATTTCTTCCTTTTTTCTCTTAAAAACCCTGGTTTCTGGTTGGCCAAGTTATAGAAACTGCTTTCAAAGTTGCTTCATAGACCGAATAGCTGGGATCTAGCTCTAACTTAAAGCTTGTACTTTTGCTATTGGTTCGTAGATGTATCGTTTCCTCTCATGCAGTGGCCCTCATGATACGGCTGACGGAATGAACCGTGCTAGTGAGCATGTCAGACACAGCAGAGATTGCCGGCCCTTTGGGTAAGGTATAAATGTCTGGGGTAGATTCCACACCCCAGTTTTTGTCCCATCTGGAAGTCGACACATCTGTTCCCTTTTTTCTTCTCACTGACAGCGTCTTTGCGGTTCTTCGACGGTGGCCTTTTTATTCTGAGAGCTCTCCCGTTTTCGCATTCCAAGTTGGCATTTTGCCAGGCTAAAAATCACATAAGACAGTTTTGGGTATAAATTTCGTTATAAAGAGAAGTGAATAGGTCTTTATCTCATGCCATGGTAGCCACTTGTTCTAAATGCTAGATTGAAATATGCTGACTGCTAGTCAGGAGGAAGCGAATGTACCCGCGGAGGCGACGTTGAACAAGATGCCAGGCACACAATTTTTACTCGTATATCTCGACGCAAATGGACAAATTCGTTTAGAATCATCTGGGCCAATCGCGGATAGTTGCAATACGGTACTATCCATGAAGGTGATTGATGCATTTCTGAGAGCTGTTCAAATGTCTAGAGAAATCTGCTTGCCCAATTACCAAGGTATTTATGACTATCATCCTAGCAATGATCTCAATTGACGAAAATTACCAGTCGAACCCAACATATCGCCTTCCCCTTGTCAAAACGAACCGGATACGGAGAACAGTCTACCCCTCTCATCAATGGCCATTCAGACCAATCCTGGACCTAAGCTTGCGAACCATCGGCCCATGAGACAGCCCATCACCGAGGCTGCTAAATTCCAGCCTGTTTACAATCAGCCGTCGCCCCTTTCCCCAGCAAATTTTCCAAATATCAATGGCAGGGCATTTCCAACGAAACACACAGATCTGTGAGCGACAAGAAAGTCGCGATATCAGTCAAGGACCATGATTTCTTGACCCTTTATTATGAAAAGGCCTTCGAAAATATCCAGCAGACCAATTGCCGAACTCTAGCTAAAGCCTATGTCAAGCTCGTAGAGCCTCAGAAACAGGTGAACTATCCATACAATGGACGAAAGGTCATTGCCGGCACTAAAAGCCAGCTTGATCCTAATGAGACTAAGCCACCATGGTGGCCGTCGAGAGTCACCCATCGGGAGCCAGATCACCTCCCTAAATTTGGTAAGAGAATTCTCATGATGGAGATGTTAACTTAGCTAACCTGGCCAAGAGCGTATCCAGCTTCTAGTTCATATTCTTTGCGAGCTGCGAACCAGCCACGGCATTTCGGTTGCAGAACTTAGAAAAGCCGACCAGCAAGTTCGACATCAGATTAATCCACCTGGACGACTGCACATCCTGGACGAGTTATATCGAGTCAGGCAACAAGAGGAGGAGTTTTTAAACGGACAAAATGGTTGGCATTAAGACATATCCTCCAATAACGAGCTCAAGTTGTTTTAACATTTACTTTCCTCTGCAGACGAACAAAAGATGGCTTGGATCTCCCACGCAAACTTTCCCGGTTCTTTAGACGCTGTTGGTCAGACAAGCGATACTATAAACAGCGGCTCTCTGCGCACTCTTTTCACTCGAGATATAGAGGCATCGGACCACTCAGCATCACCATGGAGCAATCACGCGTTCAGAGTCAAAACCGAGAACGAAAATATCAAACGAATAAAACATACGATCTCGCCAAGGTCCGCTTCAGAAGATGGCTCTCCGGTTGCTGCTCGATCCTTGAAAAGGAAGCTGAAGGTTGCTGAAGTTTACTCAGCTGCTCGGGCAAAGAGCTCTCTTCTTCCCACGCCCTATGCCTTTCCTCCTACCCTTACCGATCAGCTATCTCTGGTCGACTATTATGACCCGGCTTTTCTACTCCAGCCCCTCAAATTCCCAGAACCCAGTCACTCGATAACCAGCATACCAAATCAATCATCGCAGCACCAGGAAACGTGTGACATCTATCTCCAGAATCCCGCCATCGACACCTCAGCTCAATACTGGCCAACGCTAGATCCAACCTGCCACCACAACATTACTGTACCACAATACCAGCCACCTTCCCCAGATCCACCCTTTAATATGCGGTTTCCCTCGATGCCGACTGATGGCATGGCTGCTCCCAGAACACCAGTCTGTTCACTCCCAAATCTAATAACACCGAAGGCGGAAGCGTCTCACAACCCGACTCGGAGTTTCAGGTTAGCCTGATGCGGAAATTTCAAGTGGTTCGTGGTGCTCGGTATAATCTATAGGAGCAAGGTTTTGACCAAGGTTGGATTCCGTAAAAGATCAAAAACTTGAACAGCCTCTTCTTTTTTAGCGCTCTTCTGCCTCCAAGTTCCCTCTCCTGTCTCTTTGGCCTGTTTCTATCGTCGGTATTTTGTCTTCTAGCATATTTATTCCCAATACATGTCGGGCGTGAGCAACCAATCAAGTTTTTCAGAATCCAACCTAGTCCCTCTGATCCATTTCCCCCAAACACTACGGTTGAATTCTTCGTATGCATAATACAGTACACGCAACACTCAAAAGTACTTATTAACCAATCCTTACTGCTGGTAACGACCACAAAGCGCATGCTAATCAGCCAGCCGTTGCTCAAACCTTGCATGAGCTTAGCCTAGCCTGACCTCGGGCCCTGGCCTTGAACCGATAAAATCCCAATCCCCACCAAATACGAATCAAAGTCAAAATTAAAATTAAACTCCAGGCAACCAAGAAAAATTAAATTTGAACCCTTGATTCGAATCAAAATCGATACTATACCATTCTCGAGTATGAAAACGAAAGAGAGCATAAAGATCCATCTGCCTCCTCAGCGCGAAACAAATGATCTACGCTCAACTGTTTCGGGAAATGGGTACGAAGTGCACGAAGAAATTCTCTACTCCTGAGTGGGATATAGTTAGAACTATCCTACTACTATCGTAATCGGCTATAGCGTACCCGAGTAGGCCGAATTTACTCAATGTACTGAACCCATTACACAAAAACTAAAACTACCATAGATAGTGTGTGAAACAAGAATAGATGGCGCCATGAAGACTGCATATATCATATTCCTGCTGCTTCCAAGGTTGAAGATGAATCAGAAATGAAATAGAGGTAGAGCTTAAACGCGTTCGATTTCCAAGTTCTCAATATGCCCTCTACTATATCCTAGATCTGTTAATGATAAGTGTGGGTGTGGTCATATTGACAACTCTGTCAGGAGGAATATACTAGTATGTGCCTACATGCAGACCGCACAAATATTACGCCGCGGCCTATTCCGTGCCGCATTTTCCATACTCTCAAGTGCCTCTCATCAAATTATCCAAGAAAGCCAAGTCGAGATCCTGAAATGCATTGTCCTCAATTCTAGCGCTAGTCCCACTGTGTTCAATCTGCTGCATGGGATCGTCTGAGAGAACCTCCGAGAGTAGCGGTGCAAAGAGAGCAGTGACATCATCGTTGGTCCTGTTGCTGTTGATTTCATTCTGGTAATGATTATTATAGGAATCTGGAGACAGTGGCGTTGCAATAGACGTTGGTTGTGTTTGTGTCACTAGTTTCTGCTCTCCTCGTATGCTGACTGGGGTTTGGCTCTGTCGGTAATATGCCGATGGCTTATATGGTGCTTGGGAATTCATCCCGTCAGTGCGACTCTCGCTCGCAGCTTGAATGACCCCAAAATACGGAATATAGGTATGTGTACCGCGGTTAGTCGAGTCATCGGATTGTGATTCTTCAGTCTCCGGCCCTTGCACGCATACGCTTTTGGCGCTTTGCGGGTCACCTTCAGCTGCCTTGGCCTCGATGGCGAGCAGCCGGTTCAGCAACTGAGCACTTCGCGCACTGAGGGCGTCGGAGTTCAGGCGGTTTAGATCCTCCATGTTTTCTTGTGCCTGCTCGATCATCGCACGGTCGCCCAGATATTGGGCGGCGAGAAAATTGTCAGCCTGCTCAGACCGGTGACTATGCAGGTGAGCCAGTATCAGGGTCATAGCGGCCATCAGAGCAGTGAAATCGATGGTGCGGCAACTAAAAGCTACTTGATTTCAGCGGCGCAGCATGATGAAGCGGGATAAGATCTCTCGCGAGGCGTTGACACAAGTGATTCGAGAATAATCGAACTTGCGCTCAAGCGAGTCGCGAAATAAGTAGGGAAGGTGGAGCTGGTTGAGGAGGTTATAATGAAATAATTGTTCTGAGAGTCGTCGCATTTCCCAGAATAAAGCCTGTGAGTATTGCTTCTCGCCGCTGAGGTTTGGGACCAGCCACCAGCGGCTTGGCAAGTTCCGAGCCGCTCGCTGCAGTTGCTTATCGAGATTCTGCGTCCAGGAGTAATCGTAGCTGACCGAGTCAGATTCGTTGCGGTCCAAAATTTGCGATGCGATGACACAATGGATTCGCTCAAGACGACCGCTGGCCGAATCCTTGGCGAGCATCGCATCGGAGGCCATACTCTGATCGGAGGTTCCTTGTGGCATACCGAGAATAAGGCACATCTGTCGATCGTAGAAGACAATGCGAAACCACATGATGTCCGGGTATGCCTTGGTCTGCGGATGGAGAACCGTATACTGAGTCCGAGCCCCCGACCGATGAAAGCCCATCGACTGCGCGATAGTCATGGCTCGTCGCGCAGTCATCCAGCTTCGTCGTAAATACCCGCAATTCGCTTGATACAAGCTCTCGATCATAATACATTCCAGAAACTCAAAGCTGCCCACGAACCTGACATTGGTGGTCACCAGACTGATAGCTTTATCAGCTAGACGTTCGCGTATCGCCTGTGGGGCCTCCGAGATGCCCCGGAGCTCTTCATTGAGATCGGGATCGGGGTGTAAGTGCTGGAGGAAGCTCGCTAGATGCAGCATGTGACGCGCTATCGGGTGCGAGTTTGGACCTGGGACCTCGCGCAGCCGCTCTTGCGACCGAAGGCCACCATCTTGATTGAGAATTCCGTACGGGGTAGTTAGGACTTCATGGAATGGAATAGAATGGTGGCCGCCACTAGCCTTGTAGATTATGGCGGTATCTTGTCGCGAGGGCAAGAAACCCCAAAGAGTTCGAGACAATGCATCGGCCCCGGACGCGCCTGGATCACCGATGGCATGGGCAGACGATGAATTTCGGTCAAGAATGAGATCATCCTGAGGGTGTCGGTCTTCGGTCGGGGTATTGATGGGCCCATGAGATGGAGGAGACGCGTTGCTTGAGGGATGCTTGCAGACCGATGGTGGGGTTGGAAGACCAGCCAGCTGCGACTCCACACGTCGCAGGCGACTCCGTAGCTGGCGATTATCATCTAAAATGGTGGAAATGGTGGGCACTTTCTCCGGGAACTCCTGGCTCACGCATTTGGTCCAACGTGTATGACAGCCAACGCAGACTGCGTTATCGGGACCGTCAAACACGCATTTCATCTTCCGTCGCTTGCATTCCCAGCAGCTCCGAGTTCCCTTTCGAAGTTTTTTACGTTTCAGAGGGGGCGCCGAGTCCCAATACTCCGGGTCGAGAGTAGGACTCCTGTGGGCTTGTGCTGTACGCTGATCAGAGGCAGCGTCCATGATGGGTCGGTCTGGCCTTGGTTAGACACAGGTAGTACGTAAAGCTGGACAGGTTGATTTTACTGTGGGCTGATTATTCAAATATTGGAAATAGATGCAAACAAAATAAAGCGATTCGAACCTTGGAACAACTGGCCATGAAGGGCATGAAAGGCATGCAGGTCCGAAAACGCGGCGGAGCAAATTGTGACTGTACTTTACGTTAACTCCGGTAATATTCGGACCCAAAGAGCGCCAAAATCCCATCGGCCCTGTTCGACAGTTACATACATATACATACTCCGCCGTGATATCGGCGGAGTATGTATAGATTCCTGCATCGCATCATCCAGGATCTTCGTCCGCCGCAATGGGGTTGAGGAGTTTAAAAATTAAGGGACCTACGGACTTATAAACTGCTCGCATAATGCCAGTGGCAGACAACTTCGGCATTCCTCTCCTGTCACTACGCAGAAACTACGTGCAATAGTTACTAATATGTCGACAACCACTTCCGATCTGGAGTTCAGCAAGAACTTGAACGTCACAGGCCATTCGCCTTACAATACCAGCCTCACAAACAAGGAACGAGAGAGCGACGGTCCTGACGGAAGTGGTCATTTGAGCAGCGATCTGGACCAGGATTCAGACCCGGAGTACGCGACCTCATTCCGTTTGATCATCATCATGTGCACCTTGTGTCTCAGTACTCTGATCGCAGCCTTGGACCTGGTCAGTATTATCCACACCTCTTTGGTCCCTAGCTAACACGATAAATCCGGTCCACAGGGTATCGTTGCCACGGCTATCCCGAAGATCACCAGTGACTTCCACGCTCTCAGCGATATCGGATGGTACAGCGGCCCCTGCTTCCTTTTCGTCGGTACGACCTCCGCCTCGTGGGGTAAGATGTACAAATACTTCTCGGCTCAATGGACATATATGACAGCTCTTATCTTGTATCTGATTGGGAGTATCGTGGCGGCCACGGCACCTAGCAGCATTGCGTTAATCATCGATCGAGCCCTGCAGGGCTGGGGATGTGCGGGCACACTCGGCGGCTCCGTCCTGATCATTACCTTCACGGCCCAGCCTAAGACTCGTTCCTTGCTCATCGGCCTATGGATGGGTGTATTCATGATCGCCACGACCATCGGGCCCCTGATAGGTGGCGTGTTCACGACTGAGGTCACTTGGCGATGGTGTTTCTGGGTGAATCTCCCGGTGGGAGGCACAGCTCTCGTACTGCAATTTCTGTTCTTGCGCATGCCAAAACATATCAAACCCGCCTACGCAACGTGGAGGGAGATTTTACTGCATCTTGATCTCCCCGGTTGGACTTTGCTGTTCACCTCAGTCATCTGCTTCACCTTGGCTTTGCAATGGGGCGGCCTGGAGAAACCATGGAGTGACGGCTCTGTCATCGCCACCTTGACTCTTTGGGTTGCCTTGAGTATCGCGTTCGTGATCGTCGAGTGGTTCCAGGGCGAGTACGCCCTCATGCCCCTGAAAATGTTAGCGGACCGTAATATGTGGTCGAATCTCTTATATGCGTTCATGTGAGTATATTTCGTACTTAGCTTTGGCTAGGAGACTTGAGACTTCGAGTTGTTTGTATTGAACTCATTGGAACAGAGCTAACTTGTGATTATATGTTCTTCAGTGCCAACCTAGCCAACTTTCAGATACTATTTTATCTCCCCATCTATTTCCAAGCCGTTCATGGCATGTCCGCTATTGATAGTGGCGTCAACTGCCTTCCGTTTATGACCTTCTACACCTGCGGGGCCATAGTCAGTGGTATACTCGTTGGGAAGACACGCTTTCTTCAACCCATCGAGTTTGGTAGTGGGCTGATAGCAGTTCTTGGTGCCTCTCTGATCTACTGCATGGACGTCAAAACCTCAAATGCTTGGTATATTGGCGCTCAGATCCCTTTCGGGCTTGGAATCGGTCTAGGAAACCAGGTTCCGGTGACAGCGCTGCAGGGTTTCGCGACGCCGGAAACAGTGGCAGCGACGATGGGGGTAGCTTTCAGTGAGTAGTAACAAATCCTGTTGCCGCTGATTTTGTCCACTAATCCTTTTCCCCAAGTGGCCCAATCTATCAGCGGGGCCTACTTTGTTTCGGCCGCTAATTCTATCTTCGATAACTACCTACTGCAGAATTTGGCACGTACTGCTCCTCAAATCGATTCATCGGATATCTTGTACATTGGAGTGTCGGAACTTACAAAGTATTACGAAGGGGGGCAGCTGGCTTTGATTCGAGATGCATATATGGTTGGGATCGAGGATGTCTTTGCCTTCGCCCTGGCCGGTACCGTCCTGACCGTATTGCTGGCCCTTTTGATCCCGTTCAAGAGACTTCCTTCCCATGAAACCAAGGAGGTTGAGGACAAGGAGGCAGCGGCCAAACAGCGTACCAGAAGGGGTTAGGATATACTAAAGTAGAGTAGAAGTCGGATGTGGCCCATGCAAAGCATCAATTCACGGTCGTATCTACCTCCACCTATACCTGCATCTTTTTCTTCCAACTATTTCCCAGCCCGACTAAGATACTAAGCACGTGTGAAAAAGCCCTCATGGCCCAATGGTAGCCTCCAACGTATCGATGTGTCAAAACGTAAAACCAAATACTAGTATAAGCATTGAACAATAAAGAAAGCAACCACCCCCACCACAAATCATAATTGAGAACACAAATATTCGTCCCTCATCAGCCAGCCATTGCTAAACCTTCATGGTGCCCTGTGCCCTGAGCGATGAAAATCCCAATCCCCACCAAACACGAATCAAAAAACTTAAAAGTAAAATTTAAAATTAAACTCCAGGCAACCAAAAAGAAACTTGAACCCTTGATTCAAACATGAAGCCAAAATCGACACTATACCATTCTCGGGTATGAACACGAAAGAGAGCACAAAAATCCATCTGCCTACTCAGCGCGAAACAAGTAGATCACGCTAAACTGGTTTGGGGGATTGGTACGAAGTATACGAAGGGATTCTCCACTTTTGAGCAATATGCGTAGAACTAACGGTTTATAGCCTGTGAAGTGGAGGGAAGAGGATAGCAGAGCCCCGGTATGAAGGTACCTACTAATCTCATGTCGTGTCGTGTCCGTACCGATGCCCTATTTAATGCGCCATCGAGAGCAGAGAAAAAGGGAGGTGAAACGTCCACTGGGTAGTAAAAATAAACTGGCTTTTCATGGGGGGTATATAAGTAAAGTTAGTAACTAATAACTGGATCAAAATATCCACATCAAACCACATCAAATCAAGCCAAGCGAGCCTTCTTTCTCTTCACACTCCTTTGACACACACTCTCTTCCTTCCAAAAGTCAATCAAACACCCAACATGCCCCCAACAGGATGGAAAGCATACCAATACAACCCATCAATGGGCGCAGCAATCCTCTTCATAATCCTGTTCGGCATAACAACAATGATCCACACATGGCGACTGTTCAGCACGAGAACGTGGTTCTTCATCCCGATGATGATAGGAGGATACTGTGCGTAACAGAGCACCTGCTTCACTTCTCCCCCTCTCCCTTCCATTCCCTGCCACACGCAACCCTCGCTAACCAAGCCCACCGTTATTTTGCCGTCCAGTCGAAACAGTAGGCTACATAGGCCGCGCAATGTCCGCAAACCAATCGCCAAACTGGACAACGGGGCCATACATAATTCAAAGCACACTCCTTCTCATCGCACCGGCTCTGTTCGCCGCGAGTATTTATATGGAACTTGGACGGGTGATTCTTCTTGTGCGCGGTGAACGGTTTTCCATTGTGAGGGTGAATTGGTTGACGAAGATTTTCGTTGCGGGTGATGTTTTGAGTTTTTTGATGCAGGCTTCTGGTGGGTTTGCTCCTCTTCTCTTCTCTTCCCGCTGCTCTCACACTGCTTTGTGCTCTTCCTTCCTTCGAGGCCATCCGAGTGTCGTGTCGCATCGTTTCGTCTCGCGTAGTGAACATCACTAACCCCCACGCAAAACAGGCGCCGGCCTAATGGTAACAGCCGCCAACGGGGGCTCAACCTCCTCAGCAAGCACCGGAAAAACCGTCATAGTGGGCGGCCTATTCGTCCAAATCCTCTTCTTCGGCATATTCCTTCTCAGCGCGATAATTTTCCAGCGTCGTCTGACCTCCTCGCGCGGCGGTGGCTATGTATCCAGCATTGACCATCTACCGTGGCGAAAGCATATGTTTGCGCTTCACACGTCCAGCGTGTTGATTTTGATTCGGTCCGTTGTTAGGGTTATTGAATATGTGCAGGGGACGGATGGGTTTGTGATGAGTAATGAGGTTTTTATTTATGCGTTTGATGGGTTGTTGATGTGGGTTATGTTGGTTATTTTTGTGGTTGTTCATCCGTGTGAAGTGGGGGCGCTTTTGAAGAGGGAGAAATTGAGGGGTGGGAGGGGGTTTGGCGTTGACGGGGGTGAGCCTTTGGTTTAGTGTTGTGTTTTGCGTTGTGGTGGAGTGCAGTGGGTGGTGTCCGATGGCCGCCATCGTGTATTATACACAGCTGGTAAGCTGGTAAGCTGGTGGGTGGGTGATGGCGTGGCTGGAGCTGCGACTTTATCATGGATCCATGGAATCGCAGCGTGTTTATGTTTTCTTTTGTTGCTGTACACTAGTATCACTAGTGCGATGTGTCGATCTGATCTGAGCTGAGCTGATCTGCGCAGTGGGTATCAAATTAAGACGTCTGACGAGAATCCGTGACTCGGCAGAGGTTTCGCATTGCCTCGTTTTGCCCTTCGCTTCGCTTCGTTCCGCATTTCGAATTGCCCTGCTCCCTTCACGCAACCATCTGCTCAACATAATTCGCACCAAGGATAGCCCTCATAGCCCAATCAACCAAAGGCCTCCACTGCTCATCAAGAATCGCCCAAACAGCCTTCGCAACTCGAACACACCACTCCCCAAAACACCACCGATGCCTCATCGCTTGCAACAGCACACCATAATGAGCTAACATGACCAAAGCCATCGGTTCGCGCTCGCGTAGCAATTCCATGAATCGCGCCGGTAGTCGAATTGCCCAGCGACCCGCTATCACGCTGGCCGTCATACCGCCGTAAACCCAGCTCAACATTTCGGCAAGGTTGTCGATGGTTGAGGTGTAGATTTCTGTTTCGTGGGATTTGTTTCGCGAGCCGCAGACTTCGTTTGCTTCGTGGAGTTGGTTTATTGTGTTCGCTGCATCGGATGGTAAAGGTGCTGCAGTGATTGGTTCAACTTGGAGAATTGGGGCGAAAGTGCTTTGACTCAGATAGTCTGATGGGGAACGGATGACTTGTTGAATTCCCCGAGTTAGGACGAGAACTTGGTATAAATCATCGACAGAGGTCCAGGGGTCTTGAACGTCTGGTGGGGCGGGGAATCCGAATGTATATACGACGACGATACTAGCGAAAGCGAACATTGCTTTTGCATTTGATTCGTTGATTTCGCCCAATATTTCGCGGAATAGTGCCAGGGCTTGATTCTGGTGCGCGACGGCTCGGGTTAAGTAGTTCGAGCGTGAGGATGGATCTGAGTCTGTGCGCGCGAGATGGAGAGCTGAGACTGCGAGAATTCCGTGCATGAGGAATGGATGCGAGAGGGCTTCTTCGGGGACATTGTTGCGCCAGACTGGATCTGTCCGCTCAGTGCGGGAGAGTGTGTGGAATGTCGTGTTACACCATTGCATCATGAGTTCTAGATCGTGCAGGTTCAGTACAGGGACTGCTGAGCTTGTGTCGGATAGTCGGTTTAATAGGCCTAACGTGTCGGCGGTTGTGGCGGGGCTTCCTGTTGATACGGAGACTGAGCCCATGGAGCCTATGCCGCTCATGAGGTCGCGATCACGATCACGATCACGATCACGGTCACGATCGCGGTCTTGGTCGGATGGACCTTGGAGTCGCTCCTCGTTTGCCCAGAGGAGAGAGGTGGATGAACCGTATTCGCATTCGGCATGGCGTTTGGCGCAGTTGGAACAGACTGGCCTCGCCTCATCGCACTGTGTGTGGTTAGTCACGAACTTAAGCTTAATCATGAATGGCTTCGGGGGGAATGAATGAATACCTTTACCCGTCGCCGCTTACACTCCAGGCAGCCATGGCGAGATTTGCGGTGCGGTCTTCTTAGGGCCATTGTCAGGGAGCCATATCTGGGGAAGTGGTAATAATGTAGGGAGGGGGTATAGAAGAGAAATGAACTATGAGGTCAGGCTGGGCATGGGAAGTGGCAGTGGCAGTGGGCACGGGGAAACAAGAAATAGTATAGAACGACAAGAAGGACAAGGCTGGGGATCGAGTCTGGGCATGGGGCAGAAAGGGAAAAAATAGCAGTGACAGGCTGCAGGCCAAGCAAATTCAAATGAACCCCAGAGTTACAGAACCGAAAGTCAGATTTGGAAAAGAAAAAAAAAGAGAAAAGAAAAAAGAATGAAAGAAAAGAAAGAGAGAGAAATTCCCGACTGGGCAGCAGGCAACAGGATTGTAGGTGGGCGTAGGAGAAGTGGGAGTGTGTTAACTATGGGCTGACTAAGTGGTGAACCCTGTCGATCAAACAACAAAAAGGCTTGTTGATCTGAAACATTGTCTTTCGCTTATGCGTATGGGTACATATATCAGGGTCCTCGTACATTATGGGGCGGAGTCATAGTACATTAGTTATTGGGTGAGTTAAACCGAGGGCCAAGAACCTGATAGCCTGAGGTTGGAACTTGGCACCCTTCCCCCGGGGGCAGGGGGGGGCATGCACTGCCTCAATTGACTGCAACGTGTGGACTAGCGCAGGGTTTAGCGTTGAGCTACACTGATTGGATTGAGTGGGGAGACTAGGATGGCTCATTTTGCAATATTAGCACGCGAGGCTATGAGCAGTGTTGACAAAAGCAAGAGCATAACATAGGACAGCGTTGCACTCTTATCTGCAACATTGTGGAAGAGGATTACGTATGTATAATCCACTATCCTAGGCAGCCTTCAAAGTATTCCTTTGGAATATTCTGTTAAATATTTAATAATTATTTTACTAAAGAATTAAAGATGCCCGAGTGTGCGGCCCGGGACCCGAGGAATCCGAATGCCAAGCCGGGCGTCCCGAAGGCACCGAAACACAAAATAACCATAAAACCCCCCCTAGGGTAGAACTACTGTAGGGTAGGGTAGAACCATACTCGTACATCTTATCCCGACCCGATCTTTCGAACTCCAGAACGCTGCAGCCTGAACCTGAACCAACCTGAAACAAACGCTAATCCGCAATACGCTCAATTTAACTCTATTCACCATGTGGCACCGGCATGCCATATGGCTTTGACTTTGACTCTTTGACTCTCTGGGACAGTGCCAGTGCAAGTCCCAGTGCACGGCCAATCAATCCACCGAACAGGCTGAGTGGCAAACCACCACTGGCAGTGACAGTCCACTGATTTAAGCCGCCGCCGCACTGGCACCGGCACTAGCACTACTGGCCGCACCAGCGGCAGCAGCCTCATTCCTTCTCCGAGTTTTCTCCGCCAATGTAATGCAAGTCATCAAGACAAGCAATTGGAACCGCTCACCATGACAAGCATTATTATCAAATGTCAACACGCGGTCGGAACCCTTTAACCCGGAATGACTAGCAAAGACCGCCGCAACGGCCCCTGTTCGATCGTGAACTAGTTCCAAACTCCCTCCTCGCGTGAGAGACATCTTGTGCGTTGGGCGCCAGGTATATTTCTCCAGTCTTCCGCCGACCTCTGCGGTTAGTTTGTATTTTGATGAGCGCCAGCCGTCGCGGTGGATGGTGTCCCAGCGCATGGAGGTGGAGGTGGAGTTTGGGCCATCGCTGAGTCCGATCTCGATGTCTGAGGAGAAATGCTTGTATTTGGATAGGGCGATTATGGGTCCTTCTTTGTTGGTTGTGTGGAAGGTTAGGTCTGGTTTGCCCGGGGTCATTTGGGAGTTTTCCACGTAGAGGTTGTGAGAGCCGGTGATTTCGTAGTGGTGTTTCCAGAAGGTTGTGGTGATGTTGTATCGGGGTGGGAGGGAGGTGTTTTGGGAGTAATACATGGTGATGGATGAGATGGATGAGATGATAAAGTGCTTGGTTTGAGATGATGATTTATTGATGATCTTGAACAGAGGAAACGATTGCTTTTTATCTTCGAGTTCAACTCTTCACAGCCCTCTCCCTCTCTTCTGCTCAACAGCCCTGGAGCAGGGCTGAGCCAGAGTTCTTGAACAAAGGAGCCAATCAGCAACCCGCCCCCACGAAATATGATCGCATCTCACCACTGCTGAAACCAATCCTTAACCCCCCGTCGAGTCTAAAAAGAGTAGTGTCGATGTCAATCCGCCAAGCTTGGCCAGCGCACTGAGATTTGGCCCCCGCGCTAAGCCAAACCGGCACTCATGCGCCGCCGGGATGGCGTTGAGCGGAAGATAGGGCAGTTTTCTGCAGTGGCGGAGCAGTTTGCGGAATTTGGTGGTTGGATTTGAATTTGCTTGAAGTTGAAGTTGAAGTATTTAGGCTTTGACAGACTATTGCTCATCTTGGCTTAGGGGAAGAACTGAAAATAGACTACCAGTGTCCGTGACACTGATAGTACTGACTGGCAGCTGCAGGGGTACTACTACTAGTGTACTCCCGACCGGAGTACAATTTATATCCGATATATACACGGCGGTGCTTTCTCGATTGTGTTAATGATGGAGCCAGAAAGGGGTAACTATTCTACTCGAGTAATTAATAATGAACACTCTTTCATCGCAAATAGCATGTGCAGTTTAAAAACAAGGAGCACTTCTCGTAGTCAAGCTAAGTGTTGCTGTCGACCACGTGACCACACGTGACCCGGCGCGTCTTTTGCAGATTGGCAAACATCCGATTTGGGTAGACTTGAAGCTCCAGATCGACTTTGCTTGACCTGCAATTCTCCCCCTCTCCCTCTCTTGCATTTCTTTGACTCATTATTCTCACCGCATCACTGCGCGCTATCCTTCGACCATTTCTCCCTCAGCCTGATTCCCCTCGAATTGCATTGCTGCTCCTGCAGCTTGCGGCCCAAAACTGCTCCGTCCGTTAATTCTTTGTTTCGAACACAATGTCTTTTGAAGTCCCCTATGACTCGAGTCCGCCGTCCACACCGGATAAGACCAAGACTCAGAGCTTCTTCAGTCACGTCTCGACAACCCCAGCCGGCCTACCCCCATCAGACGCCTCCTTCACCCCCCAAGGCAATCCGACTTCTACCATCTTCAACACCTCTCAACTCGAGTCGCATTCCAAGCAAAATGATTTCGCGACCTCCACCAACTCGCTTTTCACAAAATCCGGCGGTTTCAAGAAGGGCGACAGCATTTTCGGCTCGTCCTTCGGCTCCGACTTTGGCATGCCCAAAACAAAGGCCCCATCATTTGGAACAAAGCAGACTCGTTTCAGCGCTGCGACGAATGGAGGCGGATTCGGTCGGCCCGGAGGTCTTGCCCAGACAAACAACTTCGGCATGTCGAATGGTTTCGCGTCATCGCAGATGAGCGACTTCCAAGAAGAGTATACCAGAGACTTCGAAGACGAACTGGAACCCGAGGAAGAGCAAGTAGAGGAGGAATACGAAGAATATGAGGAGGAGGATGCGGAAGGTGAGATGGATGTAAGCATTCAACAGCCATCAAACCGCCTCAGCTTCCTCGATTCCAACTATGGGAACCCGCTCCCACCGCAATCAACCGGCCTCAACTTCAACGAACCGCGCAAACCCATCTACACAAATCCCACCGATGCGAAGCGCCCCAAACTTGACGAACGATGGGCCACCCGGTCGCCCCTACGCAAAGGAAAGCTGTCCCCGAAGAAGGCCTCGGCCATGCCCTCCATCCTGCACAACCTGTCCTCCCGATCCCGTAGCGCTGCGGTCGACGAACCCGCCGATATGATTATCAACACAGAGGACTCGCTGGGCCGGCTGTACGATGAGCTACGCGAGGCCGAGTACCGACACATCGACCTGGATCAAACTCTGGCCTACGTCGCGAACCGATTGATAAACACCTGGGATACATGCGCCGACCGTAGCGGTATTAAGCGTCCCTACGGCGTCGGGTCTAGCATTGGTCCCGGTGAGAAGGCACCGACTCTGGTCAAGGCCAGCTTCCTCGCTTCTCTTCTTCTTCAGATCCACCATCCTTCCCGCGCGTCCATGCCGATCGCCTCGGCATCCAACCCGGCCGCTCATGCCGCCAACAGTATGGTCAAGGCTCTTCAGCGTGCCAGCGTTGCTACACCAGTTCCTCAGATTCTCCTTGATTGGCTGAATGGTAACCATGCTTCCCAAAACAACGACCTCCAAGCCCTGCGCTATGTCGAGCCCAACCCTTCGGCATCCTCCAACTTCTGGGATATCATCAATGCGGCCATTCTCCGAGGACGATTCGCTGAAGCAGCTGAAATCCTTCGATCCGCGGATTTCAATTTTGCGCGGTCGGCTCTGGAAGATGGTCTGCCTCAACCCGGTTACCGTGGTGTCCAACTACAGAACATCCAACGCTGTGTGAACAAGGCTCTTCAAATTCTCGACTCCTGCCCCGGCTTCTCAGACGACGACTGGGACATTACCGGTTCGGACTGGACTCACTACCGCAAGCGCGTTCTGTCGGCCGTGGAGGATCTGGAAGAGTTTGCCGAAGGCGAGGAACGAGAAGGATGCGGCCGCGCCTCAGAATAATGGATTCCAGGCTGTCAACTTTGGCATGGGGAACTTCGGACAGAACCCTGTGAGCTTTGCGCAGTCAGCGCGTATGGCGGAGAGCCGTGTGCCGTGGACCATCTACACGAACCTGCGATCTCTATACAGAATCATTCTCGGAGATACCACTACCATCAAGACTTACTCACAAGACTGGGTGGAGGCTACAATCGGTCTGACTGTCTGGTGGGATGGCGAGGATGACGATGCTACTGGCGGAATCGATTTCGGCGCCAGCGCCAACAGCATGGACTTTGCACGATCGCGCGGGTCCCGGATGAAGTTGCGAGCTGTTGATCGCAACATGCGAGATGCGTACCTTGCCCGTTTGGATTTGGCCTTCGGTAGCGCTACCAGTGAGCCGTCCGACGACGCCGGCTTCCGCGTGAACACGATGAACGGCCTGGAAGTTGGCCTGGCTTCGGTTTTTGAGGGTAATGTCAACGGTGTGATTGAACTATTGCAATCCTGGTCGCAGTGCGTTGCTGCGGCTGTCACCGAGGTTGCTAGCCTTGGAGGCTGGTTAGAAGCTGGCTCTAAGAAGATGCCTGGTCTCAGCGATAATGACCTGATGGTCCTCTCATACGGACAGAATGGCCCCCCGTCGCGTGGACTCAACAGAGATGACATTCTCAAAAGTTATGCCTTCGGTCTGTTTGACCGTGGCTCTATCGAGAATGAGAGCGGCACCCGCGAAGGCTGGGAGATGGCACTGGAAGTGCTGAGCCGAGTACAGAATGCGGATGCGATGAAAAAGGCCGTCTCGGAGATTGTCGACAAGTTGCCACTGGAGAACACCGCCCAGCTGGATAAGTTGGTGGTCCTATGCTCTGACCTTGGATTAGAAGATCAGGGCCGTAAAGTCTCAGAGGTATGTTCACTTGCACCCATCGCCGAAGCATCAGCATAAGCGCAGCCCCAATTCCACCCAGCATACCCAGCGTCAGATGATACTAACATTACTTCTACCACCAGCGATACGGCGACATGACAACGGAGAAAACCGACAAATTCGGCCTGGCACTCGTGTGCTACGCCCGCGCTCAAAACAGAAGAAAGGTCAAATCCGTCGTCGACCTGCTGATCTCATACTCTCTCGTCCAATCGCGCGCCTACCCAGCCACAGCCGATCTAGACCCAGAGCTACGCTCCATGATCAAGGACCCCAAGGCGTGCCTGTCATCCATTGCCTCGGTCGACGAAGAAGCCGCCCGCATTCTCCAATTTTACCTTAGCGGCTACGCCACACTGCGCCGCTTCTACGAGATCCGCGACGAAGCCTGCTCCCTGGCCGATGGTCAGCGGCCCCGATTCAAACCCCTCGCTAGACGTCGTGCGGCGGCCAAGGCTTTAACTGCTGTCATTAGTAGTGCTGCTGATAATATTTATGGCGGATTGTACGACCCGAGTCGGGATTCCGCTGTGCAAGTTGATGGCCTGCTTGCGCTGTTGGGCGAGGCATTGGTTTTTGTTAATCGTGAGTTTACCCGCAATAACTATAGTCACTTTGGTATGGAGTGGAGTGGTATGGAATTTTACTAACATGCCACAACAGAACAATCACCAATCCTCACAGTCCAAGAACAATTCACAATCCTTTCCGCGATCGAAGATCTAGAAACAATAACCCCGCGCGTCTTCGCCCAATGCGAAGAATGTTTCCGCTCAACTCTCCTCTCCGCCACAGACTCTGCCTCTACCTCTGGCATAAATGCCAACGCGATCCTCAAGAAATCAGTCTCCTCCCTCTCAGCTTCGACATTCTCCCTAATCGGTTCCTCGGATCTTCTCCCTTCTACTTCTGCCGCTACGTCTTCAGGCGTCCTGGTTCCACCGCCTGGCTCTGAGAGTCAGCGCGGTTGGGATTGGAGGGTTGGGTTGCAGGTTGATACGTGTGGACGGGATGTGCTGTCTTTGTTGAGGGTTGGTCTTGCGAGGGGGTTGAGTTTTGGGGCTTTGGGGCGTGTTTAGGGGATGGATGGGTTCTGTGAAGTTGATGTCGCTGTCGCTGTCGATGTCGATTTTGAGAGAACCTTGAATGTTTAGTGAGAAAACACACCTGTCGGCGTTTTGTTATTTGTTTTAGCGCTTCCAGGCATTATCGTGGATGTTATGTAGCTTGTTGGTTGGATTGAATCATAATTTTATTTTATCCAGTCTTGGAGAACGCCCTAGTATTACGTATTACTAGTATTATGATTGATACCAGTACTCCCGAGGTTGTAGTCCTGGTTGGAGCCTGATAACTGACTAGTGCGGACTCGAACTGGAGTACCAGTGGTACTATTACTAGTCAGTAGTAAGAAGCCTAGAGTAGTACCTCCTCCGAGTCTTTGGCCATTAGATCAGCTCCATTCGACTCGACTCGACTCGGTTCAACTATTAATTCCCCGGTAAACGCGCTTTCCATCTAAATACCTGATATCCTATACAATGAAGTCATAAACCCCAGCACGCAAAAGCAAAAGCAAAAGCAACTTGAAACAAGAACCATAATCCTTGGAAACAATGAGACCCCAGGCCCTCAACTTCCAATGAAACCACCCACATGAAACAACCATGCACAACCCGCAGTAGTCCCCGTCGACCCCAGCTGAACCGAACGCAACCCGTTCAAGTTGCAGATTGCACATGGCATGGGATACTCAGCCCTACGAACCATGCGACCCCTGTCAGGACCGAGAGATAGTCCCGGTAGTATGGTGCGTATGCGGGATAATCAAGTCTAGACCAGGGTAAGTGATGTCGGGGTCCGGTTTCGTCTGGTCTGCCTCAAGATAAAATCAAATCAATTTCTGTCTCGCTCAGTGATAGGGATGGGCCGTCAGCAGCTGAACGTGGATGCCTGATGATTTGGTTTACTCCACTATGACACTATGACTCGAGTAACTATTGTATGTCGGGGTTCACGATGAGGAGGAACGGGAGGTCTGTTATTGGTTGTTTCTTTTCTTTTCTTTTTCCTTTCGCTTGTCTTTTGTCTGCTTCTGCAGGATGAAGGTTTGCGCTCTTCGTACGGAGTGACCGAGTATGTATTGCTAAAGTAAAAATAAAATATCTACTACCACGGCTCGTGGTAAGTTTCGAGCACGGCCGAAAGCTTGGGTGGGACTAAACTCATTATGTAGGGCTTGTATCTATTTTGTCTACTAGTATGGAGTAATCGGTTTTATTTTGGGTACAGGAATTTAGATATCTCCAGCCACAGTTCGATACAATGGAGATGATAGAGATGATAGAGATGATAGAGTGCAGTGTATGTATAGATCGCCAGGTGCATTATGCAATGTACCACTAGTACGCATGTAACTCGTACAGATATGTACTCTACATTCTGCAGTCACCGACTATTCCCCCGCAAACCAACCTCTAACGTATACGAATCAGTCACACATTAACGGTGTACTATCAAGCTGGCACCATCCCCAGGGCTGCATCTGCATCTGCACCTGCAGCCGCGGGTGCGAATAAACTACCTAGGTAAGCAAGTGTAATTCACAATTTCCGAGTCCAGTCCAGTGACAGAAATGAGGCGCAGCCCCCACCTTGTGCCCAGCTTCCCAGGCAGAAACTCACTAAATCAGACTAAGGCAGCGTATTTCCATCATTTGACCAGTCGGAGAAGCATGCTAGTCTCTAGCGTGACTCCACTCTAAACGCAAAGCAGGGCAATGGGCAATGGGCAAGGCAGAACATGCAGAGCCGAGCCACAGATGAGGATGATGGTGATCCACCGTGCTTTCAGCCTCGCACTGATTTCCTGCTCACCGACTCCCTCCGCGAAATGGATGTCTGACCGCGGCGAGGTTTATGGTGTGTTCACCGTTTCTTTGCCAAGCCACACCCACTTCCTCCCCTCCTCCCTTCTCCCTTTTCCATTTTCAGAGTTGTGTTCTATTTTGCTCTCTGCTTTCTGCTTTCTTGGATTAGTTTGATAGGAGTCTCTTTCTGGTTTGGCGTTGATTACATGAGAAGTGTGGCGAGGGAGAGAGCTGGTGGTGGGGCTGTGATGGGCTGGTGTTTCCGAGTTTGAGTCTTGGTCCGACATGACGCATCGCAACTGTACGAGTATTGTAGAGTTGGGTATGGACATGAACTACGGAGGCATTATCATGGACTTTCTTCTTTGCTTCAATTTGTTTTTATCTATTATTATTTTCTATCAAACGTGAATTGTGTTGAACTAGAATGTGTTTCTTTGCCCTAAGGTTGGTTGCATCACTTCTCCAATTTAACGACTGTACAGACATCCGAGTCAATATCATAACATCTCCATAACCCAACTTAGAAAGCATCTACTCCGTACCTTCCGTAAACCACCTACCCCCCTTATTAATAGCCATCCGAACTGACCAAGTGGATCGCCAACCGGGGTACGCTAGGCCACGCTGTACTCCATCAGGGCAAGATCCCCCAACGCTAACTGGCTGAACGAACAATACCAAGCTAAGCTCTCCGACATCTTCAGCTCTTCGTATCCACCGATTGGCGCGTGCGTCGGTCTTTTCCGGTGACCCCTCCCACTTTCACTGACCTTTCTGCCTGGGGCGGCCAGTCCATGTCCCATAGGGCTGGCCGTTGGATGGCCTTGCATGCGGGTCTTGCATTGCACTTGCTTTGCTTCACGGGCCAGGGCAATGCGCGGTTCCACCGGGATGATCTGCGAGGAGTCAGAGGTGAGCGATGGAGTCGTTTGGTGTCGTTTGGTTTGGTTTGGCTTGGTTTGGTTTGGTTCCGTTCCAGCTGTATATAACAGGCTGGGATTTTGACTTCCAAGGTTCTTTTTCTTCATTGTGCAGACCTGTCTTTCTTTCGACATCCCAATTTTGTTTTATATTCTCTTCTTTTCTCGCAATCGTTGACGACTCTCTTTGTTGTGTTCGGTTTTGACTTCGCTTCCACTTCACTTCCACTTCCTCTTCAACTTGACTTCGGGCTGGATCTCGCTGCATTCGCTTCGACAGCTTTGATCTTCTACATTTCTCCACCTCGCATTAACACCTTCAACCATCATCACCCTCATTATAATTCCACTCATCTACACTCCAGTCAAAATGTGCTACAAGGTCGTCGAGCGCTACTCCGTCTGCAAATGCGTCTACTTCCAACACTCCATTGACCCATGTTCCGCCTACGGCCAACGCGGCCATTCCATTCAAGAAAAGACCGTGCTAGTTGGCTACGCCTGTGCACGACACTCTGCCCACTCCTCCCCCACTTCACCTACGACCGGCCGCTGGCCTGATTCTGGATACTCCAGTTCGAAGGGATCAGGCAGGTAGATCGGCGTAGAGGGGTGGTTTCAGTCTACTGGTTAGACTGGCTGGTAAACCACTTGGTATCTCTATGTTTCTACGATGCTATCTGTCACGCTATGCGATGCGATGCGATGCTATGATCCTTTTCCGGGAAACTCCTCTTGATGAAGAGTTCGGTTCGGTTTTGTTTGGCTCTGGTTGGGTTGGGTTGGGTCGGGGCTCATGAGAACAGTTATGGACGATGCGACGATGAGACAATGTGCGACAATGTTTTTAATTTTCACTTTCACGCGGTTACGAGGTCTGGCTGGAATCATTCTGCTCTTCTCTACAATCACAGAATCAAGATCATCACCCCGGGCGGGTGAGATATGATATGGATGACGAGGGAGCGCGGGGAGGAGGGGAATCGGGACGGGCGCCGGTCGCCTTTTCAGCTTGGATTAATCTATGTGATCAATCAGATTGTATTTCCGGGCGAAATACGATAATTGTCTCACGACTTCTGATGGTGAAATTTGCTGTACGATGGATGAGGAAAGGCATTCTATTCAACTCGTTTCGTTTTTCGCATTTGATATCGCGTTTGTGGATTCGCCGGACGACTTGTAAAGTACATTGCACTGCTCTTTTTTTTCTCACGTCTTTCCTTGACGGCTTTCAGAACTAGTGATGTCGTTTCTACTCGGGCAGTAGGCTGCATGGGCTACCTGAAGTTGTTTTGTTTGTTTTTCGCTCTTCACTTTTGACTTTTCTTTTTCTTTTGCGTTCTTTTTGCTACGCTGGTTCTGTAGCACTGCATCCTGCATGGGCGAGCGAGTATATTCTGTCGTTATCAGTTACTATTAAACAACATCCACACTTTGGTTGGTTTCTGTCACGGTAAAACGTAGAGTGTGCAAAATGCGTTGGTATGAATATGGGTCCCACCTGGGCATCTCACTGATTGCAGCTCTCCTTTGCTTGGAGGATAGATCCAGAAACATGAGTCCTATTATCCTGGATCATGAGCTCGGCAGTTTTAGATCTGGTGTATTGTAAATAGAATTCGAATGTGCCAGTGGCGCTTGGTCAAATGCTTGGTATCGAGTGCCTTCTCCTTGGGTTATGCGTCAGAGACCCGGGGGCGCCGTTGGATGCGCTGTCTCAGCCACTCGGTCTGCTGACATTAATTCATCCATGCACTGCCAATAGAATAAGTGGAATGGCGAATATTAAATCTGAATTCCGATTCGCCGTCTCGGAAATTTAAATGGAGGATTTGACACTCAGCCTCAAATTGGTCAAGCTTTGCTGTTTGCTGACAGTCCCTTTATCAGTTAGTTAACCCATTAGTAAGACATTCAAGCACACTCAGACTCTGCTTCACCCCAGAATTCTTTACTAACATCGATTTGCTCTCTAGGATTGATTCAAATGCAATTTTGGCGACTTTCCGGCTTTTCCTGCCACTCTTCTCCATCACATCCGACTGCCCCGCCCGGAATTCCCGAGTTCCCCAGTCCGGGGCAATCGCTTGCTATAAAACTGCCCCTCACGCCACCTGTCGCAAAAATTCAATACTGGAACTCATACCACTCAAAGGCTATATCATGCCGACCGATAATCCCCTCACAACGCTCTACAAAGAGGTCGACGGCAGCAAGATCTCCACCGACGTCTATCTGCCCCCGTCGGACGCGTCGTCACCCCAAAAATATCCCGTCGGTAGGTCCGATCAACCTCGTCCAATCGTCACGAGGACCAAATTTAACATACTCACAGTCATTGACATCCATGGCGGTGCTTTCATGCTCGGCCACTCCCGCATGGTCTCCATCCCCCAGGTAAACGACTGTCTGGACCGAGGCTGGATCGTGCTCGTTCCGAACCATCGGCTTTGTCCCGGAGTGAACTTGTTAGACGGGCCGATGCGGGATATCCGCGATCTACTAGCCTGGATCCACGATGGCCATCTCGAACAATTTCTAAAGGACCATGGGCCTTACCAGGCTGATCTGGAAAATGTCGCTGCGTTCGGAACCTCGTCTGGCGGCCATTTAGCTCTTAGCTTGGTATGCATCAACCCATCTACCGCACAACCCAATTTCCTTTTGAATGCCAGAGCTAACTAAATACAGGGTTTCAACGTCCCAATTCCCGCAAAAGCAATCTTCTCCCTCTACGGCACAGTGAATTTCTCAAACCCACTCTGGTCAAAACCAATCCCCCACGTCGCCGCCAAACTTCCCAAAGATCTTTCCCTGGAATTTCTCAACAAGATCTATGACGAATTTCCCATCCCGACGGATTCCTCTGTTTCGTTAGAAGGCCAGACTGAATCTGGCGTGTCCAAGGGTCCTGATTTCTCAAAGGCCCGAGACGCGTTCGCTTTTACACAGATCGCGGGCGGAATGGTCACAAGTGCTATTTACCCCCAGAGTCAGAGTATTGACACCAAGTTCGATCTTGTTGATCCGGCGAGGAATGTCACGGCGAATTTCCCGCCGACTTATATCGTGCATGGGCAGGCTGATACGATGGTTCCTATTGATCTTAGTAGGGATTTCTTGGCAACACTGAAAGAGGCGGGTGTCAGGTGTGGAATGACCGAGGTTCCTGGGGAGGAACATACTTTTGCGGCTATGATGGAGGTTGGGTCGAAGACTTGGTGGTTGCAGAGGGAGGGATTTGATTTCCTTGAGGAGATTATTGGGAGAGGGCCTAAGAAGGGGCGATTTTCAAGTTGATGCTAAACAAAGGCCAGAGGCGGCTATTTTCCCATTTGTATATACATTTGCTTTTTAACTTAGTCAAATACAGAACGAAATTCAATTATCTGAGGAACTAATATCCATCTCCATTCTGGAAACACCCAAAGTCTGATGGAGGGCTGCTAAATGGACCACCCTTTTTGCTAAATAGACCATGGGCCCTTCCGAATCCAGAGTAGTATGTAATCTCCATACGACTTTGGATACATTTAATCTACGTCTATAGCTCTGCGAAAGTTTCTAGCCCCTTGTTGACCTCTCTAGTCTTCCTATGGAAGACTAGTACCTACTTGAGATGGAATAGAGTAGCTAATATATTCTATCCTGGGTAGGTCCTAATCTGCTATTAGAAGATAGTAACTAGTAATGATAGATAATAGGTAGTAAAGAAAGTCACAGATAATACTAAAATTTACAACCTATTTCTGTCAAATAACTGAGTTAAAAGTTGCTTTAAGTTGCGCTGTATTCACATTTGAATTGAAAGGGGGTTTTTTGTATCTCAAAACCCAATTTGTCATCCGAAAATTCTTTAGAACCGAAGCAATGCATCAAGTTCCCCCAAGAAGAGACTGGAGTCGGTATGATCAAAAGGCATGGGTCTAATATCTTGCCTAGGTATAGGATGGGTCGGCATCTGCAATACACCATATGCTACTTTCGAGTTTGTATTTTCCAATTCTTGAGCCGTGGTATTTGCCTTCTGCTGAAAAGTTTGGGAACGTGAACTGGGGCGAGGCTGGTCACCACTCGCGGAATAGCCTGATTTTCGGTCAAACCCAAAGTAACTGCTGGCAGGAAGGCATCTCCGGTCGCTCTTAGATTTGATTCTCTCTGGAGGGATTATTCTCATAACTTCTGAGAACATTGAATATATAGCGCTCCATCGTGGCACCTCGTGATCGATTCCATGCGGCAGTGGCAATTCATATTTGAGGTGCCGTCGCGTAGGAGAATCTTTAACGACCTGTTCTCCTACTGGTCCATATTCTCTTACCGGTCTATTTTGACAAAAATAAATATTTAGCATGGTCTGGATCTCAAGCTAGTGTTATATCGAAAAGCAGCACAGTACCTAACCGGTCGCTCCCCTAGTAAACACGGCTGGCCTTCACCGAGGCAGAAGATGCACTGGTAATGGTTCGGACTCCTGACGCATCGCTTTTTTCGAGAAAAGCAGGCTTGACAGGCTGGAGAAGAATGATTCCTACTGGCAGAGGAAAGACAGTTCTTTATAGCATCCTCTTGTATTCCCTTGGGGGTGTTGAGTGGCCGAATTTCTCTGTATATTTTCTTCATGTCCGCGTTATTGGACATAGAAGCTTGGAGAGAGGTCCAGAAAATGTTCTGTAGAGCATATTTATGCCATTTCTTACTGTTTTACAATCCACATTTCAGAGTAAGAATAGAAGCTCTTGTTGAAACTCCCGTCATCCACGGATCCTTATGCATCCATTTGAGCCTCGGCATCTCTTGAACTTGGTTAGGAGAATTCAAACATCGGATGGGTCGTTCATGCTTTCCGACCGCCGAAATCCGAAGTCCTGACCAATCAAAATGTCTGACTTTCGGTGCGCCACCGGAATAAATTATCTATCTTTTGTGTCTCTCAGATTTTAAGATTTTAGTAGAATAGGACCGCTTTGGTCGCAGTGCTTTTGATCCAGTGTGGAAAGAAGGCTACCAGTCATGATCGTGTCTATGTATGTTTTCCACTGTCTGTTTTGCAACTTGAATGTCAGTATGCTCAATAATCTCGTCGCTACCTGAATTGTGATTATTAAATCTACATTTTAGCACCTATTTTCCCTTGTGATTTTACAGAATAGACAGTCACGGGGCACCAAAGCTCAAGTTGATTTTAGTTTGGTCTTTCTAGAACAATATACTCTTTGGTGTCTACGGTCAAGTATGATTTATTGATGGATGTCTCTAATAACATCATGAAAAAAAGAAAATGAACGATTCAACTCAACTGTCGCTCTTATTATCAAAGGTACAAAGCAAAACAAAGATTCGTATAGAGAAAAGGGTGCACGAAGCCACATTCAGGAAGAAAGCTTCAATCCTTGAGAAAGATCACCAAATTTTGCAAAGTACAAATCAGAAAAGTAATTTGCTCGACCGATCCACGGTCGCTGAGACGCTCCTTTGGGCAATTGTTCGTTCGCGCGCGTGATGTAGGTGGAATTCAGATTTAGTATCGGACCTGGCTCAAGTTGCGTCGAATCTGAGAGATCAGGACAAGCAACGGAATAGCCTTTGCTTTCCATGAGCTTGAGCAGTCGACAAATAGACAACATACTAGCATCCGCACCCAATGTCCAAGAGGCATTGGTATATCCCAGCAGAATGGCAGCATTAGGAAGGTCTTGGAGCATCAGGCCATTCCACATATACTTCTTTGACATATCAAACTTCTCTCCATTCACTATTATGCGAATACCACCCGCCAGCTGCAGTTTGAGGCCCGTTGCTGTGATGATGGTATCAGCGGATAGCCTTTGACCTGAGGTCAACTGGATCCCATCCGAGTCAATTGTTTCGATGATTCCTGTCTCCACCTGAGCCTTTCCAGAGCAAAGGGCTTTGAAAAAGTCACCGTCAGGGCAAAGACAAAGTCTCTGTTCCCATGGGTTGTAGCGTGGGTTGAAATGTGGATTCAACGGAATGCCCAAGGGAAGTTGTGCTGAAGTCTTCTTTTCGATAGCCGCCCTCACAGCAGCAGGATACCATCGGGAGAATCTGAACATAAACTGGGCGGAACCAAGATACCACATTCGGTTAAAGTAGTACGCGATCTTGGTTGGTAGAATCCGACTCAGCCAGCCTCTCTTCATAGAATTTGGAAGGGAGAAAATGTAAGACGGGCTCCGTTGCAGCATGGTAACGCGGCTTGCCTTTTTGGCTAAATTCGGGACCAGAGTTACGGCGGTAGCGCCACTGCCGATGACGATAATGCTCTTGTCGGTATAGTCAAAATCTTCTGGCCAGAATTGCGGGTGAATAACATTGCCTTGAAAGTCTTGTATACCAGGAATCATCGTCTGTAGCGCCTTATGATAGTCGTAATAACCTGTTCCAAAGATCAGAAACTTCGCAGAAAACCGAGCTTCGGTACCATCATGGTCAACATCAATCGTCCACATCTGTTGATCCCATTCAGCAGATTGCACACTATGTTGAAAAAGAATGTGAGGGGTGATATTATGGGCGGTTGCAGCATCTTTGAGATATGCTACAATATTCTTTCCTTCGGCAATCGGGTTTGGCTGATTCCAGGGATACCAAGGGAAACCAAAGGTATAAAGATCAGAGTCAGAGCGAATTCCCGGATAGCGAAAAAGGTCCCAAGTGCCCCCTATGCTATCCCGAGCTTCTAATATGGCATATCGGTAATCAGGGAAATCACTCGCTAGCCGATATGCAGCATTGATACCAGAAATACCAGCGCCAATGATTATGCCGTCGAAAGAAGGAGTTGCGCTTGCAGGAGTAGCTTCGCCCATTTTGAAAACAAATCAAGTAGGAATACAAAGGTAGCTTGGAGTCGAAAATAGGATGTAACTTTGAATTATATTCAAAAGGGAGAATATGAGTACGAGCTTCTCCAGGGTCCTTATTTTAGGTCAGTCTATCTTCTAGCGTTCTTGGTTTTGTGCTGCCGAGCTCCGAGGTTAATTAATTATGCACCGGCATTCCAAGGTTTCATTCATTGTCGCATTTGGAGCCGGAACTCAGCGGATAAAATGAGGTATATGTAATAGTGGCAGTTTTTGCGCGGATAGGCTTTAACCCCCGCTCGCGGTTCATGAAGGCCATTTCCTTTTTTTTGCCTCTCAAGCGGGGAAGATACAGAAACTGGAAAGCATGAAACGTGATATTCAACAAATTACGGTGGGAAATGGGCTTTGCTGGAAGTTCATTTGTCAAGAAGAAGCATATCCCCGGCTTTCGGAAGTCATGCACCGAGGCATTAGTCTAACCGCCTCGGTCATCTCGAACTCCGAGCACTCATAAGATAGGCTCACTTAGTTTGGACCTTTAAGAATGGCTTTATTGGACTCGATTAGACACCAAACCAGACAGCCCTCCTTGCTATATTCCGATAGGACACAACGCATACATGATGTCGGTGGCCAAGTTCATTCTCGATACGTCTCAGGGGCTTATTGACAAGCTCCCTGACCAATTGCAGCGCATTATTCTTCTCCCGTCTATACGGAAAGGACTCGCGGTTCTTGCGGCACTGCAGTTTCTTAGGAGTTTCAATAGTTACCTTTCCCGAGGAGCACAAAACAATTGGGTGCGGCTCGCGCCGTGGGATCCTTCTAAAGAACTAGTGGTTCTTACAGGCGGTTGTAGTGGAATTGGGAAGCAAATCTTGGCAGATTTGACGAATTTGAAGGTTAAAGTGATCATCCTAGATGTTAAAGAGCCAACATTTGCACTACGTATGCAAGACCGGTAATCTTATGACCTGGCACATTGGCTAACTTCGGACATAGCCGCCAACGCAACCTTTTACCAGGCAGACATCACGTCTTCCTCGATCCTGAAAGAGGTAGCTGGTAAAATCCGAAAAGAACATGGCAACCCCACAATTCTCATCAACAACGCTGGCGTCGCAGATGGGGGCACCATTCTTGAAAAGTCGGAAGAATCGATACGTTTGACTATGGATGTTAACCTGCTTTCACATTTCTGGACGGTTAGAGAGTTTTTGCCCAGTATGATCCAGAAGGACCACGGGCATATAATCACCATCGCAAGCGCGACGAGCTTCATTACAATTGGTCAGATTGCAGACTACACGTGTTCAAAAGCCGCTGCTGTTGCTTTCCACGAGGGCTTGACGCAGGAATTGAAATATTGGTATAAATCAAAGAAAATCAGAACAAGGTGAGTCACTGCTTCTTAGAAATGATATTCACTCTATTCCACAACGATCAATCATGCAATCGAAAGGGTTACTGACGACAGCGACATAGTATTGTCCATCCCTTTTGGGTTCGTACTCCTATGATTGATGATATGATCAAGGCAGGGCACAAGTTCGGTGAGCCAATCATGAGTACAGAGGAGGTGTCTTCTGCTATTGTTAAGCAGATTACGTCTCAAAATGGAGGCCAGCTTATTGTGCCTAACTCTCACGCACATATAACACTACTGCGTGCTTTGCCCTGTTGGATTCAGGAGAGGGTGAGAGACGGGGCCTCAAAGAATTTTGTGAGGCTTCGTGAGCTTCAGGACCAAATGAAGACCGAAAACCGCCTATAACCGACAGATCTTAAAACAGCAAAAGTTGCAATTTCCAATATTTTGGAGAAGAAGCATATACCTGTCCGAGCTATACGATGGTTGGTTGCTTGCTTGATGTCATTGCCCTGAGACGATGAACGGAGTGGAAAGGGTGTCTCTTGGCTATACTGCATACAATGCACACACCTCTGTATCTCAATTCATTCCCTACGTACACTACATAAGGCTTATCGGCCATTCGAATCTCCACATACCTAAGCTAAAGGCAGCACTAACCGCTGTCCTGGTTGGCTATCGGTTACCCGAGCCGATAACTAGTAGGATGTTCTGATAACCCTTGATTAGTATGTAATCTATACCCCAGATATCATGGTACAGCCGCAAAGCCTCAGTGGGGTTGCCAGATTCCTCAACTTGTCCGTGCGCCTTTCAAACAGAAACTCCGATTGGATTGAACATTCTCATTTGTCCTTATCATTGTTCCTATATCATCAACTCCTTCTTTAAGGTCTATTTAGTCTATAGTTGTTTGGGTTTTGTTGCAAATTTATTTTAATTTGATAGGCAGAAAGTTCATAGCGCTGCAGTTATGATGGAAACATTTTATATTAAAAAGAAACGTTGTAAAACCAGATTCAAGTATTGCGATAACTAGTGCGTGCCCCTGTTCCTGAGAAAAGCCCCACTTGAAGTAGCTATATCTGGTATCGCAGCTGTGGAACGTTTGGAAAACTCCCAGTCGGGTCTCGGCAAACCCTCCGAGTCCCCTCCTCCCCCCAACCAAACCGAGGTAAGTTGGAACTTCCCCTCATTGTTTTCCTACAAGAAAAAAAACCCGCTACTGCTAACCCCATTAATATCGCTTTGTCTTCGTAGTTTATTGGCCAATGATTCTGGTATTTGGGGTTTCTCGATGATACCTACTAGTAGGTAGGCCTTGCACTTTGAACGCATACTTGCCTTATATCACAACTGACCACCAAGATTTCCCCTCTGGCCAGCGAGACTGCGTTTCCGAGTCTCCCATATTTCCAGCCTCGACCATTAAACTCTTCCGAAGAGGTTTGCAATGGCCTTGGAAGACAAGAAGGGGTCCGACCTCGATGCCCATGAGCATGATATATTTGCCATGGTGGAAACTCAGGACTCACCCACATCTCCGCCTGCTTTTATCATCGACGGTGGTCTCCACGGCTGTCTTCAAGTCCTTGGTGCCTTTTTAATTCTGTTCAATGTCTGGTGAGTTGAACCCATATGTTGTGCTTGAAGTAGATCCGAGGGGCTTATTGTATAAAAGGGGAATTAACTTTGCGTTCGGAACATTCGAGAGTTTCTATGCTCTTACTTACATTCCTTCATTCACGGCATCTTCCATATCGTGGATTGGTACTATTCAATCTTGGCTGCTGATTGCCTGTGGTATCTTTTCCGGTCCGCTTTTTGATCGCGGCCACTACGCGGTCATGCTCCTATCCGGAAGTGTTTTGGCCGTTTTTGGGTTCATGATGCTCAGTCTCTCTCATAAATACTACGAGATTTTTTTAAGTCAAGGTGTATGTATGGGGCTCGGATTCGGACTGTTATACACACCAAGTATTGCATTGGTCAGTCGCTCTTTCACACGCAGACGAGCTTTGGCGCTGGGTGTAGCCACAAGCGGTGCACCTGCAGGAGGCATCGTCTATAACGTCATGTTCAACCAACTTATCCTGAAGACAAGTTTTGCCTGGACGGTCCGCATTATGGGGCTAGTGATGTTGGTCTTGTTTACTGTCGCTGCTGTTCTTCTCTTCTCCCAAAGAAAAGCGATGGAAAACATTGATGAAAGCCGACCAAGAAAGCTCATTGACCTGAGGGCATTCAAGGATCTCCCTTTTTGGAGCTTCACCTTGGCCAACCTTTTAATCTACCTCGGGTATATAACGCCCTATTATTACATTCCGACTTATGCGCAGACGACGCTACACACATCACAGTCGCTGGCTTCATATGTACTCGTGATCTCACAGGCTTCATCAATAATCGGCCGCGTTGGTACAACTTGTTTAGCTTACTACTACGGCTCAATGGTATCATGGATTCTTTGTGCGTTGCTCTCCGGCATTCTATGTCTGAGCTGGATAAGTGCCAACACTCTTGCGCGTTTTATCCTTTATTCGGCATTTTACGGTGAGCAAGTCTCTTTCGTGTTGGTTGTCAACAGATGTGTCTAATGCAGTATTATAGGTGGTATATCTGGTGCCCTGGTTCCTCTTCCGCCAAGTGTATTTTCACATGTCTGTCCAGATTCCAAATCCCTGGGAACTTGGTTCGGAATGGCGCAAAGTATCAGCAGCATTGCGTCGCTTACGGGACCGCCAATCGCCGGAGCACTCGCTTCCATTGGCTCTCGGAGTAGTAAAAACCTCAATTTTCTCGGCATTCAACTCTTTGGTGGCATTACCATGATTCTTGGTGCATTTGAATTGATGCTCTTGTGGTATTTACTTCGCAAGACCAGAGACAAGAAGGGTATATTTTGAAGTACATAATTGTTGATGGTTCTTCAAACTCCAAAGATAGCTCATCGGTGTCAAACTTAACCTGAAGCTCCACAAAAGCCAAATGTTATACTTGTTTTGAGAATGATATATCCTTAACGTAAGAGGGAAAACAATTTGAACTCGAAACCAGTACCGAAACTCGACATCGGCTTGGGAGAAACCCTTATCCATGGATATCGGATCCTTCGAATCACCGATCTCTACGTCTTAGAAATATATCCTGCCCAGTAAAAGGATTTAACCCAGAATTTCCAAGTTTTTCACTGTCCCCCTGGGCAAATCATACTTTCGTCGTTGATTACCCTAGTCTATCATCAAATTACTGAAAAAGCCATTTCAATAATTGCCAGTACTCGGCCAACTTCCGGACTTAGGCCAAGCTATTCCTGTACCTAAGGCTGTCTCGGCGTTCGGTAGTGGCAGCTCGGAGGTCGGCAGACCCTAGACTAGATCTCAATACACCGATCATCATATCTCTATAATGAACCTACATTTTGTAAATGGAAGAACGCAAAAATTAATAACAGGTGTAGGTGGAGCCAAATATACGAATCGGTAGAATTACTGTCCAAGAAACTACGATAGATCGCCTGAGGAGCGAGTTAGACGTAGTCAATTTCCTATTACTTTCCCGAACTCCGAGCTAAATGGAGACGCGACCGAGGGATGCCATGCTGCCTTTTTAGGGCGACCATGTGCTAGCCCGGTGAGATACACGCCTAATACTTTCGAAAAGCTTTTCTTGTTGAATACTGAAATCGGATACGGCTCAACTTCATCCCGGCTTTGTACATTACGAACTTTGCTGTAGTAGTTTCGAGCCGTGTCAACGAAATTGCCACGGCTTCATACTTAAGTTCAGGGTATTCTCACTTCTAATATTGGCAATTTCTCTGAAGTGCTATGAATTTTGTCTTCAATTATGGCTCTTACTTTTGTGAATCAGCTATATCTAGTGCCTGCTAGTCTAGCAAGTTTCTTTGTGTGCTATCACGCCCAGCCAGAATACTTTCACGCTCTTTCAACTTCAGGCGTGGTCTTGAATTTTATCTTCCTACACCTGATCCTATGGGCTATATTTATCTTGGAAATTTATCCAAGATTTATATGTCCTCTTCGATCCCTTCCCGCGCCAAAGGTACGTCATCATCTCTCCCACTGCCTTTCAGAAAGTCACAACTGATATGTGATTGCTTTTTTCTGTTAATAGGGTGGCTATCCTCTGGTCGGATATGGATTCAGCCGGTTTAGGAAGCCTGTTGGATCGGATCATCTTAGGTTCATACGCGATGTTCCCAATACGGGTTTGATACGCTACAGGGGGTTTTTTAACAAAAATAACATTCTCTTGGTTAGCGCTGAAGCACTTTCCGAAGTTCTAGTCAAGCGACCCTACGACTTTGTTAAGAACGATGGTGCACGCGACTTTATGAGCGCTATTCTTGGGAAAGGACTTGTGACGGTTGAAGGCGATGTTCACAAATTCCAGCGGAAACGACTTCTTCCTAGTTTTGGCTTCCGAAGTATTAAGGAGCTTTATCCTCTGTTCTGGAAAAAGTCAGCGCAACTGGTACAGTGTATGGAAGCCGACCTCTTTCAAACCTCTGAAAAGGGTGCCGAGGCTATAACCGACATGAATTTCTGGTCAACGAAAGTGACTCTCGATATGATCGGCGTGGCGGCCCTCGGTCGCGATTTTAATACACTGGAGAATTCCGACGACATTCTTGTTCAAAGCTATGAGGAGCTTCTAGATCCCACCCCTGGAAAAATTGCTCTTTACATTCTGACCAGCTGTCAGCTTCCTTTTCTCAATAAATTCATTCCTGGGAAGGTTGAAAAACGTTTTCACCTGGCAACGGCTACCTTGAGAGAGACCTGCTTCAACTTTCTTCGGGAAAAGAGGCATGATTTAGCATCTGATAAAGGCATCTCAACAGATGTTTTGACAAAGCTTATTGAAACGAATGAGTTTGCAGACATTGAGTTGGTTGACCAACTTTTGACTTTTATCGCTGCTGGGTAAGTCCTGCTCATATGCCCTGAAGACATTGCGGTAGCGAACTAACACATGGAGTTTTCAGGCATGAAACTACTTCTTCTACATTTGCATGGGTCACTTACCTTCTGGCTCGTCATCCTGAAATTCAGTCTTGCTTACGCGAAGAGCTTCGGACACACATACCACGCGACCTGATTGCCGAAGACATCGATATTTCTACCCTTCTCGAAGGTCTCCCTCTTCTGAATGGAGTGATCAACGAGTCGCTTAGACTGTATCCAACCGTTCCGTTGACCATGAGGAAACCTGTCAAGCCCACAACCATACTTGGCCAACATATACCCATGGGAACGGAGATATTTATCGTTCCCTGGTCAATTAATCGGTCTCCTGAAACCTGGGGTCCAACATCCGAAGTTTTCAACCCTGAGCGTTGGATTGATACCACTACTGGAAAGCCAAACAATACGGGTGGAGCAGCGAGCAACTACTCAATCATGACGTTCTTACATGGACCACACACTTGCATCGGTCAGGGTTTTGCAAAGGGCGAACTCAGATCGCTGGCCGCTCATGTTGTTGCGGCATTCGAAATTGCCATGGCCTACCCTGAAAAAACTCCCATTCCAGCAGGGTTGGTTACAACTAAGCCTGAGGGGGGTATGTGGGTAAAGTTGAGGCGTGTTGAGGGGTCGAGTAAGAAGCCGAAACAAAACGCTTTAACATGATTTTAATGGGCGACCTGATATTTGGAAAGATTCTGGTATAGCCAGTCATTTTATCCTTAACTAGACTTTGTGCCGCAATAGATGTCAATTTAAGAGCGCATTGTGTATTTTTGCTTTATCTTATTTGGCTTTTTGACAATGAATTAAAGATACATATCTTCTTGCCATTATTTCTTCGGCGTAGACAATGCCAATTGTTGGGTCGTCAAAAGCTAGGAAGAAATCTGAGGAATCATGATATCGAACAGATCTGAAAAGTCAAACCCAAATGGGAGATTGTCGTCGGCGGAAGGTTGAGCGCGTATGACCGGATAGAATAAGGAACTCGGCGAGAGGTCCTCATCTGTTGACATCATCTCATCTAAAGCATATATCTCAGGTGTATCTGATTTAAAGATTTATTAGCTCAGAATAAGGATACTGGAGTCAGATAATGGTAAAACTAAATCATATTGACTTACTATGAAAGTTCCGGCAGTTGCCATTCAATCCTACTGGTACAGGTACTTGCTCTCGCGGCATAGTCAGGAAATCGGATTGAGGTTCGGACCTAGAAGGCGGTTGCCCATAAAGCGAATTCTGAATGAAGTCGCTGGCGATATGAGCGAAGCCCGTCAATTTCGAGCTACTGAGTGAAGCCTCGGTCGCCGATTCGAGTCGCAGGAAGTACGCCGCCGCAACATCCATGAGGGCGAGATTAAACTCTGTTTCAGGGTGAAGTGGATTGAAAACAATAAAATCGAATATCACAAACATGGCTGATATCGGTACCACACTGAGCATCCTGCTCGCTGTCAGAAACTTCACGAAAAGCATCGAAACCGTCAATCACTTACCAGAGGGGAGTATACGGCTGTCTGTCGATATACCGGGTTGATTGAATCACCAGACGCGATGCACCCAGGAGCTTCTCTTTTGCCTTTCCTAATGAAAGGCTATCTTTGCTTACGTGTAACCGTAAGCGGCACAGAGAAATAAGAAGAGCATAATAGGCGTAGTGGAGCCGTAGAACCATAACTCCCAGAATGGGCTGATCTTTGTAGTGCATGGGGTGGTATGGCTGCCCAGGACGGAGCCTAGGGGGTAAAGTCGCCTTCCAAGCCTCTAGATCATCACATAGTAATTTTATCGCCAGATCATATTGGTCAGACGTACGCATGATAGCACTGATGGAAAACAGCGAGTGATGCGCCTTGGAAATTAGTCGACTTAGCACAATACGCCCATGAAAAAAGTTGTACCCGGCAAATGTCGCTTCAGGGGTATCGGGACCGGGCATCCAATGTCATGGTCCGCCAATAGCTAAAATAAATGTTAGGTTAACTGACACAGATTCTTCTTTGATATAACACTCACTGGGCCTCTACTGCACAGGAGGCAAGATAATCTTTCTAGGCAGTAAACAACCCAAAAGGTTCTGCAGCAAGATGTCTCTTTTCCATTCACAGGAGCAAGATGATAACCCAGACAATGAGCCATTCTAGCCGATTCCGTGATTAGGGTCTCCATGATTTGGAGGCACGACATATTCAAAGCGAAGATTGCCTATCAATATATTGAGTTAGATCGAAGCGTAACCAGTGATCCTCGAACACGAATCTACTGACCATCGCAGTGATTGCCTGTCTGCCATCAGCATTGAACAAGTATATTCAGGATATAGCCCATACCTGAAGGTTAATGAGGCTGTCACATGGGTGAAGAATATCTGAAAGTAGTCCCAGCGAGACTTGATAAAACTCCCAGGCTTGTCCTTGGCCCGGATGAAAGGAGCCTCGCCCTACTTGTTGGCACCCTAGCGCCAGAACTGCATAATACAGCGCCGAGAGCGAAGGATTCGCCGAGATATCTCTAGCTTTGTTAAAATTGTGAATACCATCTTTGAACTCTTTCTGATCCAGGAAGGGGTAAATAGGATGCACATGCTCAAAATAGGCTATATCTTTCATCAGTCAAGTAGAAAACCGAGGCGGAAACTGACTAACCACATACCACTTATATAGGTCGAACAGGCCTGAGAATCAACGAGCACGGGTTGCAAAGGTAGAATAAATTTGATGGGCGTTCGTGTTTTGTGCATCTTATCGGCTAAATCGGCTTCATTATCCTCGAGAAGATCTTGTAACTTTGTGTGTCCGAGGCGTTCCGAGATAAGACGAATCTTACTCTCTGAGAAGAACGCCAGATTGGTACTTGTGACTTTTTCTCGTCAGCAGTATTCGGCCGAATTTGAAGGGGCCGAAAAGAGATACTATGGTTCTCATGGGCCTTTAAAAAATTTAGTATCTATTTATCTGAAAGTAGAAAAATATGTATCAGGGAGAAGACGAAACAAATAATGTGGGGAAAAAAAGTGAAGTTGAGTATAATTACAGAGAAGGAACAAGGATAGAGGGGAGGAGTTCTAGAATAAAAGACTTACTCTGAATACAGATGTGCTGCTATTTGTAAGCCCGGTTGATTGTGGGTCGGTCAAAACGCGATCTATATAGAGATCGGGGTAAAGCTGCAGGCTGGGTCGGAGGTCATCTTGCGAATCCCGGATTGAAGAGGGCTGTTGAGGTTCTGGGATGTATCAAAGACCATTTGTGAGTGCTTAATTCGGCGGGACTAGAAGAGGATATGATACCATAAGCACTGGGGTTGGACCGTCGCAACAGGCGCTTGGTGTGGCCAAAGTGGCATGATTTGTTTCGCTTCTGTGTTAAGCATCAGCCACTAGACCCAGCTGCGGGGATTTGTAAATCTCCACTCTTACTGCACAGCCCTCGCAGGTAGTCGAAGTAGGAGGCACTAAAAGTACTGAGCTTCAATGTTCCTATCAGTTTATAGACAGGGTGAGGCGGCACACCTATACAGCGCACCTTGCGCGCTTTGCAGCGATCACACGAGCGTGATGCGCGTGCAGCAAGACTTTTCTCGTTGTGTGCCATCGGGTTGTGTGCCATCGGGGATTTCTCCGCTGGCAAGTAGGGGTATGACAGCCTGACAGGTCGGCTACGAGAATCTGGGATACATCGTACGGAGTAGGAGGATCGGACTCGGACTCGGAATTGGAGCGATGTCGGGTGAGCTGCTGACTCATCTCCGCCGAGTTCCGGTTTCCGATCCGACGTCCGAGTTTACTTCCCCTATCAAACACAGCCGAGGGGCATGAAACTCAAAACAACTAAAATAAAGCGGATCTGCCTACAGAAAGGGAGTATCTAACCCTGGTTGCAACTTGGGGGGCATGTGTTTTAGTCCATTGGCCGAGGTAACTTGAAAAGTCCTCCAGAAATCGTACAAGCGACTTGAAAATGATCTCTATATTATTAATAATCTATAATAATTGATCTCAGCCAGAAGCCTTTCTAATATTCTTTGTTCCGAGTCATCACAGCCAGGTGTTTCTGGCATCCCTGGCATTCAGCATGGCAAACACGTATGGCTATTGCGATCCAACCTTTACCTCCGTCCGCGACCTCCTCCAGCAGAACATTGCCAACAACAGTGAGGTCGGCGCTTCTCTCTGTGTCAACATCGACGGCAGGAATGTAATCGACTTATGGGGTGGTCATTTCGACCCCGAACGCACTAAGCCTTGGAAAAAAGACACCGTGACGGCCGTGTGGTCTTGCTCCAAGGTGGTCTGCAACCTAGCTGCACTCACACTAATCGACCGCGGCCTACTAGACCCAAATGAAAATGTGGCTGCATACTGGCCTGAGTTCGCCGCTAGAGGCAAGGAGAATGTCAAAGTGTGGCAGATAATGAGCCACTCTTCTGGCGTATCTGGCTGGGAGCCTCCAATCTCCTGGGAAGATGTCTTTCATTTGAGGAAGTCAACCGAGAAGCTTGCAGCCCAAGAGCCTTGGTGGACTCCTGGTGAGCGAAATGGATATCACTTGGTGAATCAGGGTCATCTCATTGGAGAGATTGTGCGACGTGTGAGCGGCAAATCGTTGACGCAATTCATCTCTGATGAACTTACAACGCCCTTGGGTGCGGATTTCCAACTTGGCGTGTCAGAGAAAGATTGGTCTCGCACAGCGGACGTTATTCCTCCCCCGCCTCGGGATTTAGAGGGAGTTGAGCTTAATCCTGTAGCACTCAAGGTGTACGCAGGGCCTCCTATGGATGCGACAATCTCTTCTACTCCTGCCTTTCGAGGTGCTGAGATCGGTGGTGCGGGGGGGATTCTCGAACGCGCGCGCATTGGCGCGCATTGGCTCTATTGTCTCTTTAGGTGGAGCTGTCGATGGAAAGAAGTATCTTTCTGCCGACACTATTGATAAGATGATGACAGAGCAAATTTCTGGCCATGATATGGTTACATTTCTATATATACGCTATGGTTTGGGAGTTGGCTTGCCCGTTCCCCAGACGTTTCCGTTTATTCCGGAAGGACGAATCTGCTACTGGGGGGGGTTGGGGCGGCTCTCTTATGATTATGGATCGCGATCGTCGGATGACCATTGGATACGCCATGAATAACATGGGCTCTGCTGTTATTGGAAATGATCGATCACAGGAATATGTCGAAGAGATCTATAAGATCCTCGATACTTTGGGTTCTTCACCATTCTCGGGATAATTTGGGATCCAGGAACTGGAAATTTCTATTTACGCTACTTTATAAGAAGAAATCAAGAAATTCGAGTCATTTCTCATTCAAGGCATCTGAACCAGACATAGAGCCTGAGCAACGAATAACTTTCGAGACATAAGTGGGCAAAACATGCGCTTCAGCCAGAAAGTGGACCTGCATTGATTTAGCTCTGAACTTCAGTATTTCTTCTGCCTTGGCACCTTTCGATTACTGGTGCTCAAATTCTCCACATGTGGATTTGGAGTCGGCTCTGGCTCGTATTCGGGTTCGGATTCGTGTTTGTGCCCACTGGCACTGATCACAATTGGAACCAACATTCCACATCAAGATTTATCTTAAAAAACCAGATCAAACACAAGCTACTCAAGCACCTGATTCCAGATCCAGACGTTAATCCTTACATCGAGTATCCAATGACTTTCATGTCGAACAAAAGCATTGCTATCCTAGGATGCGGGGGTATGGGTTTGGCGATTGCCCGTCGCCTTGGTGCTGGTCGACAGCTATATGTGGCCGATTTCTCGACAGAAATTCTAGCTGCCGCGCGGGAAACCTTGACAAACGATGGCTATTTGGTTGAAATTATGCAAGTAGATGTGGCGGACTACGAATCCGTCAAGCGGTTTGCACATGCCGCTGCTTCGCATGGACCGATTGAAGCAATCATCCACACGGCTGGCTTGTCCCCGTCCGCAGGCTCTGCACAAAGAATCCTCGAAGTTGATCTTATTGGCACCGCCAACTCCCTGGATGCTTTTGTCGAGGTAGCGAAGCCTGGAACAAGTATGATCTGCATTGCGAGTATGGCCGGCCACATGGGATCGGGCTTGCCATCGGAGCTGGAGCACCATCTTGCAACAGCGTCGAGAGACCAATTACTGGAACATGCCGCTCTGAGTATCGATGTTGCAGACACTCATGGTCCCGCACGAGCATATGGGATATCGAAACGTGGGAATATATTGCGCGTACAAGCTTCAGCAAAGGCATGGGGACGCGTTGGGGGGAAGAGTCAATTCCGTTAGTCCCGGTGTCATATCAACAGGCGCGGGACGCCAGGAGATTGAGGGTCCAGCTGGAAAATTTATTGCTTCGAGCCCCGTTAGTCGTGTCGGAACGCCTCAGGATATCGTTAATGCTGTTTCGTTCCTGGCTAGTGCGGAGTCATCTTTCATCACAGGTAATGACATTCTTGTGGACGGTGGTGTCGTCTCATCATTGAAATGGGGTACTGGGAAAGACTGAGGGCCACTCAGTACGAACACTTCAATTGGAGTTATAGTCAGACTGTGCTACGCAGGACTATCAATATCTCCAGGGTGGGAGATATTGTGATTATAATCCACCGGATCCAGGTTCTTAAATCTCAGGGAGGAAGATGAAGTAATGTGGTCTCTATATTATATCTTCAGGATCGGGGGGTTTAAGAAGACATATCAGTACATTTGAAGTTTAGATTTAATGCATACCAACAGCAAATAAGGACTGCAGCGGATAAATTATGTACAGGGGAAAACGAGCATCTAGGCATACCGGGCTTATTTGCATCTGTAAGATCATTAATACCTTGCGGATTTACCTTCCCTCACATTTATGTCTACAGTCCAGAAACTTGGTTTTCCCATTTACACTACATTTGTAAGAAGAAGAAATCAAGAGATCTGGGTCATTTCTCATTATTCATAGCATCTGAACTAGACAAAAAGCCTGGGCAACGAATAACTCATGACATCCAGATGCTCCTTGGAAATATCTCCGCGGGGCTATATCCCAGCCTGATTTGTATTGTAAATGGCTAAATGCAGGACACAGAGCGGAATTGTCCTTATGGCTTGCAATGCAAGGTCGCAAGATAAGCTTGTCAATAACTAGTGCCGGGTCTGATCCTCATGTAAAGAACAAAGAAAGGAATCAGCGGCATGTTGTCTGGCGCATCGGATAGGGTTCATCGATGTCTTTTATCCTCTGCTCTCCCTCCGCAACGGCTAAAATTAACTGTATATTCCCCACTCACTCGCGGAGTGAAGCCTGTTCACCCGCGGCGAAGGGATATATTTCTTTTTTTGTGGTTTTGTGTTGGTTTTTCGTTATCTTTCGTAGAAATCATCAAGCAAAGCAAAGAACGATGACCGGAGTTCCTGCGGCCAAGATCCAGGTGGATATTCGCAAAGCAGTATCTCATTGCCCAAGACTGTGCAAGGGTAATGATCGATTGAAAGCACCTAGCGGCGGACGACGATGCCCTGGCGACGGACGCCACGGCGAGCACGGCGGTACTCCTCATCGCTATCCTCGGATTCGGAGCAGCTGGCCTCGGAGGACTCGGAGATGTAGCCACAGCGGCTACCACCGCAGTCCAGCTTGACGCGGTCACCCTTGCGAGTGATGCCGTAACGCTCACAGCGGCACTGCACGGGGGGGATCGCTCATGGAGGATAGAGAGGACGGCGAGGTCGAGCCCGAAGAGCGGGAAGACAGGGAGGAACCGGCGGAGCTGGGTGGGCTGTTGGAGTAAGAGTACTCATCGGACAAGCGGGAGCCCGCGAAGCGACGGGTGAGGTCATCGACGGTGGGAGCGTACTCGGCCTCGCGAAGTTGACGGGAAGCGTAGGGCTTGGAGGGCTTGGGGTGCTGGATTCTGGAGGGCGAGAGAGCGCGGCCAGTAGCGACATTGGCAGAGCCACGGTGAGCCTTGGGGGCCTCACTGCGACGGCTGGACTTGCCACCGGGGACATCGAGGATGTTAAGCTTGCGGCCGGTGGTGGGCTCGACGGTGTACTCGACGGCGGGATCGTGCGAGACATGGTGGCCATCCATGATATAGTAGTACCAGTAGCGGCTACCGAGTTGCAGCATGGAGGATTGGAAGCGGAACTTGCCCATCCATGCACCTGGCTTGTCCTCGGCGGACAGAGGCAGTTGGCGAGAGTAGTTGTCCCAAGAGCCGACAAGGTGGACGGTCCTGACATTGGACGAGGTGCGCAGAGAAAACTTGAGTTGAACGGCGGCCATTATGAAGACTTGTAAAGGTCAAAAGATGATGCAAAGTTGTAAGATAAAGTATAAAGTTGTCGTAGATAGAGTAAAACAACAAAACTACCAGAGTTGAGTTGATGTTGATGCTCTTTGAAGGGAACCGGTCCACGACAATGAGAATATAATAAGTATATCCGAGCGAGATTAGATTAAAGTTGATTTGTTGATAGAGCTGGCACAGCAAGGCATACGTTGACCGGCAACGATAAGGCGCAGACTGTAAAAGTTGAAAGAATTCGAGTGTAAAAACCGGCGAGGCTGAATAATGGGGTGGGCAAAGACACAGAGAGCGCAGCTCGAACTGTGTGCAGAGTATGATTTTGGTGGGTTGGAAATGTGGCTTAGAAAATGGGGCAGTAATTAGAATAGTAGAATAGTAGAAGAAAAAAAAGAACCTGACAACCAGTGCCGGGGTTCACTCGAAAAATGGGCAGCTCTAACAAACAAACGCTCGCTGAAGAAAGAAAAGAAGAAATCCGCCTGGGCGGTTATGGCCAGTTTTAAGGGAATCGAATCGATCAGCGCTGCAGAATGTTGGCCCCGTCGATGTGGGCGGGTAATTCTCGCGATTCATTGGTGCTTGAGTGTGTTGCGCAGTGATGGGCTGGCTGCAGGGTTGATTCCCCGTCACATCCAATCGATTATGCTGACTTGACGCTCGCGGTGAGACCTAGCATGAGGGGCTGACCGAATCAGATCTCAGGACCCCCATTGTTCACAATCCCGGGTCTCTAGCTGCTGTCAACATCTCTTGTTCTCGGGACGGCCTGCAGGAGGTCTGGCCATGTACCTGGTACAGGGCACCCCAGCCGCATGTTAGAAGGTTATTAGCAGACGAAACCGTGGTTGGAGTGCGGATCAATCCATGTGGAAGGATTCAAGGTCCTCTTTGTAATGAATTAATTGAAATCAATGGAGAAATGCTTTCATGTTGATTGAATCCTCTCCCGCGACGGGACGGAAATAGGTGCAAGTACCAAGTACAACCTGCCGATCCGGTCGCAAATGACATATATTCCGTGTCATCTGGACTCTGATGCGCACAGTCCATTCCTCGTAACTCGGAGAATTTCGCCGACTTGACTGGACTCGACGAGGCACGTCAATCGAAGAGGAAAGTGGGCTGTCCCCGCACGATCCGACCGCCCCAGCCTCTGAATTATCACTTCCTTCAACAAAAGAGGATTCTATACTCCGTATAGTGGATAATTCGAGAATATGACACTAGATTAAACGGAAACATCCATATCCAATCAACACCTCACCACCGCTATTCAGCGGAGGCTCTCTGGCGTAGAATCCTTCTTATCACGTCGTGCAGCGCAGCAGCACTGCATCCTGCTAAGGAAGCCACCAGCACGCCCAGTCCAAGCCCCACTCATAACGAATGAAATCCCTGCCAAAATAAGAGTGATTTATTGGCACGGCAAGACGGGATCCCTCAACGGCGTACAGTTTCTGTCAATATCGTGGCGCCGGGCAGGTCCCAACTGCGAAGAAATACTTGGAGGTGAGCATTTGCCGATGGGACATAGCGTAACTATGCCCATGCTGATTCTCAACAAAAGCGACTGGTCGACTCCGCACAGCCGTAATATCCCAGTTGAACAAGGATATATACTAGATTCAAAGGCCAAGATTTAGCCTAGAATTAGAATCGAACTTTTCTCATGCAGACACAAGTACATACAGCAAGGGTCTACCGGGGTTATAAAATATCGTGTCCTCTTCCACTAGTAGCTTGGAGAAATCTCCAAGTTGTACCAGTATATGTATAGGTAGCCCTGGAGGTAACATTGGAAAGGGACGTTCGAATCTTGTCTGGCTTGACGAAGTCATTTTTTACTTTGAGGACTGCTAAATGGACCGCCCTTTTTGCTAAATGGACCATGGGCCCTTCTGAATCCAGATCAGTATGTGATCTCGATACAAATTTCGATACACTCAATCTATCTCTACAGTAGTACTAGTACTGCAAAAGTTTCTGACTCTCTTTTGTCTACCATCAGTTACTGTCTTCTAATAGTTAGCAGACTAGTACCTACCAAGGATAGAATAGATTAGCTACTCTATTCCATCTTAGGTAGATACTAGTTCACCATAGGAAGGCGGAGACAAGAGAGGTCAACAAGGGAGTAGAAACCTTTACAGCGCTAGAGGTAGATTAAGTGTATCCAAAGTTGTATGGAGATTACATACTAACCTGGATTCAGAAGGTCACATGGTCCATTTAGCAGCCCTCTTTACTTTGGTTTAAATTGCGACTACGCATTCGCTGTGATAAAATCATGTATCACCAAAGCATCGCCGTGGTAGATAACCAGAATGCGCTTCGACACTGTCACGCGCAGCCGGGATGTAATACGATCTCGCAAGCTCATGCAGATTAGAATCCTGTTTACCTTAAGACAGGAGAGTCTTACCATCGATTTGCCAGGTATTGTCCACTACATCCACCTATCTAGACTGCATATTGCCCGGGACTGTTCTATCTCATAACAAGTTCTATGGGGGCTCTCGGGACTCCACTTTCATTATATGCAGAACCGACCTCTCCTTGTCCATTGGCAAAAACCCCCTCCCATCTACCCGCACTTATCAATCATTGTGTATTGGCAAAGGTCGTGACACCGTTGGTCTTATTAGTGAGCATCTAATCCAAGCCTCTTGTAATGATTTACAAAGTCTTCAAACAGCTTCTTAAAAGCCAAGAGGTCCAAATGGTTCAGGAGCTCCTTGCTATAGTCCTGTTCCACATAGCAGAGCATATTGTGGATGTCCCAGGTGATAGCCAGCAGGTACCCCAGCTCTGATTCCCTAAAAACTTGCTCACTCGTGTCTAAATCGCCTGTCTTCCGGTTCCACTGTTCGACATACTCCTCGCAGAAGTGCCTCTTCTCCTCTTCCGTATAAGGCCTGTAGCTGGCCATTTTGCCATCCGGATCAACCCAATTGAACACTTTTTGCATGAAGTGTCCACCGATATCAAAGGCTCGATAGTTTCGGAAGACGAACTCAAAGTCTATTAGGACGATTTTGTTTTCTCCTTTTTTAGGGTTATTCTTCAGTATCACATTCATAAATGCCACATCGTGAATGCACCATCCTTTCTTTCCTTCTATTGACTCCAGCCTGTCTGTTACCCGTCTGATCTTTGAGGCAAAATCGTAATCAATAAGATCGTCCATGCCAATACCCACCTCATGGAAAAGCTTTTTGAGCGTGTCCATCTTATGATACTTTTTAAACTCTCTGGTGATGGCATCGTAATAAATATGAACTGGTGTCTCCTCCAGCTGCGTCTTCATGGAATGGAAAGTGGCATACCCCCTTGCCAAATCGGCTCGAATGCCTGCATCTTCCACATCTTCTGGCTCCAGATTGCGTGCATCCAGAAACTCGTCGACCCTTCCAAACGTCCCGTCCATTGTCTTGAAGAACCCGTAAACCTTGGCACCGAGACCCGACTCACCGTAATCGTGGCATAGTTGTGCCTCCTCGAACTTGCTGGGGGCTAAGCCTTTGAACACTTCGATTATTGTGTCGTGTTCACTGTGGAGTTTGAGGAGAACTTTGCAAAGTCCAAGATCCGCATTGTCTTCAGTCTTTGGCCGTTCTATTGCATAGTTTTGATTGGCTCCGGCAAGTCTTTTGACAATCAGTGTTTCTGGGTCCGCTATCCGCCAGTTGTTCGTAGCAAATATTTGAACGATATCTTTGATGGCAGTCTTAGTCAATGGGCCATCTCGAGGCAGGGCCACGGGGACGATTGTGCAGGATACCATCCCGTCGTGGAGGGTTGGGAGGATAAAATGCTGCGAAATTTCGCTCTAGAGAAAATGATTGCAGGTAAACAGCCAAAGGAATATTATTGAAATAGAAGGGAAAATATCAGTGGCGTACCGAAAAGAGAGCCCAGTTCTATTCTTCCACATGGGATGAGTTTCAAGTGTGTGGTATTCGCTGTTTCAATTAAAATCGATTGCCGCGTCCTATTGTCAGTGATTCTTTCGTCAGTCGGTCGGCATGAGCCAGAATGAGTCACCTTTTGTCATTTCTCACGGCCAATACTAGTTACAATACTACCGTGCTTAGCTAATAATTTAAGAGTGAAAGTTGTGGCATCAGTTTCGGGACACCCTGTAAACAAAAAATATTAAGATGACACAGTATAAATATATTTAAGTTGTTAAATTACTATCTTAATGCCACTAATAAAATTGGGAGAGTGACTTTTAGTTATCACTAGGAGCGGGAATGGTTGCCATTGGGACTGAAGGAAAATATTTCTACCACGTAGTATCAGGTCGGCTTCCCGAAAGCGTTTAGCGTGTTCGATGTCCTGAAATATCTTAACTTGTGGATACATTCAAACGTTCAAGTTTTCTATAAGGGAGAAGGAATAATAAATGAAGAATTCCCAGGGAAAGCTGGTACAGCGATTTTTCTTTTTTTCAGATTGATGGCATCACAATGAGGGCAAACAACTGCACCGAATCATCCCCTTCACCATCACCGAGAACCAATAACAGCTCTTTGAGCACATCCTCAAACGAAATGGAACAAGACTGCAATTTAAATTTCCCAGACGGTGGCTGGCGCGCATGGGGCGTTGTTCTTGGCTCCTGGTGTGCGATGGTGCCATCTTTTGGACTTATGAATACGATTGGTGTGTTTGAAGCTTGGCTGGCAGATCATCAATTAAAAGACTATTCGAAAGCTTCTATAGGCTGGATATTTAGTCTTTATGTATTCTTTCTTTATTTTGGAAGTATACAAGTTGGTCAGAATTCCCGCATGAATATTTTAAATTTCTTGCCTTAGAAGTTGACTTTTAACAGGACCTATTTTTGACGCGCATGGGCTAAAGCCTTTACTGATTCCTGGGTGTGTCAGACTTGTCGCATCATTGATGGTCTTCAGCGTGGCAGAAGGTGTGTTTACTTACAAAGTCGAGCTTGATTCGTCAGTTCAAAGGTGTTTTTTTTTCTAATAAAATTAGAATATTATCAATTCATGCTGGGGTTCAGTGTTCTTGGCGGTATTTCATCGTCTATGGTTTTCACACCTAGCGTTGGTTGCATAGCTCATTGGTTTCTTCGACGTCGCGCTTTGGCTACGGGAGTAGCAGCGACTGCTGGAGGAATCGGGGGTATCATCTTCCCTGTTCTGGTCTCCAATCTCGCCGGGAGTCTAGGATTCTCATGGGCCATTCGAATAGTTGGCTTCATAAGTATTCTATTTTGTGCTCTCTCTGTGGCGCTTTTGAGGACCCGAGAACCCTGCTTAAATTTGGTACAGAACGGGAAGATAGATATCAAATCTTTGGGTGAACTCCGATTCTCATTGTTAACAGCTGCCATCGTGTTGATCGATTTCGCTCTATTGATTCCGTTGACTTATCTACCATCATATGCCCAATCTCGCGGCCTGGGCGATTCATTTGCATATAACCTATCACCTATTTTGAACGCAGCGTCAATATTCGGACGGATTGTCCCGGGATATTTTGCTGACCGGTTTGGGCGCTTCAATGTTATGATCGTGACAGCATTCGTCTGTTCGGTGATTACTTTCGCTCTCTGGCTTCCATCCCAGTCCAATCGCGCGGCCATTTTGGCATACGCTGTGCTTTTTGGATTTTGGAGTGGCTCTGCAATTAGTCTCTCCCCTATTTGTGTTGCACAAATTTCCAAAACCGAAGAATTTGGAAGACGTTATGGTACTACCTATTTTCTGGTCAGTCTGGGTACCCTTGTTGCTATTCCAATTGCTGGGGAACTTTTAAAGGTTCAGCCACCAAATGGGGGACTGGATAACTATTATGGCTTAATTGTTCTTTGTGGGCTGGCTTATTCTTGTGCATGTCTTTTTTTTATTTTATCTAGAGCTGTGAGCGTTGGTTGGGGATTCAAAGTTTTTTAGTACTTTAGATTAAACGTTGACAGCAAACTCGAGTCCATGACTTTTGAACGCTGATATTAATATTCTGGGATTATCCTAAATAAGATCTAGTATCTCTTAGCAGCAGGCTTATGAATTACACGAAGAGTGTAGGCGGTTGCGCCAGTTTCGGAACATACTGTACAAGCTAGACTATACAAAAAAAGCAATATGATCCATTGACTATGTATGACCAGATGAAAGAAGATGCGATGTGCCAACCTCCAGACGCCGCAACAACCCAGCGGACGCATTTTTCGAAATCATTAAAATACAATAAAGAGAGAGAGAGATAGAAAAAAGAGATAGAGTCAAGTCCACAACAGAATTACCGCACCGATACACCCGACCGGTCGGTAAACATCCGAGCGGCAATGTTCATCGAGGCCAGCTCTTGGAACAGAAGCTTGGCGGCATAGGGAATGTGTACCTGCGAGATACGGTGCTTGTTGTTGCAGAGACGGCACTCGAATAGACCCTTCTTCAGTTTTCTGTTCGCGTGATTAGTGAACTGTTTGTATATCGGGGAATGCAGAGAAAGGGAAAGGGGGGACGAAATATAGACTTACGCAATGGGGGTCATCAGACCGCAGTCGTCGCAAATGTGGACTCGGAAAGGATCCGAAACGTCAAAGAGACGCTCCTTCAAGAATGCACTGGCGCCATGCGCAATCATACAATCACGTTCCATCTCTCCGAAACGCAGACCACCGTCACGGGCACGACCTTCAACGGGCTGGCGGGTGAGAATCTGGGTAGGACCACGGGCACGGGCGTGAATCTTGTCGTCGACCATGTGGCGCAGACGTTGATAGTAAGTGGGACCCAGGAAGACCTGCGCTACCAGCTTCCGACCGGTGTGGCCGTTGAACATCACCTCGAAACCGCGAGATTGGTAGCCGTGCTCACGGAGGAGACGAGAAACCGAGTCGACAGTGACATCGGTGAAGGGAGTAGCATCACCCTCGAAACCACGCAGAGCTGACACCTTACTCAATTGACACTCGATCAAGTGAGCAATAGTCATACGAGAGGGAATGGCGTGGGGGTTGATAATCAGATCAGGCACAACGCCCTCGCGGGTAAAGGGCATATCCTCCTGTCGGTAGGTGATACCAATAGTACCCTTCTGACCGTGACGAGAGGCGAACTTGTCACCAATCTGGGGAATCTTGGTGGTACGCATACGGACCTTGACGAACTTGAGGTCGTCATTGCCAGTGGAGATCAACACCTGATCAACAATACCATTCTCAGTACTTCGCAGCGGTGTGGACACGTCGATTTTGGTGTGGGCCTTAGTACGCTGGCCAAGTTCCTCTGCGTCGGCCGCCAGAGGCGCGGTCTTTCCGATAATGATATCCTCTCCGGAAACACGAACACCGGGGGCGATAATTCCATCATCATCCAGCTTGTCGTAGGTACCCTTGCGCATACCGATTGTATCAGAGCGCAGCGGCTTCTCGAATCGCTCGACAACCGTCAAGCCAACCATCTTCTCGGAATCGGTGTATGTACGGTAGAACAGACTGCGGAACAGGCCGCGATCGATACTACTCTGGTTCATAATAACGGAATCTTCTTGGTTGTAACCAGAGTAGGTGGCGATGGCGACAATCGCGTTCTGTCCGGCGGGCAGCTCGCGGAAACGCAGGAACTCCATTGACCGAGTGGTGGCCAAAGGCTTCTGCGGGTAGTAGAGAATATTCGCCATAGTCTCCATACGCTGGGAAAAGTTGGTCAAGAAAACACCCATGGCCTGCTTACCCATGGCAGATTGGTAGGTGTTACGAGGCGACTGGTTGTGATCGGGGAAAGGAATGATACTGGCGCAGACACCGAGAATCATACTGGGGTGGATCTCACAGTGAGTCCAGGTGTGTGCGCGCTGGCTCAGAATGGAACGGACTCGCTTGTTCGGGTCACTGGTCTCGTCCTCGGGCAGTGCATAGCCAGCCTGGAGCTGCTTGGAAATCTCCAAATCTTCAGGCGTCATCACAATCATAATGGTCTCTTCTTCTTCCGCGTCTACGTATTCAACTGCACCGGATCGGACCAGACCCTCCCATCCGAAGTAGCGCTCCCGGCGCTCTTCCACGTCCATATCAGGGGGCAGGTCCTTGTCCTGTTCCAGCTTGTGGATGTGCTCCTTGTTGAGAATCAAAGATCCAGCGTTCTCGCTCTTCGGGTCATTGTCAACGACAAACAATGGACGGCAGACACGACCAGTATCGGTGAAAATCTTGAACTCTCGCTCACGGATATCCCGAATCAAACTGACTTCGTGAGAAATCATGTTTCGTCGACGAAGAGATTGCATGGTGTTGACCAGATGCGATGGGTCACGGTGGATACCAACCCAGACACCGTTGACGAAGACCTTCGTGGCATTCGGTGTCACTTGGGGCTCAAACTCTTCTAAAACTTCCATATTTCGCTGAATCATGAAGTCAATGATGGGCTCACTAGGAGTACCAACAGTGATATAGCACATAAGTGCCAAATTCTTGACAAGACCACAAGCCTGTCCCTCGGGTGTTTCTGCGGGACACACCAAGCCCCAGTGAGTGTTGTGAAGCTGGCGTGGTTTAGCAATCTTACCATCACGACCAATAGGTGTGTTGGTACGGCGCAAATGCGAGAGCGAAGAAGCGAATGTGTAACGACTCAGCACCTGGGACACACCAGCCTTGGCGCTAGCTGCCTTCTTTTGTTCACCCCAGTTACCAGTGGCAAGGGCATACTTCAGACCACCTGTCAAGGTGGCAGCCTTGAGACCAATGTTCAAGTAGATCTCACGGTTGGTCTCAACGCAGCGCTGAACGTAACGCTGCAAATCGCG